ATCCATACTAGCATCACATTCTCCCTAATACTTCTCCTCATGATGTAATAATCTTCAGGGTTCTTTACCGAACAGTAGTAGTGGTTTATTTTTTTTAATAAAAAATAACTCCCTTAATCAACCGAAGACGATGAAAGCCTTGAGTACACGTTTGTGTTGGAAGCTTCCGAGATGAGAATGTGTGATGGAACACGTGTTGTTCCGAGATGTTTTATTGTTGCCATCTTTTGGTGGTGGAGAGGTCATAACGAAAGGGTTGGTCCTCATGTGCTTTTAGAAGAAGAATTGATGTTTGAAGTAAGGACTGGATGATGTAGTAGTGGTTTGAGGCAAGTGATGCAAGTGTTGTGGTTGATTTGGAGGGCTCGACTTTCCAGTACTGTTATGGCAATTACTTTCAAAGATCATTGAAAGAGCTTGTGAGTTGGATGTTGCAGAGAAGAGATGACCTAATGGCTCAAAAGCAAAGTCGTGTTCACTGTTTCTGAACACGAAGTGATTGACAAATAGAACTCTATCGTTAATTCTCACATACATTTTAGCTTTGATTTGATGCAAGTTGCAATAATCAAGGGGGATTGCTGGTAATCGAAATGTAATTCGATCTGGTGTAACAGAAACGATGAGACCTGGACTGATGACTGCATGCTCTGGTTCACAAGCAACAAACACTACAGATATTCTGTCAAGTGGATCAAAACCTTCAGAACTGTGATTGAAAATACTTGACAGAGGACATGTTTGAAATTCACATGAAGTCAAGTCGCAGCTAAGAAACGAAGAGAAACACTGATGGTTGCTGTTTGTTGAAAGGGTTGGTGTTGGAGGAGATCGTTCGAAAGCATTCACTCCAAAGGTATCCTTTTGTCTATATTGCATAATATAATCACGAGACATTTGCTTCGTAGTAGTTAAAGGGCTGGTGGAATAGGTACTGGAATAGAACGAAGAAGTTTTTGGAAAGCAGTTAGATTCTGATTGATGAATGAGAGGCTTCATGAAGAGAGGGCTATCAAGTTGGTAACTTGTACTGACTCTCTTTTCATGTGATGGATTATTAACGATTAATGGAGAGGGTGCAGACTGAGCTGAGGGAGAGCCAGAAGAAGAATAGGGGGAGGAAGGAGAGTGTGGATGTCTTCCTCCAGAGGAATGACTCAACATTGGAGAGGATTGGTCATTTGAATAGTGCAATGGTCGTCGTTGTTGACAATCGACATCTACTCCCTCAGACTGATTATCGTTACCTTCATGGATAAACTTGCTGACAAAAACACTCGTGGCAAACACAACAGATGTCTTCATACACTTCTTATGACCAAAACTAATGACAAACCATCCTACTCGTTCAACTTCAATCAAGAAGGTAATATACTTTGAGATGTGTCTTGCTGTCTTCTTTGCAATTTTGCTTACCACCAACTTTAAGTTTTGATGGTAAACAAATGGTTGTGGTGATTTCACTTCGACATCAAATAATCCCTTCTGAACGAAAGTCTCACATGAGGCCTCGTTGTGTAGGTTGAAATATTTCGTTGGAGATTCACCTTGCTGTGTGAGCACAAATGCCGATCCAATGAGTCTCATTCTCAACAGGTTGTCATTTTCGTCTTTAATTGTCAAATGAGTATTGCTTCTAAGATTGGAACTGCCTCTCATATTGAGAGAATATTGGTGGGTTGGAGAGAAGAGCTTGAAATCAAGAGAGAGATGATCGTTATTGAAATGAGTGGTATCGTTGGAAAGTTTGTGGAAGTTGTCAGCAGAGTTGTCAGCTTGACCTTTGTCTTTATACATTTTTGGAGTTGTCAAAAATTCAGTTTCGTGCGTGCTTTTGCTTGTTTGAGTACCCATCTTTTACAATAGAGGTTATGTTGGAAATAGAGTATGTTATTTGAGTGTTTTTGTTTTTAATAGTGACAATATCGGATTCGTTTCTCTTTCTCTTAGGGTGATTCCAAGGAAGGTGTTAAATTAGAGGCGTGTGTGATGAATTTCACTGAGGGTGTGCTTCAGGCTATGAGAGCTGAACACGGAAAGTGATCAATATTTTGTTTTTTATAACTGTTATGGAGCCTGTGGTTGTTGTGGCCTTTCAATCGGTGTGTATTTCCTTTACTGAGAGTGAGTCGTACACAACCACAGCTGTGTGAGATTGTCACAATTTAAAAACGTGCTCAACATGTTTCAGGAAACCCTGAAAATCCATGACTCAACGTTTGGCAAGACTGTGCGAATGGAGGAAAGAGGGAATTGGTTGAACACCAAATATGGAAATGAATATTGGAAACTATTTCCTGTGTGGGCTTTAGCGCATTTGAATTATTGTGCTGACATGGAAAACGTGAAATGCATGAATGTATGATGACCATTCTTTGATTGGAAGCTTTACTGTTTACAATGATTTTCGCTTGTATTTACGGACAAAAAAGTATCAAAGAAAATATGTGAACAACAATTTTAAACTTAATGAGGGAGAATATATCAAACAAAGAAAACTCACAACTTATTATGATGCAACATGTGATATTTTTGAATCATTGATGAGAAGGGAGTACTACTTTGTGTAATTATGTCCACAACTTGTCATCATTGTTTTTGGCCATCACTTGAAGTGTCAGCAACATTTCTTTCCAAATCAAATCGTTGTTAAATTAAAAAACATAACATTTGGGAATTACGAACGACGAATTGGAGGAATCATCATGGTGCGTATGTGTACAAGATATGAGAGTGACTCACTCTCCGAATAACTTTCTCGTCCATTCCTAAACTTGAAAAGCAAAAAATGAACAACCGTACATCCTTGCGTGTTGAAGGTCATCAGCCTTCAGAAAGATTTCATTCATCAACATCGGAGAGTAGTAGTGGGCACAACGATGCTTCTGTGTTGCCTGCAAGTCCTGAAAAGCTGTTAAAACAAACAAGAAGAGGAGATAAACCATCTGGTCCAGATGATACAAGTATTTTGTTGGAGTTGGAGAGAAGTATTTACGAAGCAAGGCTTAACTCTCCTAAAGTATTCAATTTTACGGTATTTAATATTGTACTCGGAGCTGCCTATATGGGTGGAGTTTTGAGAAAACGGAGAGTTCCTCCACAACATGCAAAGGCCACAATTTTAACTCTTACCACTTCGTTTTTGGGTGTGTTTTGTTATTTGAGAAATTTATCTTCCAATTTTGCAAAAGTTGCTTTGGATCCAAGAACAGACCATTTAACAAGCGATGGCATTCAACGATGGGAGAAAGCAAAAAAGAAATTGTTAGAAAAAGAAGAAGAATAGATAGTTGTTTGAGTGAATGTGTTCGACTTTATTTGTTGGCTTTTAGAATACTTTAAGGAAATGTCATTTGCAAGTTAAATGGGGACAGTTCGAAATTTATTTGTTTCTGAGCTCCTCTAACTTGGAATTGCGTCTTCTGATAATATCTTTGGAAGGCTTCCAATTAGTTTCCCTTAACAAAGATTCCCATTTATCAGTTAATTCCTTCTCTGTTACGTTCTTATTCCATAATAGTGTTTGGAATTCAATATCTTGCCAAGGTGGAAGATCACAATTACATGCACAACTTGTTGGTTCTTTTAAAGGGTTCTCTTCCTGGCGAATGATATTGGCGTCAATAGCAAGATTATTGCAGCACAAAGGATTCATTTTGCCACTCTTCTCCAACTTGTCTAAGAAGCGCATTCCAGTAAGGAATTCAAGTTCTTTCAGAGATATTGAATATTTGGTTAAATGATCAAACTTATCAACCTGGCTATTTGGTACAATAAAAGCCTGAGCATAATACTGAGGTGATTTTCGTTGTGATTCCTCTTCTTCTATCTCCGTTTTACTTCTCTCAGCAATAATTATTCTAAACAAGTGCGTAGGAACAGCAACCTGGTTGTTGCCGACAATCCAGTACTTGACTTCTCCTTTGGGTCCTGCTTTGGGCCTTGCTGCCTTCATTTATCGTCACAAGAAAATGTTTTGTGTGACCTGGAATAACTTACATCCGGTTCTTGTTTGTTGTCATAAAGTCTTGGCATGAAGACGGGACCTGCAATGACATGAACAACATCAAAGTCATCAGCCAATGATCGTGTAAATCTTTCCATTCTGAGCCAATAATTAGCGTTGTTGTCATAGTCTTGAGGAACAATATTGTTCGCTAAAAGATGTGTTTCATTCTTGTAAAGATTTACACGATCAAAGAAATAATGAAAAAAAAATTCAAGGGAATGAACGATTAATAATGATCAGCTTACCATTGCCTCTTGGTCAAATCCTGTGAAATCACCACAGTTTGCTAAATGACCCCTAGAAAACTTGCTTCCAAAGTAATCCGTGTTATCAGGATTAAAACTTGATAATTGTTCAAATATTGGACTTTTCATAAATTTAGAGAACTTTCTATCCGATTTTTCAACATAATTTTCATTATCGAAATGTGGAATGGACCAACACACAAACATTGGAATCTTTAACCTGTTATCAGTCACTGATAAAAAACGAGAAAAGACATTCAATTGACCAACATTGGTCGGTAAGCCAAACTCATTAAATGTTTTAAAGAGTTCAAATGTCTCGTTTTTTTCATGGTTGTGAGCCTCTTCCACATGAATATTATATTTTGGCCAACGAAGATCATCATGTTGATTCTCTAAATATTGATAAATTGTTTCAGTCAAAGATAACTCTGAAGAAGTTGTTGAACGTATGAGTCCATTTCCGGCCGTGTATTCACTTGTATCGGAATACGCGATCCATGATCTTTCTCATCAGAAACTTGTTTTATTGTAGATGGATCTTGAAGAGGATGACGATGATGAGGAGTAAAAAGAGTGCCATAATATTGAGAGCCAATATAAACACCAACAGCGACGGAAGTGGCATGAGCCAACACTCGCTTCAAGAACATTTTTTTAAATGATGTCACACTGATTCATATATAATAATTCATACATAACAATACCCGCAACCCAGGAAATCCAAAGTACCAATCATCTTCATTGTTAATCATCATTGGAAGATCACGTGATCAACACTCGAGTGCAAAATGTACATGGTTCCTTAAATGCGCTACAAGTTCAAAAAAATACTTCAAAACTTCCAAAAACGAAAGCCTCAAACAAAAAATGAGCTCCCCGAATAAAACATCAACTGAAACAAAATATAGGGTTTCTACTGGAAAGGATGAGGAAGAGAAAAAGGATGATCAAGGGTCAAAGGAAATTTCAACAACTTTCCCTGGATTTGAGCAATGTATAAAACCGCAGGTTCCAATGGCTGCGCATGAACCAATTTCAAAAGTCGGTTCATCCCAAATTCATCGTGTTGCAATGAAAAAATGTAAATTTCCAATCACTATAACAGAGGCAGTATTGATTATTTCATGGCTGGCTGCAATTTCTTTTTGCATTTGGTACATATACTTTTCGGCTGTTAATTTTTATGAGTCCCAACACTCTCCAACTACATCCCTTGCATTGTTAGAAACGATCCCTCTTCATTTTCCTTCAATCACAGTTTGTAATTGGAATGCTGTTGACAAAGATTGTGATTACTGCAATATCACGCTGCTTCATGCAACCACGCCCAACAATGTTTTGGGCATTATTGAAACAGTTAACCTATCACATCAATATTTGGAGATTGAGCAGAATGGTCAATATTTTAAATGCTATGGATTCAACTATGACAACAACAATCCTTTGGTTGCCAATTACACAGGATATGGTGGATCTATAAGCTTGTTCTTTCGAGCTCCTTCTGTTCCAGAAGATCGCGATTCTAGATTTGGTCTACAAGTTACATTTCATGAAATTGGAACCATTCCAAACGTGTTTAGTGAAACAAACTTTGCTACGTCTGGAGTTGATAACTTTTACACGTTAACCAAATATGTGACAAAGAGATTGAAACCAACAATTGAGAATCCGACTGGTATTGAGCTTCGATGGGACTCCAAGCTGTCAACTGTACAGCTCACTCAAAACGACCCATCTGTGGTAGTAATTTCGTTTTCTTATGACTCTCTAAACGAAAATCGAATTACAGAAATGCTCACAAGCTCTCTGGAAGGATTGTTCGGAGAAATTGCTGGAATTGTTGGAATATTTATGGGAATCGACGTGTTGAAAGTGCTGAGGGGAGTTCTTGAAATTCCTTATGCAATTCATGCCAAATCGCTAAGAGCCATTTGGGATAATTTCAATTAATATTTGTAATTTACGAATTAAGAATATCAGATATGCACTATTATCAATAATGAAAAACATTAGAAATAATTTATAAACTATTTACACTCTAGTGTACTCGAGCCACGGCACTCTATTCATAAAAAAGATGTCTGAAACTCGTTTCTGCCAAATTGATAAACTCATTAAATACATTCCTGTCAAAAACTTGAGATGAAGGAATTCTGTGAATATAATTTGCTCGGATAGCAAATGAGCCATCTCCAACACTCTCAACTTGTCCTCTGACCATCACCAATTCGTCCATAGTGGCATTAAAGATGTTGTTCGAGTAAACAGTGATCATTGATGAGTCACTAGCAAGCACAGCAAAAGTGTCTCCGTTAACATCAGAGGCACAGTTTCCGATGAGAGTTACGTCCTTTCCGATGTAGTTTGGGATCGTACTGCCGTTAATGTAGGGATGAGAAAGGAGTTGGTGTTGTTGGACAGGTTCTGCGTTCATGTTGAAATATTTTTTTTTGAATTGTTTATTTTTTTGAAAGCGGGAAACGGTTCCACGAAAGAGTGGAAGCAACAGCCTTCGAAGGTCCGTTATGCAACTTGGTATCGTCAGTCATCGGTTGAACTGTAGTGGCTTGCTTCTGTCAGACAACTTGCTCACTCTTAAGCATGCAGAACAACAGGTAAGCTTTCATTCTTTCTTTCGCACGATGTCCAACAATGTCTGAAGTTCAGTCAAACACGCACTAATTCCAAAAATGAACTTTTTAAACACGGTGTGATGTTCGTTGTTGTTGGTGAAGTGTTGTTGTGTTTATTCTCTGTTTCAATTAGTAGTTGGAGTAAAAAGACCGCATGTGTGTGATGAAGATTATTCCTCAGCAAAATTGTGTTGGTAAAGTGTCAAAAACTTGGTTGTCGTTAAGCTAGCTTGTAGCAGTGGTAACAACTGAACAAAATGGATTGTCCAAACGAGTTGGCAGCAAAATTTCATCATCGTGATGATTCACGGATCTTACTGTTTTTGTGATGGTTGCATCTGATGATGAGCAATTTCTCTTCTCCATCGTCTTTGCATCATCACATATGGATCCACCATCAACATGCTCACACAAACAACAAATTCAAATAATAAACCTTGTGAAATTGTAAATCGTCCCAAACAAATACATGCTATCGTGAACAAAGTGACCAGTGCAAACATGAAACGGATCAAACTTTGTTGCAAACACTGCACATATCTTGAAGGGCGCTGATAAGCTTGATGTGCTGGTAAGTACAGCACAGAGGAATTCTTGTCGGTGGTGTAGTGGGTATTATTGTTGTTGTTGTTGGAGTGAAGGATGGTTGCAAATGGAACCTTTGGCAAGGTCGATGTGGTGGGTGAGCCATAAAGCTTGGGTGAAAGTGTTGGAGTCATTGTATCGGGCATGGTTCCGTGATGGTTGTTCTTGGTTGGAGAAGAGACTTCAGAAGAGGTGGTAATGGTCGTTGTGGTTGAACTCATGTTGGGACAGATAGAGGATTCTTTTGTAGGAATCAAAAACAAGAGAGGATATCGAAAGGGATTGTTGAATATCTTTTTTGTTGTTGCCGCAACGATCAAGCCAAACGTTTGGATGTGATGTTGAAAAGAGTGGTCGATAATAATAATATTAAATTACAATTTGGAGTCAGTGAGACACTAGTGAACGCTGTTGTTCGAGAGGAGTGCGAACTTGTCCAAAGCAAGCTATTGGATTTGTTTGAAGATGGTATAACTTGAGAGAGTGTGTGGATGTTGGCTTGTGTGTTGTTGAATAAAAGCCAAGTTTGTCTGGAGTTTTGAACAAGGAAGCTTTTTTTGTTGTATGAATGATAGTGTTTGGGTGGAAGAAGAAGCTTTCCACCAAGAAGAAGGCCAAACAAAAAGAGCCCGAAAAGATCTCAAACTCCAATCCGCGAACAACAGCTGCTGCCATACACCACACTAACACTTGACACGTTGAGCCGACCTTATTTTCAATACCTACTCAACGTCAGTCGCTGTCGGCGCATTCCGTTCAAAAAAAGGTGCTATCTCAACGTCACCTTTCCTCTCGCAATTAGAAAATAAAGCATATATTGGTGAATCTTGTCGTCTTTCTCGTTTTTTATACTGTTCTTGTATGGTGAAGGTGCAGAACATTTCAAGCTGAATATTGCTATGAAATTAGAAGGACTGCCCTCGGAAAGATGGTTTTAAGGCAGAGATGAGTCCAAAAAACCTTTCATCAAGCTTCTTGTTCAAAAGGTGGAGGGTATGTATGTTCGGTGTTTTGTTGGAGCCTTGACAATGCTTTTTGGGACCTTTGTCAACTTTTTAAATGATTTCATGACAAGAGTAGAAACCCCAAAGAGAAGAGTTGCAATGTTGCCATTGTTGGCCAGGACTTTCTTGTAATATACATTGTGTTCACTGTGCACGTTTCAAATCGTGTTGTGTTCTTTCAGGAAGGACCTTTTACAGAGGTCTACAGTCGATCTTTTACAGATGTTTGAATATTCAACTATTAACTACTTTGTTGTTTGAATTAAATATTAATCAAAACAAAAATGAACAAACTTATGCACAGCATTGTCCTCTCATCCAGAAAATCATCATCATATGGTGTCTTTTTGAGATCCTATCATCACAACACTGCAGGTGTTAGAATGAATCAATATTTACAATCTAGATTTATGTTTCCGAAAGGAGATGATATTTTCAGTTTTACAAGAAACTATTTTACTTCTGTTGTGAATCAAACATACACTGAAGAAACTAATAAAGATGATGACATGGGTTATTCAAAAATAGAAAGTCAATCAAGACTCAGAGAAAAAGTCTCATTATCGAAAAAGTTGAAACAACGAGCTTTGGAAAATCAATTTTCATTAGAAGAAGCTATCAACGTGTCAACAAATTTAATTTATGGAAAGAAAAATATTGTTGTAATGATTGGTCCTGTTGCATCAACACAATCAAGATTACCCAAAGATGTTTTTGAGCAAGCTACTTCTCGATATTACCAACAACATAATTCCTTCGCAAGCCATATTTATGGGGATTTACATATTTTGTACAATATTGATAACAAAGCAATCATCAACTCTCTACAGACGGAAGATAATAATATGAATGATTCTAAACAGGATATTACACCTCAAAGATACAGTTCTGGACGCTCTAAGGAGGGAATACAACTTCAAAATATCAAAGAGAATACTATTGACGATCTTTATAATTCGATTCAATTCATGTCAAACCCTACCCCAACACTGCAATACCTACAAAAATTGCATAATACTTTCAACAAAAATTATAGCAAAGGAACACCAGTTCATGACTTTTTACTCCGCCTCAAGAAAGAGAATAAGCTATTAAGGGTGTACACAGAAAGCATAGATGGAATTGAACAAAATATATTAGGGGACAATATTGTAGTTAATTGCTTAGGAAGCTTGAATGGGTTTCATTGCGATGTGTGTGGAAAAGAGCTCGATTTTACATCAGCCCTTTCACAATTCCCAAACAGGGGCTCTTCTGATCGTAATATTCGAAAGGGTAAATGTGAACTGATGAGTAAGCAAGAGTGTGGGTTGATTCCGAATCTTGTATTAGAAAATGACACTTTCCCTAAAGAAGTTCGTGAACTTGGAGAGAATGATATTTCTGAGTCTGACATGATTATTGTTATTGGTACTCCTTTATCGAGACAACCCTTGTCAGGTTTGATGAAGATGGCGTCACAAAACAAAAACATAACCACACTGTGGATATTACCAAGGGTGCTCCTTGATTGTTATCAAGACAACGACATTCCCAATCCCCTCCAAGAGTTTGCTAACGGTACATCATCTAGAAACAATGTGATTGTTTTACCTGACGAAGTCACTATTGACTCATTTGTTTCCAGTATTCAAACCAAACTGCTGTCACGTCAGACGCACTGAAAACCGACTGAGCCCATTGCATGAGTTGAATAGCATTACAGGTTGTAATTCAACACATTAAAACAAGAAAAATCGAATCGATAGTTGGACTTCAAAAATTTCCTTTGCATGTTGTTTACTTCTTAATCTTTTGAATTTCAGTTCCTCCTGTAGCATTTAATGCAGCCTTAATGCTTGAATAGATTGCGAATTGACCAGCAGTCAAAGCACCAACCATGACAATTCTTGGTCCGAGACCCAAGAACAAACCACGTGGACCCAATTCCTTAGCCAAAGCAATCAAACGAGATGAAATTGAAGCTCCCTCTGCTCCCTTTTGCTTGTTTATCTTAGAAAGCAAAGTGTCAGCAGGTTGAGAAATAATGGCAGCGCAAGCACCAGCAATCAAACCACTTGTCAAGTCAACTCCCATTTGACCAGACTTGGACATTTCACTCTTTGGTTTTCCGATCAGGTTAGCAATTTCCTCGACACACAACTCATAGACGACGAATTTAGCCATTGTGTATGGAATTTGTTTCAACAAGATTGGGAAGAATCCAGAGTAGAAACCACGAATAACACCTTCTTCCTTCAACAAACGAGTGAAACCTCCCAATAATCCATTAGCAAATGTTGGTTGAGAGACCAAACGAATACGAGTAGCTTCCAATGGACACAAAGCAATATCGGCAAAGAATTCAGCCAAAGCAGATGAAGCCAAATAGATAGCAGTACGGTTCTCAGTAGCCTTTTCAATTCCCAAACTATTAACGAATTGCTTCTTGAAGAATTCATAACCACCAAACTTGAAAGCGCCTTGTAAGAAGTATCCAGCAAAAGTAGGACCAACACCAGTCCAGATAGCAGCTGGACCCTCAGCTTGGATGATTTGACGGAAAGAGGCAATCATACCCTTGTTATAAACAACAGGATCCAATTGTTTACGGGTCTTCACCACGTCAACTGGTGTGAGAGCACCGTGAGTGATGGAGCAACAAAGAGCGCCAGACAAGGCATAACGAGCGTACAAATCAACACCAGTAGGCTTTTTAGTGGTTGTGGTTGTGGACATGATGAATATTTTTTTCAAACAAAAAAATTAATAATTATGAAATTCGGATTTTTTTTGATTGGATTCGAAAAAATTTTTAATGGTGTTTGATGGATGTAATTTGTTCGAGTCTGAGTCTGAGAGCTCACTGTGGTACCAGGTACCTACGACAATAGGATGATGATTTAATTTTGGATGATTGTACATACCGTCGCATATGCATATTCGAGCATTGTTTACATGCGCGCTGCTGGAATCTTTGAATTCTTTCAAAAAATCCTTTTTCAAAAGAGGGAATCATTTGAATTTACAAAAAAATGTTCCTTTCATCCATCTCTCACAATAATGATTTAACAACAACAACAACAACAACAACTGTCATCCCTGTGCTGTGCAAGCGTCGACTTGTTTCATTCCTCCTATTTTCAATCCACACAATCCTTCTGATTCTTCTCTTCACACCAACAACAACAGCGACACCAACAACCCAATCTCGAGAAGCCATCACCATTTCGAGATCATCATTTCGTGAAGATTTCCGCTCTTTTTCGTCCATCATTCATTCACACAGCACCATCAGCACCACCACCACCACTGTGAATTTAACACCCTCTCAAAAACTCGATCAATTACGAACACTCATGAAACAATATTCCATATGGGCTTATATTATTCCTTCTTCCGATTCTCACATGAGTGAATATGTGGCATCGAGTGATCAGAGAAGAGCTTTTATTTCTGGATTTGATGGAAGTGCAGGAACTGCTCTTGTGACTTTGGATGGTGCATTGTTGTGGACTGATGGAAGATATTGGCAGCAAGCTCAAAATCAATTAGATTTTAGATATTGGAAGCTCATGAAGGATGGAGTGGATGTTTCAATTACGACATGGTTGAGTTTGAATGTGATTGGAAATGAGAGTGTGGGACTGGATCCTTTTTTATATTCTGTGAGTGAGTTGAAAAAATTGTAATATTGATTTAAATATAATGGATTTAAATATAATGGATTTAAATTACAAATATTCATGACACATATTATAACAATGACATATGATCATGACAGATCAATTTAAAGAATTGCAAAACACCCATGTCAATATTAAATTAATTTATCAAAATTTAGTCGATTTGATATGGACTTCAAGACCATCACCTCCAAATGGAAAAATATTTGAATTGGATCTTAAATTTTCAGGACGATCAGCCAGTGACAAATTCTTTTCCATTCGAAAATCAATGCAGTCTTCAAAGGTTGCCATTTATATTGTGACAGCTTTGGATGAAATTGCATGGTTTCTTAATTTACGTGGTGATGACATTGAGTACAATACTGTATTCTTTAGTTACTTGATTGTGACCATGAAAAATGTTTATTTATTTGTCGATGAGAAGAAATTTGAAAATTCCAATCTATCCTTACATCTTGAATCATTGGGTGTGATCATCCAACCTTATTCATCCTATTTAGATTCATTGATTGATTTGATTAATACTTTGAGACAAAATCAAACCTTGACAACCTTTATAGATCCTCAATTTTGCAATTATGCCACCTTCTCTTCCATTCAATCCTTATCAATAATCAAAACAGGAAATAGTTTTATTCGTTTAGAAAAAGCTTACAAAAACGAAATTGAAAGAGAAGGATTTAAAAATTGTCATTTACGTGATGGAGCAGCTGTGGTTCGTTATTTGGCATGGCTTGAAGACGCACTTGTCCATCAAAAACTTGACATTAATGAATATGAAGGAGCTCAAAGATTGGAAAAATTCAGAGCTCAAGGAGAATATTTTCTTCGTCCAAGTTTTGAAACGATTAGTTGTTATGGTGAAAATGCAGCGATTATTCATTATTCACCCAATGTCAAGGTTCATTCTCAAATTTCGACAAGTAATGTCTATCTATTGGATAGTGGAGGTCAATATTTGGATGGAACTACAGACATGACTCGAACTGTGCATTTTGGAATTCCCAACGCTCATATTAAGAGAAGTTTCACACGAGTCTTGCAGGGACATATTGCACTTAGTTCATTAATATTTCCTGAGGGACTTTCTGGAGACAAAATGGATGCATTTGCAAGACAGGCACTTTGGTCGGATGGTTTGAATTATAATCATGGATCAGGACATGGAGTTGGACATTGTTTGGATGTTCATGAGGGACCTCATGGAATTGGAGTTCCAGTTTTTGGATTTATGAAAACGTATGATGTCACCATTGAGCCAGGTATGTTCTGAATGTGTGGTTGTTGTTTTTATCTTTGTATGAACCTATCTGGTGGTTGTCTTGATTTCACATAATTTAGGATACTATGAGGAAGGAAATTTTGGAATACGAATTGAAAATTTGTATTTGGTGAAAGAAAGTCAAACTCCACATCGATTCAATAACAAGACTTATTTGGAATTTGAACAGATTACGTTCTGTCCTATTCAACCTTCTCTTATTGATACTTCATTAATGAGCGAAAAAGAAATTGAATGGGTCAATGAATATAATCGACAGGTCAGAGAAAAGCTTGAACCTTTAATTTCTCAAGACACGTTAGCTGTAAATTACTTGAAGAGAAACACTGTGAGCATTGCGAAGGAACCTAATTTTGCCAAGACAACATTGGTGGTTGTTCTTGTAATGATGGGATTGATATTGGTTGTTTCTATTGTGACAAATATTGTTTTGATCATTGCTCGAAAACGACAATCTTCTGCTAGGCCTTTAACAAATACAGAAATTCAACCTTTAAGCGAAGAGTTGGAGTAGAATTCGTTCCTGAGGTGGCAATTATGAAGATTTCACGCGTTTGTGATGAAAAAGTTCAGCATTTACTATGTGTTAATTTCTCCAAATATAATGCAACCTGTTGTTTTTGAATCCGTTAAATTCTGAAGAAGAGGCCGTAGTATAAGCTCCAAAGTTGTGGAAAAACAAATGATCACCAACACTCAATTCAGGTAAAGGATATCCCTTAAACAAAATGTCAAGAGAGTCACATGTAGTTCCCCACAAAGTTGAAGGATGCTTTTCTTGGTTCTTGTTTGCCTTTTTGGTCATGACAGTATTCACCACTAATTGCACATGATCATAGACCACATTGTTAAAGCTTCCATAAATTCCATCATCAATGTAATAATGAAAATCATCAAGAAGTGGTAATGACTCGACGTCGACTCCTTGTTGAAGAAGTTCAGCTACACGAATGGCGTTTTCTTCTCTCAAATCTTTCTTTGTGTGGATGTGACATACTATGATATGTGAATTAATTTTCAAAACACAGTGAATTTGAAATGTGTGGACTTACCTAGTGTATGTGATCTCGAAACAACATATCTACCTGGTTCAGCAATAATTCTGACAGTGCTTCTATCAACCACATCATTTTCAGAAGTGGTTTCAGAACGAGAAAATGTCTCCATGATGAGAGGAATAATCTCGGTGGCAACAGTTTCCATCGGTAAAGCACTCTTCAATCTGCTCATAAATCCTCCACCAATATCGATCAAGTTAAAAGTAAATCCGAAATGATCCTTTGCTGTTTTACAAATTTCAGCCGTGTCACGGAGAGCCTTAACATACGATTGAACATCTTCACAATTCGTTCCCACATGGAAGCTGACACCAACTAGATTAATGCCCAGTTCTTTTGCTCTTTCCATGATTTTGATGGCACCATGTTTAGTCGTTCCAAACTTTTCAGAAAATCCAATTGCAGAATGTGCGTCATCGGTCTTAATGCGAATCACACCTTTGCAATGCTTCCAATGTTCTGCAAGCTTTTCAACTTCGCACACAGAATCTAGTGTCGTCCATTCTACTCCAGCTTGCTGACTAGCATATAAAATATGTGAAATAGGTTTGCAAGGGTGAGCGAAAATGATATCAGTGGCTGGGTTGAAACGTCTACTTTTGATTTGTTCTAATGTCAGTTCAGGATTCACAACAGTGAGTGATTCATAATATTGAGGATTTTTTTCAAGCCATTCATCCATTTCTCTACACAATCTGCAAACCATGGAGATTTCTTGTTGTGAAGCACAATCAAAGCCTCCTCCCATGAGATAGACAATCTTAATAATGTTGGCATTAGGATTACATTTCACAGCATACATGGGTCTGATAATTCCTCCATAATTTGCAACACATGGTCCATTGCTGATAAAAGTCATTGCCTTTTTCCATCTTTCAATTTGTCTAACAATATGTGACAAGTCAACCACAAAGAAGGACTCTAATGCCTGTTTCTTTTCCGTGATCTTCTTCACAATACGACGTACAGTATTATTCAAATGCGTCTGCTGGTCTTTAATGGAATGCAACTCTGCATTAAAATAGTTTTCAAAAAGACTTTGCAAAGAAAGAACCCACGCAGATGACTCACAATGGGGAGGGAGTGAATTAAGTGTTGCGTGAGAAACTACTCGTGGCATTGATTCCGAATTTTGATTCTTTTTTCTTCTCAAGGAACTATTTACAAATTCGCCTGGATCATGATGCTCATAGCCAAGATGCAAAAACTCAATAGATTTGACTCTCTTCATTCCTCCCAAAGAGCTGGTTGAAGAGGAGGTGGTTAAAGATGCTTGAGTGTTCTCTGTAACAACAGCATTTGTATTCGGGGAGCTAGATCTGGAGTTATATTCGGAGGAATGTGTGCTACCATCCATCCGCTCATTATTACTCGTAATTGTAACTGTTGGGATACCCAAAGATTGCTTTCTTTCTTCCCTTTGGTGATGATCTGATCCGTTGTTATTGGATGAGATCATTCTGAGTCAATAATATCGATGAGCGATCGAGAGAATGGATATTTTTTTGAGAAGAGTCGAGCGTCAGACTTGTTTTAAAAATGGGTTTCAATAAAGTCCAAATTTGGTGAAAGGAACAAAAGAACCTTAATTCGCGGCCGTGTCTCGAAGGTCAAGGGCCATCTGGATCCATCCAAAATGAACATTCCTGAATTTTTTTAATCATAACGTTCAAGCATGATTTTGTTTAAAGTTTCTCTCTTCTGCCAAAAACAACAATTTCATAATTTGTTCATTCAACATGAGAACAATGGCTCCATTGGGAGACACTTTCAGCACATGTGGAACAATTCCTCTAAAGAATGCCTTATATCCTTCATGTTTGTAAATTTTCACAAGAGCATCTGAGAAACTCTTGTATCGTTCTTGATGATAATAATTACTCTTATCTTGAAGACGAGTTTTAACCACTTGAAGAGGATAGGTCACAAATCCAGCTATTCCTTTTCCTAAAAATCCCAAAATAAAAGATTCAGTTCCATTAAGGTGATAAAGAGTAGGAGAAGAACCTTCTTGTGATTCTTGACGTTTTTCATTCTTGTAATTGAGATAAACAGATTTCATTCGATCGTAGCACACAAAGTGAATAATTCCATGTGAAATGAGCAACATGCTTGGTGTGAGTCCAATATAGAGTGATCTGACTCCTTCATATTTGATAATCTTTCGTAAACAATCCCAATTTCCATTATATTTAATATTTTGTAAATGATGGGAATTTGTTGATGCTGTATGTACAGTGTCAGATACTGAATTTTGAAGTTGTAATCGTGTTTTGATCAGCCAAATGGGATGTGTCAATAGATTGGTCACGACACCTGCTTGCAATCCACATAACGTTAATTGAAGGGTTGGAACTTGATTGACTCCATATTCTTTTTCATATTCATGTTTTTTTGAATTATATCTAATAAATTCCAAAAAGAATTTCATAAGGAGGTGAACATTTGAATAACATGTTATTGAAAGGTGATAATAATTTCATGATCAAGAAATTCACCATATGTATGTTTTATAATTATATATTATAATAATTTTTAAATCCAATCATAATCATAAATTTCACACCTACATGGTAAAATATAATCCCCATGCCAAACCAGCTCCAATCATGGCACTACTTAATCCTCTATAAAACCCTTTCCATCCATCCTCCAAATATATCAATTTTGTGACCTTAATGAAATCTTGGAAACCCACAAACGTCGTTCTCTTCACTCCTCGATCATTGGCCTGCATTCGAATCTTGATACAATCCAAAGGATGGAGAACAAAATTGGCCATGGCTCCAGAAAACACTCCGGAAATCATGGTGTTGACTCCCTTGTATCGTTGTTGCAATGGAGTGAATTCCGATGATGATGTGGTTGTCAATGTGGACGAGGAGGATGACGCTTTGAATGCATTCGTTGTTGTTGTTGTTGTTGTCATGATGATGATGATGGTCGTCGTCGTTGTTGTCCTCCTCGATAACACGAAATGATTTTTTTAATGAGAATCTCTCAACTCAAAGGGAATTGATTGAATTCTCATTCAAGGAGAAACCAAGGAGCTTTAGAGAGTGATCGTGGTGAGAAAAGTCCAAGCTGATATTTTGAAATTCTCTTCAATACTAACAATAACAACAATAACAACAATAACAACAGTAGAAACAACACAGTGATCATGATGACTATTCGGAAGAATGATAAAAACCAAAAAGAAGAGGAAAGAAAAAATGCAAGGATTGCGTAATTTTGATTTCTATCCTAAAACACAAGATGACTTTCGGGTGAAAACTCTGGGAGGAGGATTGAGTAAGTATTATTATTATTATTTGATCGTTTCATGATTAATTTAATTTGATGATGATCATCATATGGAATTATTGATGATGGCGATAATAATATTTTTGATCGTGATCGGACGATGATTTGTAATAATTTATAAAATGATATGATGATGATGATGATGATGAATTTTAATGGTGGGATATACAATTGTATTTTTGTGGCCTCTTCTATGATGATACTCTAGTTTCAATCATTTCGCTTGTTGTAATTTTTATATTGGTGTTCGGAGAACTTTACTTGTATATGCAAGTGGAACGATACGATCAATTATATGTTGATACACAACAAGAACGTAAAATACCAATTTACATTAATATTACATTTCCAGCAATCTCCTGCGATGCTCTAAGTTTGGATGTCATGGATGTGAGTGGAGAGCATCATGTTCATTTGGATTATCACACAATTTACAAAATGAGATTAACATTGGACGGAAAACCTATTATTGACCAACCAGCTGAACAAATTTCACCAAATGAACCAAAAGATGAAAAGCCATCCCCTATCAAGGCTTCTGAGGGAGCTGTTAAACATGATTTAGTTAATTCGTCGGAAAAGGATCGTGAACGTGCTGAAAAGGCCAAGAAAGTCAAAGATCCAAATTATTGTGGTAGTTGCTATGGAGCTAATAGAGATGCTACTCAATGTTGCAACACTTGCGATGATGTGCGTGAAGCTTACCGTAGAGTGGGATGGGCTTTCACACCCAATGAAGATATCGAGCAATGTTATGAGGAAATTTTGGACCGTAAAATGAAATATTCGAAGCAAGAAGGATGTAATTTGCATGGATACTTTTTGGTGAATAAGGTAGCTGGCAATTTCCACTTTGCTCCAGGAAAATCATTTGTCAAAGCTCAACAACACATGCATGACTATACTAATTATGAAATCGATCACTACAATACCAGCCATTTTATTCACTCGTTAGGTTTCGGTGAACAAATACCTGGTCTTGTTAACCCACTTGATGGTACTCGCAAAATTATTGGATTTAATCCAGAGACTGGACAATCTGTTGAAGGAGAATCTGCTCTATTCCAATACTTTGTTAAAGTTGTTCCAACAATTTATGAAAAATATGGATCTTCAAGTCCTATCATCACCAATCAATACTCTGTGACGCAACATGTAAGACCAAAGAACAGATTGCATCCAAACGTTGTTCCAGGAGTATTTTTCATTTACGACTTGTCACCAATTATGGTACACATGAAGGAAGATAGAAAGTCACTCATTCAATTCCTCACCAGTTTGTGTGCAATTATTGGTGGTGTTTTTACAGTTAGCGCTCTCCTTGATCGTATTTTATATGGCGTTGAGAAGAGAGTCAACAAAAAGATACACTCAAATACCACTATTTTGAATAACTAAGAGCATTTTTGACGCTAAACAATTAAATAATGATTATATTATACTTTGAGCATTTTATATTCATTCAAAAACTTTCAAGAGACTTTGAGCTGTGTCGAGTAATAGTTCATCAAACAATTGATCTGTGATGAATGTTTTGACTAACTCTTCCTCATAATTGGTGGATTTCCATTTTTCGAGAGGTTGCATCACTCCTGGAATTAAAGGAATGGAGTGCTTTGGTAAATATTCGTTCTCAATGTCAAGAAGAGTATGATCCACAAATTTTTCATTCTTGGAAAATTCGAAGGCTGTCATCAAGCTCTCAAAAGCATAATCAAATGGTGACATTTCAGGTACTTTGTTGTAAATTGTTTTTCGTTTTCTGGTGCTTTCCTCTACTCTTCCAAAAATATGACCCTTAAATGTGTTACCAGCATGTTCTGATTGTATAATAGAGTTATATTCCTTGATATAACTGTTAAATGTTTCGAGAATCAATAAATTAAAGGCATCTTGGTTGGGGTTCGCACTACTACTAAGGACAGATCTTTCAATAAGAGGACATATTGATCCAACAGTCTTAAAGACTTCAATTCCGCTTGCTGTAACAAACGAGTTGACCAATGCTTCAATATGCTCTTTGGTTTGTACGACGCTTGTGGATTTTTGTTTTTCCTTTAAAACAGGGGCCGAGCTAAGAGTTGTGAAAACTTGGAAGTTTGTGTCATCATCGTCTTTTGGTTCAATGTTTGAAGCGAAAATATTTTCATCCTCCACATCGATATGCTTCGATTCTTTGTCAATATTGAGATGAATGTCATGATCGTCGATGCAGTGGTCATCCATACTATCAAAGTTTTCCTCTTCTTCACCATGATCAGTATTGTCGAACTCCTTTAACAGAATAGAATGAGCTGATAAAGTGTTGGCGTTTTGTTCTGGTGAATTAAAAGAGGAATTGAACGAGGAATTGAGAGAATCCAATGACGCAAGGTCATCTTCAATATTACGTGATGGGGAATTGGGAGGTATATCGTCAAACACGTTTGTAAGTTTAGATTCATGTCCTGTTGTACATTCTTCCTTTTCAAATTCATTGCTGGAGATGCTGATGTTATGGTCATCGTGCTGTTTGTCTTCTGCAGTAAAGCTTAATTCTGTTGAGAGAGTTACTGATGTGTCTTCTTCCTCCACTACTTCCTCGTTTAGGGCTTCCATTGGTATGCAATCTTCAGAGTGGTCTTCATTTTGTGATAAATCTTTTTGGGCCTCTCCAATAACTTCTGTTCTCAAGTTATCGCTCTTCAACTCTTGAACAAATTCAGTCTCAACAGAGGCTTCCTTATTTTCAGGCTTCTTTTGCAGTTGTAATCGATATTGTTCTTCTCTTTGCTTGAATTCCTCTTCAATTTTGAGTTTTAATTCTTGCTCCTTTTGTTTACTTGCTTGCTCGATTTCTTTGCGAAGCTTTTCTTCTTGCTCTAATTGATTCTTTTTCATTTGTTCTTCTTTTAGCTTCACTAAACGTTCTTGTTCTTCGAGTCTCATCTTGCTCTCATTCACTTGCTGCTCTAGCCTCTTGGTTGTTGATCTTTCTTTTTCAAGCAATGATGTTAAATACTCTTCGTCTTCCTTTTGTTTCTGGGCTAATTGCTCAAGTTGTTTGCGCTTCTTTTCTTCATTTTCTAGCATAGATCTAAGCTTTTCTTCTTCTAGCTTCAACTTTTGAATCTTTGTTTGGTCCTCTTGTTGTCTCTGAAGCTCTAATTCCTTCTTTTTAGACATCTCTAGTTCCAATTCTATTTGCTTTCTCAAAATTTCTTCTTGTGCAAGCCTTTTCAAAAGAGCTTCTTCTTTTTCTGCATTTCTTCTCAGTAACTCTTCTTGTTCTAGTGCCTTTTGCCTCAATATAGTTTCCTCATCCATCTTTTTTCTGCAAAGAATATTTTCTTCAAGTTGTTTTTTGAGAATGGCTTCTTCTTGAACTTTCTGTTGAAGAGCTTTTTCATGCCGTCTTCGAAGGTTTTGTTCTTCTTCGAGTCTTCTTAGAAGTTCTTCTTCATACTCTTTTTTAATTTTCATTTCTTGCTCTAGCACTTGTCGAATCTGTCTCTCTAGTTCCTTTCTTTGTTCAGCTTCTTCTTTTTGCCTTCGCAAGTCTTCCTCCTGCTTTCGAAGCAAGAGCTCACGTTCCTTCTGTTTAAGCAGCTCTTCTTGCTTTTTCAATTCTTCCATTTTCATTCTTAGAGATTCTTCTTCCAGTTTCTTTTTCAAATTACTTTGTTCTTCTAATCGTTTAATTTCTTCATGTTTGCGAGCCAACTCTTCCTCCATTTTACGTTTCATTTCTTCATCTTTTCTTCTTCTATCAGCTTCAATTTCTTCTAATTTTCTTCGTATGATTTCTTCCTCTTCTTTTCTCTTTTTAAGAAGGTCTTCCTCCATCTTTTTTGTGAGTTGCTCTTTTAATTCGTTCTCTATTCTTTTCTTTAGACCTTCTTCATCAATAGCTGGTTGAGGAGTACAATCTCCTTGTTGGTCTTGTTGTTTTTTGAGCTTTCTTCTTTTTCCTGAGCTTGAGAGCAGAAGCGAGTCATTGTCCGTTGAGGTAGTTTCACTGTCATATGAAACTCCAAGTTTCTTGTCTTGCAGAATTAGCTCGTTTTTAACCTCTCTCAGTTTTTGTTCAATTTTCTTGGATCTTATGATTTGCTGAAGCTTAGCTTCTTGCTTCTTTTTCTTAATTCTGAGAGCCTTAAGCTCCATTTTCATGGCTTCAATTTTTCTCTCTCTTTCTTCATACTCAGTGGAAATACTAATTACATCCTCAGAAGAGGTACACTCACCAAATGACTCATCATAGAGATGATGGCTTGAAGACATGATCATTTCTGCTTTCTTTCCTAACAATGACAGAGATTCTTCTTCTTGTTTGATTTCCATTTCCAGCTTCTTCTCTAACATAATGGTTCTTTGTCTATCCATTTCTAAACTCTTAGTTTGCTGGGGAGAGGTATTGACCTCAGCATTCCGTTTATGTACAGATATTTCTTCGCTCACTCCTTGAACACTAACATCTTTGGTTTCATGCTTTTTAGCAGCTGCTTCTTGTAATTTTCGACTTTTTCTGGCCAAAGCATTAATTACAAACAGTATTTCTGATTCTGTTGGGCTCTTTGGCTGCATTAATCGAGGAGATAACGAAGACCTAGGTGAAAGAGCGCTACTGTTGTTATTGAGCCTGCTTAAATCAAGTCTTTCTAAAATGTTTTGAGGCGATTTTTTGTGGTGTGAAACTTCAATAGGAGAGGGCACTTTGGAGTCTGAGTGCTTACTTTGTGGGGTGTCTTTGGAAGGAGAAGGTGTGGAATGTAAATGTGCTGTTGGAAGAGGTTTCGAATCTAAGCCAAGGAAATTATATCTACTTTTGAAGGATTCAGTCTCTGTCTCTTGTAATGGCTCTTCATCGTCACTTTCTATTGCGGGTTGTTGCACGGTTGATGAGATTGAAGAAATTGAATGTCTAAGACGGTTTTCGGTGTTTTGAGGGGATCGGTTCTTGTTCATAATAAATAATGGAGTGGGTGATTCATTGTTTTCAACAGGTTGTTGAATTTGAGATTTGGATTTGTTTTGATAGCTCTCGGCAGCCACATCGAAATCTTCTTGATGATCATTCGAGACTCTTGGTTGTTGCTGTTGTTCAATCCATGCAAAACGATGTGCTGGGTGTTGTATTTGAATATCAGAGGTGTTTCCTTGTGGCTGCGTGTTAACAATAACGAGTTTTGATTCCTTGTTAGATGAGGGAGGATGAAGTTGTTGTTGCGGAAAATTGTTGGGAATGTAAATATTCCTATGTTGTTGAATTTCGTGGTCGTATAACAACTCTTTTTCGGCTGTTTTGTGAAAAGCATTCAGTTCTTGGTCATTTAACGGAGCTGAAAAAGGCCTAGTGTGGATTTCGTGATCTGTCTCAAAGTGATGCTTTTTGTCTGCACCAATCTTTTTTGTCTTCTTTTTCTTTGGCTTGTCTTCTTTTTTGTTTGAGGATGCGGGAGGCGTTTTGCTTCTCTTTTTAATAAGGTTTTCAACAGTTGTGACGGTTTGTTGATCCTCTATCTTTTTAGATTTTTTTTTTGGAGATACTGATTTCTTCTTTGGCTTGACAATTACTTTTTGCACATAGGCTTCAAGCCTTTGCAGCACTTGCTCTTTCTTTAACTTTGCTTCCTCCTTTGCTTTCTTAGATTCAACTTTCTGCTGAATTAGTTCTTGTTGCTTCTTTTTCATAAATTCTTTAACCTTACTCTCATCATATGGTTTCTTTCTATCGATATAATATGGTTTTACAATCTTTGGCTCCTCCGGTTTTGGCTTAGATGGTGTTTTTTGTAGTACAGGCTTTTTTGGAGGAGCCGTTTGAGGTCTTGTCTCATAGGGTGACTTGGGTTTTTGGGTTAATGATGACAATTTTCTAATATTGAATCATTCATTGTATGATCGACCATCATGTTGAATACTACTACTTACGGAAGTAAAACCTCACTTTTTGAAGAAGAAGGATTATTCTTTCGGGATGATGGGGTATAAACCGAGATTGTATTTGTTGGTATGATTGGGCTGATGTTTAAAACATTAGGGGATATGTTGTGCTGGGTTTGAGGATTTGTAGGAGATGATGCCTTCTTTGTTTCTTTTGGTGATGATTTCTGTTTTTCTTCATACACATTGTCTACGAAAAAACTATCTTCTTCATGAATTGGGTCCACCTCTGCCGAAGGTATTTGTTGTGTTGGGAGTTTCTCTCCGACTGATATAGGTGGAATTTGTTGCATTTTTTTGTAGTTAGACCGCCCAAAATGTTTAACAAATAGGCGGTCTAACTACAAAAAATGGCGGGAAAGAAAATTCAGAAACATCCTTTAAAATCCTCTTAAGATTGGAGGAAAATGCTGGAAATAGTGTGAAAGAGCGTTACTTTGTCATCATTAAGGTAAAACAAAATCATACCATACATTTTGAATACACAACGATGCAAGAGTGCTCTCTCACACAATTTCAATCATTTTCCTCAACACCTAAAAAATGCTTCTTATTTCAACATCATTTCAATCACATCAGAGACGAAACTTTGAGAGGTTTCGTAATATTCAGTGAAACTGCATCGTGAACAAGATACAGTAATGAACATTCGATTTTGAATATTAAATAATTTGGATAAGAGTCCTCCAGACTCACGAACTTGTCCTTTGTGTAACTTGTCAAATCCACACTTTTTCTGTTTTTAAGAATAGAAAACATCCGAAGAAAAATTTTCAGCCATGCAAATCATTGGTGTGACCGTAAATGAATTCAAAACATACGCATTTCATTTGTGACTGTAAAATCAATTGTTGTTTTGGAAAGATCTCTTCTGTGGTATTCTTCGGATCATGATGATGAACAACATTTAATCCAGCAATTTTTTCAAGTGTCCGAATGGACGTTCGTTGAATATCATCTTTCTCGCTCGTTAATGCAGGTGTGTCTAACACTTGCAAGCCATGAGGCAATATTGAATTCGGAGATGTGAATTTTCCTTTACGAATGGCCCACACCACCACCAAACGCAGCACATAGAACATGACACGAGCAGAGAGAAGCGAAGAAGCGAGTAAAGCCATTTTTTTGTTGCGACAACATTCTCGAGAAAGAAGGACTGGCTTTTCGACACGCTTTTCAACTCTGAGATGAGCTTTTGGTTCTCCATTATTGTTGATTTGTGGAATGTTCTTCATCATCATCATCGCGATGAATATGATCATAAATACCACATTGGATCAAAATTGGAGAGAGCTCCTTTCCAAACCAACGAACCAAAAAAATGGGCAACAAACAACAAGGTAAAAAGATGAACCCTTCTTCTTCTTCTACCCCTAAAACCAACAACGTATTCAGCCAATCCGGATGTGATCAACAAACAGCCGATGATGATCTAGTCACATTACAAACGAATGGAGTTGTAACGAATGCTTCAGGAGGTTATAAATTCTATCATTCAAAGCGTCATGGAGAGTATTGTTCTCGGAGTGTCGTGTTGGAGAGTATCGTACCCAAAGAAATTCCTTTTGGTTTATCTCCGTTAGGATCAAAATTGTTTTTCCAAAATGAACATAATTTAGAATTTAATGAGATATGTGTTGTCGAAGCAAGAAAACAAAACAAGTTACCAAAAAATAGTGGAATTTACAAGGCTGCTCTCATGGAAAATGATCTTGTTGTTTTGACCTATGGTGGCACTGTCCACATTTTTCGTCCTTCCGAGAATTTGTGGCTTGATGTTGATGTAGAGAATAATTTTATTTTCGATATGGAAGTGTCTGAAGTGAATGTATTTTGTATAACAGAAAATGGAATGTATGCATTTTCTACTTATAATAGTTGGGGACAGACGGGAACTGGTTCCACTCAGTCTCATCAACTGTCTTCAAATAATGTAGTGACCACTCAAAAAGTTACTACTTCAGAAGGAGTTGTTTTTGGTAGTGCGTATTCAGGTTATGGTCACACTTATTTTGTGACACTTCCAGATCGTAGATTGTTCGCAGCAGGTAAGAATCCGTTAAGCTGGTTTCAATTAATTATTAACAATAATAGGTAATACTGGATTGGCACAAATGGGTCGAACTGAATGCACGGATAGAGATTTTACCATACCTGTAGAGTTGAATGATTTTAAGGGGAAGTCTGTAACGATAATTGCCTCAGGCTATGCCTATTGTTTGTTACTGTTAACTGACAATAGCGGACATGTATTTGGATCCAACGATTACATGCAATTGGGATATGACGCACCAGCCAAAATCTTTTCACCTTTACCTCTTAAAATTCCTTCACAGGCCCCCATTAAGGGATTGAGCGCAGGACAGTAAGTTATAATGCTGCTTTTGTCATGGAGAACAATTTGATTCAACGGTTTCCAATATGGTTATTGATAATAATTTAGGTGGGTGTCTCTAGCACTTACTGAAGCAAATGAAGTGTTTGTGACAGGAAAGGTAGCTTCAGATATTCAGTACTCGGGTTGGACAAAAATTGATTTACAGGCCCATGGTATTCCTAGTAACTCCTTATTTGATGCTTATGTCATCCAGAACATTGTTTATTTATTATCAGAAGGTTTGTACTTGCATATTTTTCTTCCAGAAGAGGAACACTGATCTCATTCATTGATAGATGCATTTACCGTTATGGGATCCCGTTCGGTCACTCATGAACTATCTTCATTCAAATTTAATGTTGATATGGAATATAGGAAAGATGTAAAGTATCGAGTATATCCAAAGAGTCGAAATTGTACTTCCAATTTCTTCTTATTTTTCTATGTAGATTTGGATACAACCATTTCTCATCACTTTATTTTCAAATTTAACGAAAAGGACGATTTATGTGATGTGTTAATTGTAGCTAAGGATAGTTCATTAATTGATGATGATGGAGACAAATCTATTCTAGATATTGAACACAAACTCGCGTCAGATCTACTGAAAGAATGAAAGATTTCTCAGGCTGGCTGTTGACACAAATTAAGGTATGACAACTGATAGAATTCAAAAAAATTAAATACCATTTCAAGGTTTTCTATTTTGAAAGCAACTTGAACAAAATGCGACCCACACCATCAATATTCATCATTGCTCATCTGTTGATCACTTGTTCTTTTGCCCTAGTATTATTGGTTCAAACCACCACACCAAATGAGAACCCGTTTGGAATTTCATTGCAATTTCAAGAAGTAAGAGATGAACTCGACAACGACAAGTACTATCATCAAGGAAGAATTATTTTCAACAATGCACCAGTCGAAGATCCAGACGAGCTTCGCAAAATATTTATCACCAAGGCACCACCTCCTCATGTGACAGCAGATTTCGAAGCAAGAAGTGTGGAGTGTTCAACAGTCATTGGCCATTTGGGCTCGTCCATTTTCGACACAAAGACAACCCACGGATATGCTCAATGCAGAAAATTAATGGAATGCATGGTCACGTATTGCAAACAAGATTTGCACGTCTTGATTGGTTTTCTGAATCAGGAAACGTTGGTGCTGGACATTCCGAATGGAAAATCTCCAATCAATGTTGCCTTCGAAAAGATTGAGAACTTCCTTTCAAAGAGTTTTCCAAATTACAAGAGTGAAAATGATTTAATTCTTCTCTCATGTCGACAAGGTGATGGAGACGGTATGAATCAAAACAAGCCAATTCTAGCAGCAAATGGAAATGTTTACAAAAATCAATGTGTGGCAGCAATGGAAAATGCTCCTCAACCTTTTACGGAATTAAGTCTCGAGAGGAGTCCACCCTATTTGCAACAACCCAACTTGGACTCCAATAGAATTCCAAGCAGGAGAATTCTATTAAGACATTACCTGCAGATTGCTGTTAAAGTGGTGAAATTCCTCTCAAACTATTTGAAGGATCAATGTTTGTTCAGTACAGACGTGAGAGTGTTGCAAATGGCTGAACATCATTTGGAATTGGCTCTTCAAGAATTATTGTCGTATCCTGTAGATGTCATGCAAGACTCTTCATCGACATCCAATTCAAGAAGGGTGGTTATTCCAATTCAGGACTTGGATTTGAGTCGTGAGGTTATTCAGCAGTTGAAAGATATTTTGTTGAAGGTTGTTAAAATGTTGGTGTGAGAGAAATTAATAATTCTGAAAGAGGATGATCATCTATCTTGTAAAATTTAGAAAACGACACTCCGTTATCCATATCTTGCAAAAGTGGCTATAACAACGTTCCCTCGGGGTCTCTTAATTTCGTAAGATACTCACTTTTATAAATATTTCAAAGTTTATTGGAATAGATGTCAAAATCGGACAAAAATGTGTCACCTCTTTGCTCCATCATCACAAGCAAATCAACTTTTTCGTGATGTGAAATCATTACTCATAATCGCCTTTATTAAAACAACCTTTTGAACAAATCCACATTTTGACAATATATTTCGCTGGAGAAACATCAAACCAAGAAATTATCTCGGAAAATTTTGGTTTGGTTTGTTTCATAATATCATGTATTTCTACTTGAAAAGTTTGTTTCTTCTTTGGTTGCATTGAGTTCTTTAGCCGTTACAAAAAAAAATTTAATTCGCATTATGCCCTCATCATCAGTTTCGGGTGGTTCCAGTTTATTGGGAGGTGGTGAGAGAATTGTTATGGAGGGAGAAGTTCTGAGAAGAAGCTTGTTCTCCACTTGGAGAAAGATGTACATGTTACTAAAGGATGATGGATCTTTGCATCAATTTGGGAGGAACCCACAACTGTACCCCGAGGAAACTCTTAAGGAAACATTAATGATGAACTCTGGATATGTAATACAAATTGTGAATGCTGATTCGTTGTTGAATCAACAGTTTACTATCATGATTCTGTTCAACGACAAGGCACCCATGCTACTCAAGGCAAAAGACTCTGTTGAACACCAACGTTGGTTATCAGCGCTGAATAGGCTCTCTCTCATCAAGAATGAAAAGTTTAGATCCACCAATCAATTGATTATTGATGCCATTGAGATCATACCTATTCCATGTATTGTTTCCGATAAGAATAGAATCGTACAAAGCCTTAATTTTCCATGCCAATCCATCACTGGGCTAAAAAAGGAAGACATCAAGAATATCTCTTTAGCCAACATGATCCGTATTGAGGGAGCTCAGTCGAAAACAGGATCTACAACCTTAGGGGCGGTTCCAAAGGAAGCACATATTACTACCTCAGATAAATTTAAAAAGATTTTGATGCTTTCCTCACAAATTGAAACACAAGGCCACATTCTCGTATTCTTGCACGATATCAACGAATATGACGCATACTTGGATGAGGAACTAGAAGAAGTGTTTGATGAACTGTATCAAGCACAAATGAATGGGCCTAAAGAATCCATCGGAGGAAATGAAACCAAAACGATGAGACTATTTGTAAAAATATCTGGCATGTCTCCATTTGTATTGAGGCTTTACTTTGGATTACAGACTCACCACTACCAAAAAATTGTGGACATGTATTATAGCGACAAGTTGTACAACAAGAAGCCACCTGGGCCAATATTCTTGCAAAAAATAATTAATTTTCCAAATGGAGATAAGATGATGGAGTTTGGAAGAAAACAAGTGGCTTCAGATCGATTTAGCATGGAAGAACAAATCAAACTTGCAATTTATGATGAACCAGAGGCTAGCGAGGATTCCATAGTAATGCAAAAATGCAGTGTACCTGAAATGTTCAATGGAGATGTTCCCAAAGTCATTGGAATTAACAGATTACTACTGTTACTTACTGATGTGTATTCTCCAAAATATTTGACTGATGTTTTTTGGTACACATTTAGATATTCCATGAAGCCAAAAGTAGTACTGGAAAAGATATATCAACGATATTTTGTTCCAGAACCTTCTGACCAGGATCTGATATTCAATGATGTTGAAAAAACATATTTTACCACATTTGTCTGTACAGGCATCAAGAAGAAATGTTTAAACCTAATTCTGATGTTTGTGAAGAGTGGAATGTTTGATTTCGATAATGAAATGGTGATACATCTTCAAGAATTTCTAAACAAGGCTGAACAGTCACTGAACAACAATGGAGAATCAGTAAAACCAGTAACGAATTTAGATTTTGGTTTGTCTTCTACCATAAATCACATCCGGGAAATGTTGAACAAACAAGACAGAAAGCAACCATGGCAAAAAGCAAAAGATATGACAACATTATTTCAGTTACGGGAGAATAAGAAGGCAAAATTTGCAGGAGCGACCAATACTCAATCCTTACTTGATATTTCTGAGATGAGTCCAAAAGAAATTGCCGATCAACTCACTTACATGGACTATACCATCTACAATGAGATTTATTTTACTGAGATTCTCGACCAAGCTTGGAATAAGGATAAGAGAAGACATCAGGCACCAAATGTAATGGCTAACATCAACTTCTTAAACAAGGTGAGCACATGGTTTACTTGGAAAATTCTATCTGAAGATGCACATCTCAAGAGAGTAAAGATGCTAAAGAAGGTGATCCAAGTTCTGGGTATTCTAAAAGATATGAACAGCTTCAACATGTTAATGGCAATAATGGGAGTCTTGGGAGGAACATCCATTCACAGACTTTCCAACTTGTGGGAAGAAATGGACGAAAAGACTCTTGAGATTCAACAGCAATGCGCAGAGTTGGCTTCCACAAAGGGAAACAACAAAAACTTTAGAATGGCCATGAATGAATGCTACAGCAGCGGAAAACTCTCCTCTCCTTATATTGGCATCTATTTGAGAGACCTGGTCTTCACAGACGATGGTAATCCAACGATCATGGATGGAAAAATCAACTTTTCGAAATGTATCAACACGTACAATGTCATGCATCAAATATTGAGATTCCAAGGAAGACCGTTTGATATTGAACCAAACACAGACTTTATTAGAGAAATGGTTGCTTTCAATGACAAGGAAAAGAGTGAAGATTACCTCTACGAGCTCTCTCTTCAAGTACAGCCAAGAAAATAAAGGTAATGGGTGGACAGCCTCACTAATGTCGCAAACAAAATTTTCGAACATTTCAAACAGTTTTGAACTCTTTGCTGAAATTATATATATAAAATTACCTTACTCGGTCGGTAGCTTTAGGTGCGTTTTTGAAGGGCAAAGTGTCACCGTTGGTGTCCACCCAATACACCTTGCCTTCGACTACCACATATCCCTTAGCAGGTGCCAAATCACTATTGCTTCTACCAACTCCATTCACTTGTGAATCAAGATCTGGTCTTGATTTACTCGTTGCAATCAAATCACCATTGTCATTGACCATGTAAATAGTACCATCATTACCGTACAAGTAAGTTTTCTTTGAGCTTCCCGAGTTCACTTGAGATAGGGACGAAGAATCAGCTGGGCAGGCAACTTTTTCACCTAATTTGTTCAAAACGTAACATTGATTTGTAATTGGGTCTATATAAAAGGGCTGTCCATTTGAGTCGTGGTAAGTCGTTTGACCATTTTCATCCTTATAATAAACTCTTCCATTTGAATCGACAAAAGGACCGCCAGCCAGTATGTTAGGATTCACCACTTCAGCATAACGAGAGGACAAGGTGTTCACATAGATGGAAGAGGATTGAGGAGGAGTTTGTGTCTGAGGTTGAGAGGGAGGTTGGGTCACTACAACCACTGGAGGTTTTGGTTGTGACACAGGAGGTGGTTGCTGTGGTTGTGGATGTTGTGGAGGTTGTGGCTGTGGTTGAGGTTGAGGAGGAACTGTGATAACAATAGGTGGTTTTGGTTGCTGATGTATGGGTGGTATTGGTGTGGATGGTACAACCACCACTATTGGAGGCTTTTGAGGTTTTGGTGGAGTGGTTGTTGTTGTTGTTGTTTGTGGTGGTGTTTTGTAGTCGGTGGAGGAACAGTCACAGTTGGTGGTTTTTGAGTCTTTGAAAGATCCAATCCTGGGATATCTTGAACCGTATTTGGAGGTAAAAAGTAGATTTGTCTTCCAGTGCTAATATCAATGAAGTAATATCTACCAATTTCATCTCTAAAGTAGATTCGGTTGTACCTGTCAATAAAGTAATCCTTATTATTGTTATCAATAAAGAAAGGAAGACCAGTCTTCTGATCCATATAAAAAGCTCTACCCAAAGCATCAATAAAGTATCGACGTTTCTTATTGTCGTAGAGAGCCTGAGAAGTGGTTTCATTGGGATTGTCCAAATTGGGAAGATTTGGAGATTCTGGTTGGTTGGGATCAAAATACATGACTTGACCATCTTTGGACATGTAAAAAGGTCTTCCAAGAGCATCTTCATAGGCTGGAATTTTCTCTCCCTTGATTACCAAATTAATAGTTGTGAGAGGTTTGTTTGTGAGAGGTTGAGACACTCCATTCTTGTAGAGTTGAGCACCTTGAATAATATTCGAATACGAGATGGAAGTAAAGGAAGTGGTGATGGTGGTTTCACTCTTTGGTTGTAATGGTTGTTCGATTTGTAATGAGAATGCATGAAGGAAGAAGAAGGAACTCGACCAACAACATTCAGTGAAAGAAAAAAGCAACACCAATAGCCACAGAAAAGGCTTGCGTGGCAAGGAGAGATCCATTTGTTTTTAAGGAGGAAAGATGATCATGTGCGTTTGATCGCCATTGTGTTTTTGAAGAATGGATGAATTTGAAAATCTTTCTTCTTTAGTGAAAGTTCAAACAACTATTTTTTCTTTTTTAGGAAATTTGCCGAATGACAGGAAGGTGGTTACAAATTCGAACGAAGTCTCGACTCTTGGTGATTTCATTTCCTTGTGAAAGATCACCAAAAGGTTCAATAATGCAGCCCTTTTCATAGGTTGCTTGTTCTTCTTTCATGATGAAACATCAATTCTCTGCAACATTCGCTTTCTCAAGATTCCCTCTCGCAAATGTCTTAAATACGGTGTTGTCACTTGTTCTAGGAGAACTTTTATTGGGAATCTTTGTAATCACCACAACCACATCACGATGACAATAGAGATCATAGATTTAACAACAAAATTCAGAGATGGATGAAACTTTATTAATCCCACACACACTCAAACTGTTTTTTCAAAAAGAGATGTAAACTGGAAGAAGGGAATGAGATCATCCAGAAACTTGGGGAGCTTCATTACAATCACAAGCAATTTGACAACCATATCTGTCCTTCTTGTAACCATACTTGCATCCGATCAGACAGTAAATTTGAGGGCAATCTTTGCGAGGTTTGCAATCACATCTCTTTTGGCAGCCATATCGATCTGTCTTGTATCTGGTTATTTTGCAAGAGAAACATGAATTTGCGAATTTTCAAATGAGAATATTCACAATCTATATTCGAAATATGAATACATACCCATACTTGCATGGTATCAAACAATAATAAGTTGGACAGCCATGAATTCCATGTGGTGTGGGATGAGTAAGAGCTTGAACGTTGCTGGTGATAACCAACATGGATGCAGCAAGCAACGCAGTGGCGATTACAACAGCAATCATCAGGGATGACCATTTGAGACGATGATGGTTGTTGATCAACAACATTTTTTTGATGTTTTTGGACAATGAATAATAAATGCCTCAAGGTATTTTGATGTCACACAATTATTGCATTGATGCCGGTACATGAAAGCTTTAGGACATTTCCATAAAAGATGTTCTTCCACGCCAAGAGAAAGGTCCTCTTGAAAGTCCAACATTTCCATTCTTCTTCTCATTGTTTTTCATCACATGACTGGATCAGTGGCCCAACTCGTATGGAGGTCCTTCTTGCTTTGGTGTATTTCTTTTGTGTTAATTTAATATCCTTCATGCATAATGTGATGAAGAGATACTTTACAGTTTCTATTTTTGAAAATAAATAATTAAAAAAAATTTCATCACCAGCGTTTCTGTGTACCAACGTCCTCCGTACTTAATTCGAAATGAGTCCAGGGTTGATTCATGTTCAGTCCGAAGTACATTTTCATGATCTGCTGAAGAAGAATGAATTGGTAGTGGTTTATTTGAAAGCGGAGTGGTGTGGGGTGAGTTTATTATTTAAATCTGATTGCAATTCATTTATGAGGCGATTCAAAGGTGTGCACCCGATTTGGACCAGTTGTTGAAAGAATTTCTAAGGAAAAAGAAAAAGTGTTGTTTTTAATTGTAGATGTAGATAAATCTCCAACTATTCAGAAAGAGTTGAAATCAAAGGCAATGCCTACCTTTGTTTTTTTCCTTGATGGAAAAGAGTTCAGTAGAATTGACGGAGCGAGCGAACAAATGCTTCAAAACTATACGGAAACATTACTACTACAAAAACAACCATCATTTATGGAGAATGGAATTTTACATATTGTGAAGGAGAAAGACTTTAACGAGTCCTTGAAAAATCATGCAAATTGTGTGGTGGATTTTTATGCAGATTGGTGCCAACCATGTAAAATGATAGCTCCATCCTATGAAGAGTTGGCAAAAAACACGACAGATGTTCTGTTCATGAAAGTGAATGTAGACAACTTGCGAAATGTTATGACCAAATGCCGAGTAACATGTATGCCAACATTTTGCGTTTTCAAGGATGGAAAGATGAAAGAAAAAATAGAAGGCGGATCCATGCAGCTACTGAAAAAAGCAATTGACGACTTTAAACTTTCAACAGTAGAATACACGAAGAGGGATTTGATGGCAGCCGAGGCCGAGATTAAGGGCAGTGCTTCAAAAAGTGGAACAGAAAAGAACAAAGCTACAATGTCGCCAAAAACATCATCAACTGGGAAAAAAGCAAATCCCACAATAGCTCAGCCACCAACTAAAAGCGCGCACCAAGTTTCAAGCAGCTCTTCCACCAAAAAATCAACGACATCCTCCACCCATTCAAACAATAATCCCCCAAAAATGGATGCTTCACCACAAAAACCAAAGGTGGTAAAAAAAGAAGCATCTTCCAATTCAACACCACCCAGAGCTTCACAGAATATTTTAACAAGTCCTTACCTTTCATCTGTGCCTCCGTTCCGATCACCACACAAAGAACAAAAAGTGAAAAAGCAAAAGTCACCTTATTTGAATTAACTTGAATGCTTTTCAACTTTCACACGAGGGTACCTCAACAACAATTCGATTGTCCAACCTCCCTAACAGAGCTTATTAAACACGAATCCTTACTTCGAGAATTTGGATCCGAACTGGATTTCCTTTTCGAGCTGCTGGTTGCAGAATTTTCAGCGTTGTTCAAAGCGACTTGTGTTTCAGAAGAGAAAGTAGGCGGTGGATTGTAGATTGGAGGAGAATTAACATGGAACTCAATGAGCCTTCGAAATTGATTCACTAAATTATTCTTCTCCATCTTTCTCGCCTTCTCTACCAATTCCACAAGTTGTGGAACATTTCTAAAACGTTTAGGAGCATATTCGAGAACCTTAAAGTTGACGTTCACAGCCTTAATAACAAATTCCTCATCAAATTTCAACTGTTTGTGAGCATAATAAATAGAACCAGGATGAATAAAAATGGCTCTTAAAACTGCTCCTGTGTCGTCACAAAAGGGAAATGGATGCTTCGAAAAAAAGCAATGAATGCTTCCTATCGAGTAGTGTTTGCAAAAATCTTTCAGGGCCAAAAGATGAACATAAATTTTCTGCTCCCTTCTTCTTGTTTCTCTTAATTTTAAATATTGCGGGTTGTTGATATAAAATTCAAGAGAAAGAGTTGCTGCTTGGCATGATGAGTCTAAGATGATTGTGACTAGAGCGAACGCTTCGTCTGTGTAATTATTCATATAACGTTCTTTTTTTAAATAGTTGAGTAAGTTCAAGATGTGATTGAAGGGAGCTTTGGAATCCTAAATTAGCAATTATTCTTACGGGGTAATGAAATCAAATCATAATAAATAAATAATTTATGAGTACCATCTTCTTACATCTTGAAATATTCTTCACGTGCTTGTAACATTAAATCATTGACCGCTACCTTAGTTTGCTCGGTTAATGTGTCGACATCTTTTTCCAAGGTCATACCGGCGACACTAATTGGAGTTCCGACGACGATACAAGCTTTACCTGGTTTTGGTAAAGCATCGTGAATAGGCCACATTGAAAATGTTCCATATAAACCAATAGGTACAATGTCAGCTCCAGTTTCAAGAGCCATAATAAAGGCTCCTTTTTTCCAGTCCTTCAATTCATCAGGAGTATCGTTTCTTCTGCCTTCTGGGAAGAAGAATACAGCAGCATCATTTTTCAAATGTTCTTTAAGTTTGTTCATGGAGGTTTTGACTGAATCTCTGTCAGTGGACATGTCATCCATTTTCTATGAGTCATAATAAAATTGTCAATTTGACAATTTACATATTAAAAAATTCATATCAATTACATGTTGTTGAAATAATATTAGAATTTACAATTCAACGATTCTCTAAACTTACCTTACTCTTGAAGGCAATTGGCACATCTCCAGCCTGTTTCATCATACGACCCGCAAAAGGAACTGAAAACAAGTCACTCTTTGACACCCATTTGGTCTCAATCGGTAAAGGTCCGCTGATCAGCACAAAAGGATCCATATTCGATTGATGATTGCAAACAAAAACCATTTTCTTTTCAGACTTTGGAAGTTTGCTCTTGTCAGTGAATTTGGTTTTTAGTTTCCAGTATGGATTTGATTTGACCACCATAGCAGTGGCTCCACGGAAAATCTTTCCGAGCAGTGTCTTCTTCTTGTCCAATCCGAAATATTTATGTCCCAAATAAATAGGAAGGGTCAAGAGCCATGCTATCGGCCAAACCAACAACAGCCCAAGTCCAAACCACATTCGGCACATCCAAGCCGAGAGTGATTGATCTTGTTTGTGTCGTTTCTTCTTTCCATCAATGGTAGCTTCAGATAAATTTAAAAGAGGAGTCGTACTCATGGTTGATGATGATTCCACCGACTCGCTATGAATCAAACTTGACTGAGAAGACGACAAGTTCTCTTCTTCAATCAAGGTGGTGCTTGTCTTTTCCTCCGAGATTTTGTCGCTGGATGATACTGTTGGAGATTGTGATGCCATTTTTTTGTCCGATTTTGTGAGCCTAGAATTTTTTTCCAACAACAAGACCTGGATGTCGAAAAGTAATTTGTTGATTACGAATTGATTGATTCAGATTTCAAATTTCAGATGTTAATTTAAAAGCTCGTTTATTGTCAACATTCTTCGTGTTTGCCTTTGTAGACAGGTATTGTTGAATTTATGGGTTGTGGAGTTGTGGGTGTGTGATGGTTTAACGTGAAGGACCTCAGTGGTCTTGGACTCTCCCACAGAGCAACACTCAGTTTCCTTAAACGGCCGCTCAAAAGATTCATCCGTATCGCAACCGTGGGTCAAATGAAAACTTGGTCGACGTTGTGGCATTTCCGTGGCGAGTTGCTGTTGTTGAGAGGAATTGATGTTTGGATGCTGTCTAGAGGATGACGGAGAAGGACTACAACGATCAATGTTGTTCGAACAAGTCGTCAACAACTCCTTCGAGGGAGTTTCCATGAAAGCTTCTTGTTTACGAGTCGAAATTGTCGACTTTTTTGGTCGAACGGGAATCAACTCTTGCTGAGTGGAGGTTTGAACAAAATCAAGCAAAACTTGTTCATAAGGTAATGTTTGAACTTTCCTTGCTTTTCTTGTGACACACATCATGTAGCTCTTCATTCGAATGGAAGGGCTATGGAAATACATTCCTGACTTGTCGAATGATGTGAATGAGTGATTCAATGACATCATGCCATTCGTTGTTTTGTGTTGTTTTTGGATTTTGTGGGATAGAGTTGGGTTCATCATCATGGTTGAGCTCAATGGGTGGTTGTGAGTTGATGGTGCTCGAGAGTGAATGACGGATCCTTTTTCCTGGTGAGGTCGTGGAAGCGAAGTGGATGTTGATTGAGAGAAATGCATGGTGTTAAATGGAGGATTTTTTTGTTCAGAGATTCTTTGAAGAGAGAGCTGTATTGTGAAACGTGTTGAAATCCTCTTGTGCTTATCATTCAAATGACGATCACCATGCATCACAAAAAGTTGGAGTATCTCCTGCATCGTAATTTCATTTTGACCATGACAAAAAAGGATCAGCAAAATGAATTTTTGTTGTGAACCTTGACAAATTAAAAGTGGAGACCAAAATTCGTGAGAATCTACAAAAAAGAATTATGAAGGGTCACGTGTGTCATCCTATTGAAGCAATTTATGTTTCCAAATTGAACAAAGAAAACTAATGAAAGATGTTCGTTGAAGCCAAATTGTGCGAAATGAAAAAAGTAAATTTGGTGTTTTTTGGGAGAGATGTATGTGGAGCTATTTCATTCTTAGTTGGCCTGAATAATGAGATATGTTTTATTTGTTTCCAATTTCATTGCAATGATCGAACAGAGGATGGCAAGCAATAGGTAATTGTTTACAAATAAGTGATTCAAGCAGATTCCCATTGAATGAATATTCTATCAACGATGTGTCATTTGTCAATCACTTACAACAAAGAAGAAAAATTGTAGAAAAAGTATCAGATGCATCAAGTTGTTTATTGTACAAGCTAATTGTTCATGTCCTTATTTTGTTGAGGTATTCCATTGTCAACATTCAATAAATAATTACCAATTTTGTTCGAAAAATTGGCTTGAGAGATGGAAGGATGCATTTTCGATTGTTTCGTCACCGACCGCACCAACATAAAGGAATTGTGAGACTCTACAGAAGTTTGGCTTTCGTTGTATATTAGATCTGTAAGCCCATAAAAGTCAGCCTCAAGTAGAAAAACAGGCCAATCATGCAACTTCACCGAAACATAGCCAACTTGCAAGAATTGATAAATTAAATTGAAAAACTTGGAAGGTCTATCAATCAAAAATCTTCCTTGATCGTCCATATTTCCATACGATTCTAATCTATAAATTCTCTTATCGAAACCAGCTCGTGCAAGCACCAATTCGCTAACTGTTAGCTGAATGTCAGAAAAAACGAGAATAAAATATCCTTCATAGATTCTTTTGGGGCTGGATGATCCTCTTGAAGATTCTTTGGCTTGTTGGAGATTATTCGTTGATATTGAGTTTCTTCTTGACATTTGTGGTGGATTAATGGAGGATTGAATTTCATTCTGATATTCGGCAGTGCTTCTGAGCTCACGTAGGCGTTCTACAAAACGTTGAGGGCGATCACAGAGGCACAAGTTGGAAGCTGATAATCTTTCCCAACTCTTGAGATGACTCCTAATGTGAGCATAGTGAAAACATTCTGATTTTTTCACTTCTAGAATTAAAATCCATAAATTGGGGAAATTCGTTGTCTTTTTAAACTCAAGCCTGTAATGGATTCCAACTCTTGGTGTAGGTGTGATTTGAAAGTTCCTAATACAATTGTCGAAAAGAAGTCTTATTTTGTCGCGTTGTTTCTCACTCAGTTTCATTCCCATCACCACTCCATTGTCATTGACACCAAAGATAAGAGCTCCTCCATTCGAGTTTAAAAAAGCCAATAAATATTCCGTTAGTCTTTCTCCAAGCTTTGCATAATCTACAACTCCGTCCGCACTTGTGGTAGCGTTTGAAGTGGATGGAGAGAAATGAGCATGTTTGTGTTCTAATACTGTTGGAGTTGGAGATTTATCAAACGATCCAATCGTGTCTGAGATGAGCTCTTTCTCTAATTTTTGGGATTCTTCCTTACTGGTTGTTTTAAAATTCATATAATCGCTAAAAACAGTCAATTTATAGTCCACAGTGTTTCCTTCATCCACTGGAAGCTGTTCACCAACTGTAAAATCGACACATTCGATCCAGTACCATTCTTGTTGTGGAGATGTCACTGTTGATGAGGCTCTACTTCCTCCATTACTAGTGTTGATTGAGATGGTGTTTGAGACGTTGTTATTGGAACAATGATTGGTGTTGTTGACATTGCTTATTGAACAAGGAGAGGCATTGACATGACGAGCGGAGGATGTAAAAAGAGATAATTGTGGATGTTGATGTTTGCTTGTTGTAGTGCCATTAGGACATGAAGAAGAAGTATCATTACCACCACGACCACCACACGCTGTTGTTGTTGTATTCTCGATGGTTGCAGGAGGATTGGTTGGAAATGGAGGTGGGGATATATCACCTCCGTCATCATCAGAGCCACTATATTCATCATCATTCATAAATTCTTCCTGAAATGATGATGATGGGATGGTTTTTGATGATTTGGTTGTATCTGACGAATTTTCGTTGCTCATCATGCTGTTTGATTCATGAAATGTGGATGATGATGATAAATCCTTGTGTGTGTTCATCTTTTTAGAGATATTCACAATATTGTGTATTCGATTCAATATTCCAAGAGTGGACAATGGGTGTTAAACAAAATTGCCAATCCGATGAAATCAATGAATTTCTGATGATGATATTTCTGTGATAATATCAGTTAATAGTCCAAGTAGTAGTGATCTCACTCTCTTGTTTCTCTCTCAAGACCTGAATTGAAGAGAGAGGTGGCCACACACGACGAAACGCAAATCAAAAAAATTGATAATTTTTAGTGTTCTTTTTTGACATGTCGTGAACAAAACAAGCCTTTTTTACGATCTCTGCAGACCGAAGACTCATTTTGTTGTTGATTAAATTAATATTAATATTACATCATATTAATAATATATCAACGAAAAAGCAAAGACACAGACACATAGATGAAAGAGTCTGAATTTCAGAAATTAATACTGATCAAATTCAAGGCCATCTAGAAGGTCAATTCTATTTGAGAACTGATCATGATGAGAATGGGGTTCCACTTTCTCGCATCAACAAAGCTTTTCCAGTCAAACAAAAATCATCACAAATGATTTCTCATTCCAATTCGACGTTGAGCGTGCAACCATCAACACCATTGTCGTGCAGTTCTGATATTACCTTGAGCATGGCAATCAGAGAAGGATCTTCTACTGAGCTTTTGGAAAGCACTGCAGAGCGAGGTGTTGTGGAATTGCAGGAAGACAACCAAAAAGAAAATAACCAGCTAGAAAAAGACACTGGAAGAATACCTGGTGAAAATTAATGATTGGAGTTGGAATTCAAAACAAACTAAAAAGGGATTTCTTGGATTTAAAGTGAAGAGATTTCCGTCCAATACTGTAAAAACAACAAAGGTTTGTATTGAGAAGTTGATTGACCGGTAATGATCACCTTCGATTCACACCAATCAGTATACTTGGTGGAACTTTCCTGTTTTAAACCTTTTTCATCAATGTAGAAGAGTTGGTACAATATATTTCCTTTTCCAAATGATTATATCATTAATACCTGGAGTTGTGACTGTATCTATTCCTCTAATTATTTTACCTGTAATTTTTATAATAGCTGTGAATATGATCAGAGAAGGAGGAGAGGACATTTTTTCGTTATCTTAATGATCGAAGGGTAAATTTATATCACGCCTCTGCTTTGAGAGAAGGAACATTTTGTAGAATACATACTTGTGACATGAAAGTTGGCGATATTGTCAAAGTTGAACAGGATGAAGTATTACCTGCAGATGTACTATTGCTAGGCTCAAGCCAAGCAGATTCAAGTTGTAAAATTGAGACTGCCAACCTAGATGGAGAGTCTTCCTTAAAGTCTAGATTTGCACCAAAATTGTCTCAAGCTTACAATTCAATAGAAGCTCTTGTAAACCTGAAGGGACAAGTCAAGTGTCAAGAACCTAATGAACACTTGTACAAATTCAGTGGTACTATTCGCTTGGAAAACGAGAAATACGAAATTCCTTTATCTCATATGAATTTTCTGTTGAAAGGATGCAAATTGAAATCGGATTGGATATTGGACTTGTTATTTACACAGGGGTAGATACCAAGGCAATGAAAAATATGAACAAATCTATTGTGAAGTTCAGCTATGTCAACAAGATGCTAAACATTATGATTGGTATAATGTTTTGTATTCAAATTGCCTTTTGTCTGGCCTACACTATTGCTAAAACAAATCTTGAGTTTTCAAATCCATACTATCTCGGTACACCTAACCCAGTAAGAGAAAATGCAGCCCTTGCGACCTTAATGTCTTTTCTCACCTATATTATTTCTTTTGCTCACTTTATTCCAGTGTCATTGCTTGTTTCCTTTGAGTTGGTAAAGGCTGTACATGCATGGTTTATCTCAATGGACAATGAAATGACAATCACTGAATGTTCTAATGATTCACCCGTGGACAATAGCAGCAAGGAAAATGTAGACTCAAAGTTTGTTTCTTCTGTTGCCATTTCTAGTGATTTGAATTGCGATCTATCCCAAATTGACATGATTTTTTCTGACAAGACTGGCACCTTAACAGAAAATTTAATGGTATTCAAAAAATGTGCCATTGGAAGAGAATTGAAAGTATTTTGTGCAAGCAATGATGAAAACGAATGTTTAGGGAAACAGGTGGAATCTTTTAAGAACCACACAGGTCATGAAGAAAAACATAATTGTGGCCAATCTAATTTCTATGAACTGTCCATGACCGAAGAACAATTTTTCTTTTCAGTCGCGGCACTGCTAACAATGTCTCTATGTCAAAATGTTGCTGTTAGACATGTCACACGTTCTAAAACTAATGAAATAACATATGAAGGGGAGAGCGTAGATGAAGTGGCACTTGTATTGGGAGCTTCGAATAACCAATTTTCTCTTGTTTTCATGTCAGACAAGAAAACTGTACTAAAAGTGTTCAATAAGGAGTATACTTTTGAGAGATTAGCAGAGATACCATTTACACCAGACAGAAAGAGAATGACAACTGTATTCAAGATTTCTCAGGAATTTCTAAAAGATTTTCCTATTTTCGAAACGTTTTGCATTGGTCAATGCGAAGAAGATATCGCCGTTGACAAAGATGGTATGATTATTTGCTTTACAAAAGGGGCAGATTCTTTTCTGTATCCACTTCTCGAACAGTCGAATAAGCAGCAAGTTCAGTTAAACATTGACGAGTGTTCATCAAATTTCGCAAGTGAGGGTCTTCGAACTCTTTTGCTTTGTTATAAAGCTCTATCTAAGGAGACATTCGAAGAATGGAACATGAGATACAATGCGGCTAAAACGTTACTTTTAAACACAGCCAGAAAACAAGCAATGGACAAGTGCGAGAAAGATCTTGAAAAAGATCTGATATTTGTCGGATGTACTGCTATTGAAGACATTTTACAAGACGGTGTTCCATCCACAGTTAAATTCTTCCTAGATTCTTGTATTCAAATTTGGATGGTTACAGGTGATAAACGAGAAACAGCAGTTAAAACAGCGCAGGGATGGCAGGAATGCTGAACGAAAATTCTGTAACATTTATCCTTGATGACGATAACGGACCGACTTCTGAGAGTAATGGCTGTGCAAAGGTAATAACTGAATACTTGGCAGAAATAGCAAAACTATCACAAAATCAATCCGAAAATGTAACACTTGTGTTGGATGGAAATTCATTTTCAAACTTTTTCAAAGATGAATCACTTCCTCTCTTTAAGGATCTTATCAAAAAGTGCAACACTGTCATTTGTTGCCGTTCAACACCAAAACAAAAGTCCCAACTTGTGACATTTGCAAGAACTGAATTGAAAAAGAGAGTACTCGCTATTGGAGATGGAGCAAATGATGGTAAGTGTTTATTAGAGCTGATCATTAATGAACACCATCAATCTAACTTTAATTTTTTAGTTCCAATGATTCAAAAAGCAAATGTTGGTGTTGGATTAATTGGTAAAGAAGGAAATCAAGGAAAGACAATACCTAAATTCCGAATGTTAAAAAGATTAATTGCAGTTCATGGAAGATATTCTTTGAAGAGAATTGCCTCCTTTATCAATTACTACATTTATATGAACCTTGGCATTGTTTTCATTCAGGTTCTTTACTCATTCTATACGAGATTTTCAGGACAAGCATTAACAGAGGATTTTGTAGTTATATTTACCACTTTGTTTTTTCAACAACTCAATCCCTTAAGCTTTGGAATATTTGAAAAAGATATTTCAGAACACCATTTGCTAGATTCAAAAACAGGACCAAAGTTGTTGTCATCTCTTCGAAGAGAAAATGTTTTTAACCTTTACACGTTTGTCAAATGGATAGGTGGAGGAATACTCCATGTCATCATTATATTTTTCGTGTGCATTTATGGAACAGAAAGAAGTATTTTGACGAACGGCAGAGATGATGGGCTTTGGATGAAGACAGTACTTGTCAACTCTTGTAGTTTCATGGTTATGACTTTGAAATGTTATCTTGAATTTGAGCATGTGACACCATTTCATCAATTTGCAATGGCCTTTTCCTTTGTTACATTCTATGGATTTAATTTGTTGTATGCTGCAGCAGAAACTTCTCCGCTCTATAACATTTGGTATTCGTGTGCTCAATCTCCAGTATTTTGGTTTATCCATTTGCTATGCCTTATTTCAACATTGGGTATCGATTTTACAATCCATCACCTCAAAGAACTGTTTTTTCCAGATTATTATCAACAAGTGAAACGTAAACAGATCATGTAAAGCGCAACACCTTTATGGAACAGTGTTTTTCATCTTGCAAATAATTGACACGAAACGTGTTTCATGTATTACGCAAAACTCCGAATGATGACATCAATTTTTCTCATTCATAACTATGAATAATTCTCCATTGATTGTTCGAGTATGTGTCACATTACTTTGTCTTGGTAGCTCTCAAATCTCTAGCAATTAGTTCTCGCTTCTTGTCCATTCTAAAAACCAATGTACCAATTAACACAGGGAATACTAATTGAACCACCACAAGCAAAATTACAACATGACTCTTTGCCCATCTCATCACTGAGACAAAACTCAGCCATGAAAATCTCTCAGAATGAGCCAAACCATCCAATCCACGAATCCACCCAATCAGCAACTCAAATAAGACAGATAATAACAACCACCAAATGCCGATCAAGAACATATTTCTCTTCCTCTCAAAAGAAAAAAATCTGTGGTTGGCTTGTGTTGGCTTCCTCATATTTTAAAGCTTGATTTTTGAATTTCCTCTTTTGTATAAAAAAGTAATAAATGATCATCAAGTTGATGAGAACAAAGGAAATAGTAGCAAATATGTGAGACCATAGTTCTCCTGCCAGAGGCTCGTATACATTGACTCGGAGAAAACTATTTGACACGGAAAGAATCAAAAACGCAAGCCAAAACATGCTCGAGTGAAAGAGAAGAAGAGAGGTTTGCATTTTTTTTCTAATTCTCCTCGTTGGATTTTGGTTGGCCACTTCCTTTTCACCATGAGAATTGGAATACACAAGATAACAACCGTTATCTTGTTTTGATTTGTTTCTGGAAGAATTTATACATATAATCGTTGCAATTCAAAGTGTGGAACACTTTCAAATTGAAAAACAAATATTTTCGTTAAATTTGCCGTTAAAAAAATTGAAAAAATATTGAAAAATGTCTTTTGGAAGTCAAACGAAAGAACGACCAGTGACTTCGTTGCGGTTTTATGTTCCGCTTCAACCTATTGATTTTGATTCGTATGAAGATCCTAGAGCGAGCGCTTTTCAAACTTGTGTTGTTAATTTTGAAGAATTAATGGCCAAGACAAAGAAGGTGCTCGGAATTAAAAAGAAAAAACCCAACAACGACAAGAAAGTGATTGATGATAGTGAAGATGAAGTAGTAGCATCATCGGAAGCAAAAGTGGGAGCTACAGGAAGTAAGGATCAAACGAACGGAGTAGAAGATTCTGTAACCAAATCATCACAACCCAAAATGAAACCAAACGAGGCTGATGGAGAAGATATTACAAAACCACCAACCATTGACGACGATAGCGAAGAAGAGGTAGTATTTGCATCAGAGGAATCCATCAGTGAAGAAGAAGACACAGTTGAAAAAACAAGGAAAAGGCTCAAAAAGAACACTCTTCTTGAGGAGAAATTAAAACAAGTAGCGTTTGGTGATGAGGAAGGAAGAAGAAGAATTGCCGAAGATTTAGATTGGTTAGACGATTCAGGAGCGCCGTACTCCAAGTTGAATTCTGTTATTCACAGTATCACACAAAGAGAAAGAATGCTAAAAAATCAATTGACAATCCATGAACAACACCGAAAAATCAGCTTAGAATCGAGTAAAAAGAAAAAAGCAGAAAAAGAACGAAAAAAACGTGATGATGAATATGACAGTGACGATTCATGGATTGATGACACAGAGTATGATTTGATGACGGATATTCCAATGCTGCCTCCATCAGAATATCAAACAATAACACCAAGCTCCACTCTCAAAAAGAAAGGCGACAAAAAGAAAATTGAAGATGATGAAGAGGGTAGCTCTGAAGATTCTGGTGGTGAAGAATCCCTCTCGGAGGATGACTATGCAAACAAAAAATTCCCTGAAGATATTGAAAAAGCAATTCAGGAATTGCAAGATTTGGCAGTAGAAAAAGGTTTTGATTCTTCAAAAACGTACAAGACAATACCATCAGAGCTTAATGAAGGTCTTAAAAAACTGGCAATGGAGAGAATGAAGCATTACAAAAAAGGTGTCCCAAACACATTGCTGAGAAGATTGCGAAAGATACCTCCCCTTAATTTTGGACCGAAAACTATTAAGGAAAGAATGAAAGCGCTTGTGCAGGAATATGAAGCTGGTCAACATCCTGTTGAGATACAAACCTTGAAAGATAAATTGAAGAAGAGCTTGTTCAAGGATATGCTTGATTGTTTAGAAAGAAAGGGACAGAAAGAAACTCATCCATATTCAGACGAGAATTATGAAATTCTACGTAAAAAAGTCAGAGATTTAGAGGGTGGTAGGCTGAAAAATTCTTCAGAAACAAACGAATTAATGACAACAATAATTAGAAAGATTTTGAAGACAAGCGGAGACCAATCGAGCAAGAAAAAAGGAGAGGAAGACGACAAAAAGAAGGAAGTGGATAGCTTCGTGAAAGGTTTCTTAAAGTCAATATGGCCCACAAAAACAGATTTAATGAAAAAGGTTAGAAGTTTATGCCCTGAGTTGGAGCCAAAGACAGCCACGTCATCTTCTTCATCTAGTGCCACCAGTTCTTCTACATCGTCAAAACCCTCTGATACAACAGAGACCTCTAAAGTCACCTCTGAAGAGAAGCAACAAGAAAAAACGACATCCATCGAAAAAAAAAGAAAAGAAGGAAAAGAAGGACAAAAAGAAAGACAAGTTGAAGAAAGAAAGCAACGATGACGAGAAAAAGAGAAAGAAGGATGAAGAGGACGATGGTATTACGGCAAGAGTAGCTAGAAAGAAGAAGAAAAAGGAATAATCATCATGTTTATTTTTATGGTTGTGAACTTGGACATGTGTGTTTGGTTAAACTTCCATACTTGGAACAGCCGCCACTTCGATCATAGATCCGTTGTTTGAGTGTTACTTTTGAAGTGGTGATAGAAGGTGCATTCTTTGCAGCTCTGAACTATTAAAAGAAACTGGAACGCGATCATTTACACAAACAAAAAAAACATGTCTGGAATTAACAATGGCAACCAAAGACTGCCAGTTTTACCCAGTAGATTTGGCACTAGAACAAATGCACAAACGTTTAGAGCTCGTCAAGAAAGGTCACTCTTTATTAACACAAAAATCAAAAGGTCTGATGGATAAATTCAAAGAGACCCTCAAAGATATCAAAACGTGCAAAGAAGATCTCCCAAACTTATTTAGACAAAGCTTCTTTAGTCTTATCCAGGGTCTGAAATCTGCTAAATTGAAGCAAAATCCTCGCAAAATCCAATGACGAGACTTATCAAATTTTATTGGTTGCTTGATTTATTTGGATTGAGAAGAACAACTGGTTAAATGACCTTGTGAAACGTCATTAACAATTTTGCCATCGACAGTCTGTTGCATGTTACTGAAATACTTGGAAAGGCCCTTCTCAGACTGAATCAAAACCTTATTTAAATTGTCACAGGCCAAATCCATCAATAACAACCAATTTTGTTTCACTTGATCGCTGACTTTTGAAATTTGTGTATCGGTAGAGATAACTTGTCTAAATTCTTCGGGAGTTTCTACTAAATGTTCTGAAATCAAGAACACTACCCTTTTTTCTTGTCTCAATCTAGGTAATAAACATTTCAGTAGGTTGGGCAGTAATTTCTTGACTCCAATTAAGTTGATGCATATTTTCAATCGAGCCTTTTTTGGCTGGTATGGAGTTTTCATTATGGGATTTTCAAAACCGATCTTGTCTTTGGTTTGTTGGATAAACTCGTGCAATAACTCTTGGCCCTCTGTGAAAAGCTCATTCACTGTGAGGTCTTTATCTTTGATAAATTTCTTTAGCTTACTAAATTTCTGTATTCTGTCAATTATTAAATTGTAATATGGTGTAAAATCATTCATTTCATTTTCAATAATATTCTCCAGAATGGCCATTTCTTGTTGATAAAGTCCAGTATTATCGTTCTTCTTTTCTGGTTCTTGAGCTGGAATAGCACCGCCCAAATAGTGAATAAGTGGAGGTGTTGGACTTAATGCTCGCTCAATGGCATTCAAAATCATATGCTCAGTGTCATAAAACTTGTCAACATCTACAAGCTTGTCTCTGTTTGATCTGGAAATGATGATAATGGCTGGTCGACCTTCTCTAACAACGATGTCTTTCAAATAGTTAGAGGATCGTCTAATTTCCACGTCGGTAGATGGATGAGAGGGAGTCTATGTTATTGTTGTATTAATATTCCATTAAAATATATTAAAGATATATAGTTACTTACACTTGCAGAAGGACAAATTCCAAATAAATTATTCACATAACAATATTTTCGAACGGACGGAAATTCATATTCATATCTCAATAGTGACAACACATAATATGGAATATTGTCAAGCATGATGAGAACGAGTTTGTTGATTTTTCGTAACTCCTCGAGAGCAGCATGTGGACCTTCACACCACATGTCCAACAAATTTGGGCTGTAGAGTGAATTTTGTGGAGCTCTAATTCCGTCCGATTCAAATACGAGACCTCTGAAAAACATTTCATCTAAAATTTTTGAAATCCAATCTCTGTTTTGCTCCTCATTCGTGAGTTGAGTGTTTTCATCTTCTTTTGATGGAATAGGTATAGGTTTTTGATAACATATTTTCTTTGGTGACACCAATTTAGAAAGCATGTCAAATAAATGTCCATATTCTGCATGTGGTAAAAGATTATTAATGAGTGGATCTTGTGCTGTGAAAAAATCCTCACTCACATGAAGAATATATGGAGTGTTGTTGAAAATTCGAGCATTCAATCTTGCAATTTGATCAATAGAGTATACATCCCACCGAACATGTTTGGGTTTTACAAGATATTCAGTTCTCGTGCAAGTGGTCTTTTCATTCACATAAATCTTTCCTTCTGAATTCATGGTTGTTTCAAAGGTGAAATCGCTTAAACTTCCATCCCAAAAGATTCCTTTCATTTTCTTATAGCAAATCTTGGATTTTCCTCTTTTTGGATTTCCTCTGGCTCCCATGACTGCAATATGTCTCCCTCGTGGAAGAGCAAAATGAGAACCTTCCCAATCGTTGTGAACCCAAATGACATGACTTCCAATGAGGTTGTAATACTGACATGTCGAGATAAAATTATCTGCGCCAATTGACTTTTCAATCTTGGAAATTGTTTTCTTTTTCGACTGTAAGGTCAGTTTTAAAAGTTTAGAATTTTGTAAAATTTTGTGACCAGAATGAGAATCCAAATGTAGAATTGGAAGAGCCATATCTTGTGGAATTAATTTTTCTTGCTTTGTGAGTAGCAATGCACTCAACAGTTGATTGTGGTCATTCACAATTCCCAAAAATACTTTTTGAATTGGATTTTCAGCATAGAACATTCTAATTTTTTCCATTTCTTTTTGCATGGCAATACTAAGTTTATCTACTTTCGACGTCTCCTTATCCGCTTGTTCATGCTCAAATAATTTGTTATAACCTTCCTCTAATGGCACCGATCCTAAATGGTGTGAATTCTTTTTATGAAGTAATTTGAAGAATTCGTCCACTCCTCGCAATACCGAGTGTTTTTCAAGTTGATATAATTTTCCTTGAATGTCACCCGTGACTCCTGCATTGGTCATTTCAGTACTGATGGATCTATTTGGGTTTCTAGTCATGGTATAATAAATGAAAACAAAAAATGTCAACAAAGAAAGAACAAATACAATCCCCAACACAATGTAGGATAAATTACAAAGAAATCCACCACTCGAACTTCTCCAATTTCTTCTAAAAACATTTGCTCCTCGAATGGGAGGAATTGAAAAATTAATTGGTAATTGAAGTGACGAGGATGAGGAGGACGATGAATTGTTTTTTCTATTAATGGTATGATTCTGGTGAGGAGACGAAGAAGAAGCACCAAAAAACGATGAAGAAGATACTTGCTGACCAGTGTGACCAGTGGTTGTGTTCTTGTTGCCAAGGTAGGAAGAGCCTAATTTTTGATGCATGTGATTCATCAATGAAGATGATGTGTTGGATTTACCAAAGAGGAGATTGGAAGAGAAAGAGGATTTTCCTGAAGTTGGAGAGGAAGTCGGTGATGGTTGAGAAAATTTAAAAAGTGGTGAATTCTCTCCCGATGATGATATTGTTGTTGGTTTGAAGGTTGAAATGTACAACGAAGAAGATGTTGAATCAGAGGAAAGTGTAGTTTTAGAACTAGTGCCACTATCTCCACCACTATGGTCATCATCGGATGATGATTGTTGTTGATGATGAGAGAGGGCGACGAGATGTTTCAGTTGACCTCTGATCATTTTTTTTGTAAATAGGTAAATACGCATCAATTTAATTGACGTCAAGTCCAACAAAAATGATCAACGGCTCAAGAGACATGTTGTCGTCTTTTACGGAAGGTCTTGTGACGTATGCTTGTCAAGATTTAGAAGAAGAATCAAGAGAAGAATTAATATATATGGCGAAATTATGTGAAATTGCTGAATGTTATGATGGTTTGTGTTTCATTGTGAATTTATTAAATAAATAAATGAATAATTTTAATAAAATCGAATATATGATGGAACCAACCAACCGTCATGATCATCATCATCGGGATTATTGACATTGTGGTTGAGATTTCTTTCAGACATGAGAATTTATATGAAAAAAATTATTCAACTCAATTCAGAATTATCCATTTCTGAAAGGAATTTATTATCGGTGGCCTACAAACAATCGGTGAACCCCAAACGTCATTCATGGACAATGACTTCATCGATTTGTTCCAAATTATCAGAAAAGAATGAAATTCAACAATTGAAAATGGCACAACTCTATCAACAACGCATTGAACATGAAATTACGGAAATTTGCAATGAATTATTTCATTTGTTAGATCACTATTTAATACCCACTGCCAATCGTATCCAAGATGGAGAAGCAATTCTGTTCTTTTTCAAAATGAAAGGTGATTATTATCGTTATTTGGCATTTCAATCCAAATTAAGAGGAAACAATGACGATGGTGAACTTTTAAAGTACTACTCTCAACAAGCCTTACAAGCTTACGAAACTGCACGAACCATGTCGACAACAATTCCAGCAAGTGATCCACTGAGATTGGGATTCGCTCTCAACTGGTCTGTGTTTTACCATGATATCATGGACATGCCACGAGAAGCATTCAACATTGCAAAAGAAGCGTTTGATGAAACATTGAATGAATTAGATACACTCTCTGAGGAGTCTTATAAAGATACTGCTTTCATCATGCAATTATTGAGGGATAGCCTTACATTATGGGATTATGATGCAGAAGAGGAAGAGGACCGGGTACAAAAGCAAGATCACCACTAAGACCATTGGAAAGAGATTCTCAATTGAACTAACTCACTTTGGAAATGAGTTGTTGCATATATTGACACAACTTCCAAATGAATGATGACTTGTCAAGTATTTATATCAACACGCCCTGATGATTTTGATGCTTTCAGTTTTGAAGTATGGCGTTTTTTGCGAGAGGATTCTTTGTCGGAATAATTTCACTACACCGTCGCGGTGTGTCATTGGGTTAGAATCAAAAAATTGACGTCGAAGATGCATCCTCAACAAGTCGACAGTACTGTTTCATCCTTCTCCTCCTCCTCTCCTTCGCCACTGTCCATGACAACAACCTCGCATCGAGTGGCTCATCTGTCCAAGAAATTTGAATCAAGCCCATCCACAGCCACTGTCAACGGCGTCGGTCTGCTTTCACAGAATGATCCATTCGTCACAACCACACGAGGAACAGCGATGAAGAAGAATGTCATCAACCAGAACAACAACACGACGAACAAGCGCCATACCGTTTCCTATTCCTCGAGCAATTCCGCAAAGAACAAAATTGCACTCTTTGAAAAACAGCAATCTAACAATCAATCCGTGCGATCTGATTTGACAACCTCGAAACCCTTCTCTCAAAGCTTCAAGCAGAAACCTTCTAATGCTTCTTCTTCGTTCATTCAAAATCATTCTAATTCTTCTTCTCCGAAACAGGAAGTCAGAAAAACCATCAAGAGCTTTGAAGATTTGAATCAAAAGTCATCATCAGAGCTTCCCTCTCATCACACACACAACGATGTGAAGCGACACTTTAAACTCAATCCTCACTCACAACAGGACTTTAACAAGAGATTTCACAACATTCTTCACAAGATGGAAAATGACATGCAACAAACAGATCTGTACAAGGAAGCCATGGAAATGCATAAGAGAAAGAGTGTTATGGTAATGACGACTCATACCACAGAAGACAATTCTTCTTGGACCGACGCTGAAGAAAATCGATTGCAACAATTATTGAAATTATTGAGAGAGGAAGCCATGAAACAATTGGAAAAATTGGAGAGCATGATCAAACAAGAACGACATTCCATGAGATTAACCTCATCATTTTCACAATCCTCACCTAATCTTGTTTCCGTAAAAAACAACAAGAAGGATTCTCCATCAATGAGTCAAAATGAAACCATACCTTCGAATGTTGTTGGAAATAATTTGAAAAATGTTCACACCAATCTCATACTTCAAAAGATTCAACATGAAAAAAAGGAATCCATCGAGCAAGCTTTACAACAAGAGAAATCCAAAGATGCATCACTGAGTACAAGCTCGCAATTCCAATTGGTTGGCAAACCTCTGAAAGAACGTCCTCTTCCTGAAACTCCAATATTTATGACCTCCTCTCCTTTCTTATCATCCCCTCGAAAGGTATCTTCTCCTCAGAGATCCGTCCCAGAAATTGAAACTGTTATTGAGGAAAAGAGGAAGAGACTCACAATGAATCCAGATCATGTGGAGGCACTTTTTGAATGGTGATGCAGATCTATATAAATAGGGTGACGATTTTATTATAAAAGTTGGACCCATTCGAATAAACAAATGACTTTGCATTCAAAGAGCTCTTGGTTCTTGGTGAAAATGAAAAAGGCACTGCAACCAAAAAATGGAACATGATGATGGCAATCGGTCCTCTTCAATGATGGTATACAACTCTCGCATACAAACCTTCGAATCGGAACAACAAGAAAGTGACGACGATGAAAGAGGAGAGGAATTAAATGAAAATACTCATGTCGGAAATAAATTCATTAATTGGAAAGAGTACATGATGACAGCTCATTCTTTATTAGATCAGCAAATTACCTCTCGAGTTGAGGAAAATCAAAATTTATCTCTGCTTCAGTTATTACATCATCAATTGGAAGGAATTATAGGTCCGGTCATCAGCAACTCGAAAATGATACAACATCCTCGATTTCCAAACCAATTTTATTTTACAAAAAGTCCACACTTTCTATTTGAGACATTTAAGGAAAGAATTGACACTAAAAAACATGAAATTATTAATTCTCAACGAAAGAATGAGAAAGGATTTATAAAATTTGGGAATTTGATTGGAAGTGAAGAATATTACTTTTTGCTGATTCAAGACTTAATACAAAAGCATCTTAAGGATGTCAGCGATCATTGTGGATTTTTTACAACTTGTTTATATTCTTTAGTCAAACAAGTTCAAAGAAAAAAGAATAATTTTCAACATTCGATCTCATGGATGAAATATCAAAGAGGTCTATCCAAGTCCATTGCATATTTTGTTCAAATATTACTTCCAGAAGTTGTTTTACCAGAGTTGATTAATTTATGCGAATGTGTAGACCCATTTGAAACCCCTGAAGACACTTTGTACAATATTTGCTATACTTTTTTAATTCCTCATGTTAGTTCCTCTATTGCCAACACACTTTCTCATTTAATGATCAACTGGTTGAGTATGATGGACATGCCTGCAATTTACAAGATTTCAGCCAATCGCGAATTGTTTGATTTTATTGTTCATGCAATACCTTTTGCGAACACTGAGAGTGGATCCAAACTGTTACCAGGAATACTCGTTGGAGAAGCATCTTTTGTTCAATCAAAGGTCTTTTCCTTTCATTCACATAATGGAGTCAAATGCCTGCCTTTGAAGCAAGTTGAACTCTCTCATAAGAATATTGAGATCGAGATTCACAAGGATTACATGTCTTTGAAACAATCATTAGCAAAGGAAATTGAAGATTTTATTGCTGAGCTAGAAAGGAACCACATTGGCATTGTTCTTTCAGAAGATATTCTGGACGACATGCTAGTTTTAGCTTTGGCCAAGAGAAATATTCTTTGTATTCATCATGTTTCAGACATGGATCGGATTTGTGAGGTATTCAATGTGATTCCACTGTTGATTCATTCCATTACAAGATACAATAATGACACAAGACGACATGAACTATTAAGCTTTGGAAAATACTCTCATTTGAAAGACCATCTTCTCACTTGCAAATCCATCAAACAGTTACCACTCGGACCCATGAAACAAATGCTCTTTTTGGAACCCACTAATACTGACCTCTCTCCGTATTCAAATTCTGTGCTCATACGTGCTCCCATGGAGTCGCTAGCAGAGACCTATCGAAACTTATTTTTTCGCTTACTGAGATATCTCACCAACTCGTTCAAATTCCTGACACAAGATCCTAACATGCCGACAATCGCCATCCTTTCTGGAGGATGCTATTTCGAGAACAAACTTTCTGGCTTGCTACAATATATCAAGACAAATTTTAAGATGAGAACAATGCCAGAACTGGACTCACTGCTTGAAATGTTGACAGAGACGTATGAAGCAGTGTGTGTGACACTCCTTGAAAACTTAATTCCCAACAAACAACAATGCCATCATCGTGACCTATTAATGCAACTCAAGAGTCGTGACTCAATGATTGTTTCCTTCATGCATACGCCCAAACAGCATGAAACCATTTCTGTCCTTACAGAATTGCATCAGAACGGTGGAGACTCATCCATGAGTAATTTGATAGGTGAAGGGCTTTTAATTGTTCCTAACTCTAAAGCCAATAGAATTGGAATCTATGAGACCCTATCATGCAAGTACAGCACACTCATCAATGTTTGCATGTCTCTCAAGAAATTGCTCGACATGGATGGGTTTTTCTTTTAGCCAAAAACTTTAATATCTAGCTAAATCCTTCCATGCATTGTATCGAAATTCCAACTCCGAATGTTCCTTTGTGATGATTCATCAATGAGTCTTTTATATCTTCTTTAAATTCATTAATTCATTGATCATCACCCAATTTTCATAATCATCATCAAATAATAAAAAATATCATCAGCATGAGCAACCCACTGTTGAAAGTTCTTCAAAGTGAGCTGCGATCTTTATCCGTGGAGGCACAACAGAAGAAATTTCCTGCTATCAAGGAAGCTGCTGACCGTGGAGTGAGGCAACTACGGTCTATTCAAGAGCGTCTGGAGGAGCAATCAATTACTTCGGATCAGGTCGTACATTGTAGGTATTGTTGTTGAAATGATGAGGCAAAGAAATTCATCATTGTCGCTTTTTCATTACATACACTCGTCGGAATTTGACTACCAATATTAACATCAACAACAGCCATCAAGGGAAGCAACGAGGAAATTGTAAAGCCCTTTCTAATTGCATGTGAAAGTAAGAACACCAAACTCATCGTCATTGCTCTTTCGTCTCTCCATCAGATACTTCTTCATAATGCCGTGCCAGAGGTAGGTCAATTTATCATCGTGATGTCTTGGTGTCAATAATAATATTTACGACCATATCTTCTATGTGATAAATTCATGGCAACAACAAATATCATTTCAATGTCATTCACCACAGGCCGGATTAAATATAATTGTGGAAACGGTATCACGTCTCGGTCATCAATCAAGTACAGAAGAATCTGTCTTACTGAAAATCTTGCAGCTAGTTTTGGCAATTTTTACTGCTCGAGGAGGATATGAAATAAGTCAAGCCACTTTGTCCAAGTTGCTAAAATTATGTTACTTATTGAATGGATCGAAAAGTCTCAATGTTGACATGACAGCAAAAGCAACGATAAGACAAGCAACAAGCGCAATATTTGAATTTCTTCGACCCAAAACAGAAGAAAACAATGTTAACGACGAGAAAATAGATGAGGAATCAAATTCATTCAAAAATGCTATTCTTTATTTCAAGGATTTGTGTTCAATGATGGAAGGAGAATCAGGACAATGGTTAGGCATATCAGGAGTTGACAATAATTTCACTTTAGAGCTACTGGATTCAATAATAGCAAATTATGGCAAACTATTTCGAAATGTAAGTGGCCTATTTTAATTTTATTCGTTATTGATCTTCGGTTTTCGGGTTTCACACAGATTACCCAATTTAAACAAATGATTGAACAATTAATTTGTCCTTACATTTCTAACAATTTGAGTAATATTTTATCGGGATCTAGTTCTATGACATTTTCACACTCCTTGCGAGTTTACAAAATCACTTGTTCCATTTTACACTCACTCGGAACAGTTTTACCGTTTGATAGCTTTTTGATGACAATATGCCATCATTTAAAAGACACTATAGAGAAACCAGGTAATAACGGTTGCAACAAACTCCTGGCGTTAGAAGTTGTAAAAACAATTTTCTATGACTACGATCTCCTTTTGTACATTCACCGACATATTTCCTCTACAATCAACATTATTACTTCTGAAAACCATATCATTGCAAAACTTGCAAGCTCAGTAACTCTATACGTCCAACATTTACTAAATTATAACGCAAATGCTACGCCAGGTACTCCACAAGACTTGATTAGCGCTGAAAGATCACCTTCTCAAAACAATCCTGGAATTAGTAGCTTGTCTGCTAAATTATCTCTTGACCTTAATCAAAAACATACAATGCGATTGGATACACTACTCGATAAAACAAGCTATATTCCAACTTTATCAGAGAGTGTAGGTGTATGCCTAGAATGCATTTCTGGCCTTATTATTTCATTGAGTACTATGGCAGGAATACAGAAATTATCGGGAGTTACGAAAAGAAATGAAACCGAAGAAAATGGAGATGAGGAACATGAACTAATAGAAAATAGAGCAATTTGCTCAGCATTTGTGGACATTGTATGGGCTCCCACTTTAACTACTCTCTTTATTTTACTTGAAGTGTGTGATGGTGACGAAAATATTCAGTCAATTTTGAGAAATTACTTACTATTTACGCATACCTGCGGAGTGACTGGACTTTCCGCTCCGAGAGACGCTTTTTTAACCAATCTTTGCAAATTTACTCCAAAAATCAAACTGTCAAAGCGAACATATTCCAGTTCAAACTTCTCCAACACCAGCGATCTTTTCTATACCATACCTGAAGTGAACACCAACAGTGCAAGCAGCTCAGATTCGAATATCATCAAAATGGATGAGCTCAATAGAAAATCAGTTCTGGTGATGAAAATTTTATTCAACATCGCGCACTGTTTAGGAGGATTATTAGGTAGCAGTTGGTACTTGCTTTTGAAAAACTTCCTAGTGATTGACAAGCTGTTAACACAAAGATTACCATTTACCTCTGCTTCTGAAACTGAACAAGAAGATTTGAATATTTTATTTGCGGCACTACAAAATTTATTTATGAGCACTTCTCATTTAAGCGATGATTCGTTGTTGGTCATGCTGAAAGCGCTTTGCAGATTATCTAAAGATACAGTCAATAATCAATTACTGGGAGATAATAGCAAACTTTTTGCCGCACAAAAAATTGTAGAAACAATTCAGGTTAACATCAATAGAGTAGAAAAAACATGGCAAGTGTTTTCTCCGCACATATTATGGCTAATAGAGAATGAGGACGAGCAAGTTCGTAAATTTGCTGTGTCTAGTGTCTCCGAAGTTATAATATCGATGTATCGACCAGAGTATAACAAGTTCAGTTCTAGGTTTGGAAACAAAGATGGAGAATTAGAGACTCCAAATATTGTCTCACCAGACCTTGAAAGAGTTGCTTTTACTATATTTATGGACATTTTCCAGTCATCATCAGATTTTATGGATACAAGAGAATATCTTTTAAACACTCTCAACAGCATTTTACAAAAATGTGGATACAAGTTTTCTACCGCATGGACCGTGTTACTTCCTTTATTGAAAGAATGTGCAGCAATGCCAACCTCCAAAAAGAAGTCAGCTCCAAACTCAAACATCAACAGAGCTAAACTTATACCTTTCGGTTTTAAATGTGTCCAAACAATTGGTACCAAAGATTTGCTGCCGACTTTAGGGTTTGAGTGCCTTACTGAATTCTTTACAGTTGTTAGTGCGTATGTGAAGCAAAGAGATGCCTCAGACTTGAATCTCAGTTTCGTAGCAATTCATTTATTTATGAGCAGCGCAGAGTTTTTAACAGAAAGATATCCAAAGGTTAAAAACGAAGACACTTATCAAGATGACAAGGAAGCTGGTGAAAATGAAGGAGACATGAGTCGTGTAGACGAATTATGGCTCACTCTGTATGAACAGTTAAGAGATTCAACGATTGACAGTCGGCCAGATGTTCGTCATTCCGCTCTTAAAACCCTTACATTTGTGATTGTTTCTCATGGAAATCAGCTCACTAAAAAGACATGGGAGAAATGTATCTCGGACATAATTCTCAAAGTTTTAGATCTGACCCATGAGGCTGCGACATCCGCCGAGACAAATTTAGAGGAACCAGAGTTACCAACAGCAGGAAAAGACAATGCATCAAGTCCTCTAGACTTGGGAGTGGAGGATCCAAAAAAGAAGAAAAAGCAAATCGTTGTACACCATAGCAGAAATACTGCAGCAAAGCAATGGAGCGAAACAAGATCTTTAGTGATCGATTTTTTATCACGTGTTGTTTCTGAGCATGGAAACAATATTCTGAGTTCAATACCTCTTTTTGTCAATAAGGCATGCAACGAAATTACTCTATTTATTCACAAATCCGTTCTATCAAAAACTTCGGAAATTGCAATGACCGCAGTTAAAAATCTTTATGACATGATTAGTTCAACAAGAGGAGAAATTAAGAAATCTCTTTGGAAGGGGGCTTGGGAAGTATGGCATACACTCGCTGATTTTTCTAAATATGTTACCTCAACAGAGAAGAAGGAATCATTCGTTAATGTCGATACTATTACTTCCCTTCTTGAAGGAATTGGAAAGCTCTACGATCAAGAAAAGCAGCTCAAGCAACAAAGAACCGATGATGGAGATTTGGACGAATTTATTTTCACTCAAGAAGATATTGGCAAGGTCATTGATTATCTGATTGATCCATTCCTTACTTGCCAAGCAGCTGTGAATGTACTAATCTTCCCATCTCATGTTCAAAGAGCATGTATGGAATTAGTTCACAAAATTGCTGACTTTTCCGATCAAACAAGAGAACACATTTTCAAGATTCTTCGTAATCATCTTCCATCAAAAGAGGACATTCGAAAGGGTCAAATTGAGACTCCCGTTAAGTTTGCAATTTTACTTCAGAAGGTGATCATTGAAGTGTGTTGCTTGAATGCTCCAGTTACTGTAAAGCGTTTGACTTTCCATCCAATCATTCAACTGTTAGGAGACATGATGCAAACCAAGTTTGTTAAACAGTTGAAAAATCACAAGAGTTATTACTTGTGGAAGTCTTCCGTTAAATATTTCGAAAAAGTAATCAAATCATGTATGGATGAAACACAAAGCAATTTTACCATTGATATTGATGAAGAAACCTGGAATGATGTCTGTCAAGCCATTGAATCTTTCCTGTTCCATGAGAACTATTTGAAGACTAACGATGACGACGATGATGATGATGAGGCGTATGACAGTGAGGAAGATCAGGAAGAGCAGGTTGACGAGAGCATTCTACTCACTAATTTGATTTCTAACTTTATTCTGGTAAACATCGATAGCAACGCCTCTAGCTCTGTAAAACGAAGATTTTTAATGATACTGGAAAAGGCAACACATTTAACTCCAAAGCCTGTCGCCAAACATTCCATGAAAACATTGTTCTCGTTTGTCTCAAAAGCAACCGAAAGATTAGAACAAGTTCAATCAAAAGAAGAAGATCTTGGAAAGAAGGAAAAACTTGAGGTGGATTTAGGAAAGATAGTGTTACCAATTTTGTTTAAGAGATGTAAATCTATTCTGACACAATTCATTCAGGACGACAAGAGGAGTGGAAACTGTCCTCTTCCTAAACCAAGAAGACAAGAGGTTTATAACACTCTCATCGAGTTGAAAGCCATTCGAGTGAATCCACTTCTCTATTGCGAACTTAACAAGTTGTCCGATTCCACACATCAAACTCCAGCTCTTAATGGATATCAAGGACTCGTTGTAAGATTATTCCCTGTTTTGTGTGAGTTCATTTCTTACCATGGAAACAGTGAAGCCATATCAACTGTTTTGTTAGACATGTTTAAGATTGTAAGCAAAGAGTTGGGTATTAACGAGGCCCATGTCCTGGCAGATGAATAAATCACAGGACTTTGCCGAGCATTCAAACTTTAATTTGGGAGAGAAAATTATTTACATCTAACATCAGTTTTTCAAGTCTATGTTTGGTTCAGATGCTTGATCATTATGCCAACAATTTTGTAATTTATTCATCAATATATTTACAAAGGATGCATACGACATCTCCACATTTAGGTTATTGCAAAGAACAATTTTCTTTTTTGGGCCATGACTGAGTAAATCGAACATACATGGCTGGGAACACAGAGGCCAATAACTCTTGTTCAATTTCATGAAAGAGATTGGCACAGTCATCATTCTCGAAATATTGTGGATCAGAGAACAAGGAGGTCACTTTTTCTGCCTTCTTCTTAAGCTCTGAATACAACTCAGTGACACTGTAGAGACCATTCTCGTTATTGAGGAATTTCTTACAAATGTGATTGGCTACCTTACAGAGTGTGGCAGCTCTATTCTCATCTTTAAGAGTGGAGAATAGAGTCTTGTAGTCCTGTACATTCTCCCACAATAACAAGTATTCCAATGTTCCAATGTGAATTCTTTGCAAGCAAAAATTTTCAAGTAGATTCGATCCTTGTCGTCTTTCAACATGGAAGATACCTTCTCCTGAATGTGAGAATCGTTTTTGATACTTGTTTGTAGTTCCTTCTCTTGCTGATCCTTGGTCACGAGAGAGAAATCCAATGATTTGGGATCCTTGTTATATCTGGGAATGGATTTCAAACGATGGAATGGTTGGCTGCTCTCGTTACATTCCTCAAGCAAATTCACATGCCCTAGATTGGGAAAATGAAGCAAAACATCTCTAAAAACCTCTGGTGCTTCATCGCCAAGAGATTGATTCCATTCATAGATCACTTCTTTTCCCTTAACAAGTAAGAACTTGGGCATGAGGAGATTTGAGTTTTTGGCTAACTCCTTGGTGGAATCTTGGTTGAATTGATAGCCCTCGTTGGTGGCCTTCATGTATGGCATCGTTTCCCACGTGCCCATATCTTTCATGTCGATGAAACGAATGGGAAGACACACTTGGCTAGAAGCTTGAACCAATTTCGAAACGTGGACATACTCTGGATCAGAAACTCTGAGCATGTGAGCGACTAGAGGATTCTTGAAATGATCAAAGAACTCATTGGCCTCCTCCTTGCTCTCAGCATGAATAACAATTGGAAGAATTCCAAGTTGAAGTAAACTCTTGTACATTTGAGCCATGAGAACTTGTCGACGCGTGCAAAAACCACATGCACCATGTCGAGTATAACGACGGATCTGAATGAGAAGAGTAAAACGTGTGGAGAGAGTGGCCAGATCAATCTCTTGTTCTTCGTTCTTGAGAGTTGTTGTTGGAGTCGTTGAGTCCACATTGGAGAAGAACAAGAGAGAGAGTGGATTGGTGAGGTGTTGTTCTTGTGGTGGCTGTGTTGCTGATGTGGAGGAAGAGGAAGAGGATGACACGTCCATGAACTGAATTCCACTAATTTGGTTAACGAAGGAGGATAAATTATAAACCTTCAATGAAGAGAGAGCTTGAGAAACAGTGTTTGATGTGATAAGAGTGGTGGCACTACTTGCGTGGTTGTTGTTGGTCGTCGTTGTCATTGTGCTTTCTGCAACAACAGAATCCGAGGGTATTTCCGGAATCATTGTGAGAGGTTGTGTTGGTGGTGGTTGTTCAGTTTTTTTTGTGGTAGCGCGTGTTGGAAGTTTTTTTGTGTGGTTTTGGGTTTGTCGATCCATCTCGATGTCGAGCTTGTTGTGACGACTACCTTTCAACAACGAGATTTCTCGTGTCGGTTTTACAAAATTGGGTATGCGAAAAGGTTGAGCCAATCAGAAAGCAGCAAGGTTTGAGAGTGAAATGATTTTGTCAGGCTTACAACAGTGCACCAATTGATGTGATGGGTCTAGTACTCTCTTGAATGGCGAAGAGATGAAACCTATATCTTTACAAAAATGACACTGACATACGACCAACACACCTTTGTTGGTAGCCAAAATTTTGGCTCTCGTTCAACCACTGTGTGTCACTCTAAATTTCAGAAAAGAGTGAAATAATCTCACACAAAAAAAATGTTTTCTTATCCATCCTATCATGATGATGATCGCTGCCATCACTTCACGCTTCTCCTTGTGATGTTTATTTCATTTAATATATTATTGGTATTTCATTCATCATCATCATTACTCGCTGCATCCATCATGAGGACAAACATGCAAACGAAACCTAGCCAACAACAACAACAATCATTATCATCAATATTATCACTCTCCAAAGGATGGTGTATTCAAAATAGAAACAAAACCATTCATGAATGTGGAATTGAAATTCCAGCCTATGTGAATACCATTCTTTTTCAGAGAAATATGATCGGAGATCCATATTTTCGTTTCAATGATGTGTTGCAGAGATGGGTGGCGTATGAAGATTGGACTATTCGAAATGAGTTTAACACGACTTTAAATGTTGGAGATCGAGTCTTTTTGGAATTTAAAGGATTGGATACAATTTGTGATATTTATCTTAATGATCAATACATTGGATCGAATGTGAACATGTTTCATGAACTCACCATTGATGTGACCACATTCATTCGATCAACAAACAATGTGTTGGTGTTGAGCTTTCAGTCACCAGTGAAGTATGCAAAAAATCAAGCCACAAAGAGTTTATATCCAATTCCTTCGAGTGATAATGAAGAACTTCAACATGGAGAATTATTTCGAAATTTCATTAGAAAAACACAAAGTAGCTTTTCATGGGATTGGGGACCTTGTTTTGTACCAACGTAAGTACATGAAAGATGTTCATGAATTCTCTCAATGATTTTGGAATTGAAAAATGCTTATTCATCCTCATTTGAATCAATCATAACGATAGAGGAATTTGGAAACCTGTGCATTTAGTGACAATTTCTAATTCATGGAATTTCAAAGACGTGTTGGTAGAAATTTTCCCAATCACAGATTTGGAACAAGAATTGAGAAAATCCATGTCTCCATCGAGTAGTCTGAATTTGAAACCTTTATTGACCAGTACTTTTGTGGTCAATGCATCGTTTTTAGTGGATGTTCTATCTCCCACCAGCGCACTTTCCAATGTCAAGTTAAGTGTATCGATTGAAAAAGATCAACAAGTGGCATGTACCACTTCTCGAATCGTTTCAATCATGATGCCTGACATTAATAAGATCATCTTGTCTTTGAGATGCAACCAAGTTCAATTGTGGTATCCTGTTAGCTATGGTTCTCAACCTCTCTACACGATCTATGCTTCTGTCACTACTCAATCATCGACAAGTACTCTACAGAAAAGAATTGGATTTCGAGAATTTAAAATCATTCAAAAGTCTATTGGAAAAGATGATCCTGTCAATGATCCCAGCAAATCATTTTATTTCCAAGTGAATGGAATACCAATTTTTGCAAAAGGATCCAATTACATTCCATCAGACTCATTCCTTGATCGAGTGAAGGATCAAGATATTTACAATTTATTAGATTCATTTCTAGAATCAAATCAAAATACTTTACGTATTTGGGGAGGAGGTAATTTTGAAAGAGATTCTCTATACGATTATTGTGATGAGAAGGGAATTTTGGTATGGCAAGAATTCATGTTTGCGTGCAGTGTCTATCCACGAGATGATGCATTTCTCTCGAATGTTCGCACAGAAATTGAACAACAAGTGTCACGCTTAATGCATCATCCTTCAATAATTTTGTGGAGTGGAAGTAATGAAAATGAAGCTTCATTGTGGGGTGATACTTGGTATGGACCTGTCATTTCGTCGTCGAACAAGATGAGATATATAGTGGATTATGGTGTTCTGTATTTTGACACTGTTCGACAAACTCTTTTAACCATAGATCGATCAAGAAATTTCTGGCCTTCTTCACCATCAAAAGGAGTCATTAGTGAAAATCCCTATGTTGGATATTGGACAAATCCTTATGGTACTTCACTTGGAGATGTTCATTACTATGATTACAATACTGTTTGTACCAATGTTGATAATTTTCCAAGAGCAAGATTCATGTCAGAATATGGTCATCAATCCTTCGCCTCTTTGGAAACATTCAAACCAGTGACACAGCCTCAAGATTGGTTTTTCAATTCGACCTTAATGAATCATCGTCAACATCATCCACTGGGAACTGAACAAATTTTGTTTCAAATTGGAGTTCATTTCAAAATCAATATTAATAGTTTGTATGGAAATTTCAAGAATTTTGTGTACCTTTCTCAATGTTCACAAGCACTCTGCATGAAAGCTCAATCCGAATATTACAGAGCGATGAGAGATGATCCAAATGTTCAAACACATGGAGCACTCTATTGGCAACTAAATTCAATTTGGCAAACAGTGGATTGGGCTTCGTTAGAGTATGGTGGAAAGTGGAAATTGATGCATTATTTTGTGAAGGAATTTTTTGCAGAAACGATCATTCTTTCCTACGAGCAAGGTGGATGGTTTAAGGTGGTTGTGACAAGTGACAGCTTGAAGCAGCAATCACTTACCGCCACCATTAATCTTGTCACCTATTCTGATGGCTATGTTAAACAATCGATCAGAATTCCTAATATTATTCTCACTCCATTATCAGGAACCATGGTATACGCCAAAATGACAGAGCTAGTAATATTAGAGAGTTTCTGTTTTCTCGCTCGAAACTGTTTCGTTCATTTGAATTTACAGGACTCTGTGACAAATCGAACCATTTCTGAAAATTTTCATTTTCTGTCGCCACTCGCTCAAGTGGATTTACCTCAAGCCACTGTGAAAATTTCAGGAGCTACATTTGTAAATAGTAACATAGTGGAAATTACTGTACTTTCAGACAACGTGGCGTTCTATGTTTGGTTTGATGTATTGAAATATCAAGGCCGATTTGATAGAAATGCAATCACCATGTTGAAAGGTAGAGAGGAAAAGATTAGATTCATGTCTAAAAATCCAATTCAAAGTTTGAATGATTTCATTTCTGATATTTCTATTATTCATATTGGAAATACATTTTAACATTCATTACTGAAAATGGATTCATTTACAACTTTGAGGAAAATCTGAGGGTAAAAGAGTTTCACTTTGCCTAATTTGTAGTGTACATAAAGGTCTTCAACATTGGTTTTTCTTGTGTTGAACTCATTTCAACTTTCGAAAAAGTCATGTTTTGTGAATTTCTTTCTTGCTATTGTGGCGGCCAGCTGGACTCAGTGATGCATTTTCAAACACCACCTTTTTTCTCAGAAACACACGTTCCATTTAGTTCATTTCTCATCAGCAATCTTCAACTTTGAATTGTTTGACATCAAGTTTGGAAAAAAATGTACGCACAATACGTCAAAGTGATCATCACATTAGAACGTCTCGCCAAAGTCCGAAATGATCCCTATCCTCGATTATTACTTCTCTTATTTATCGTCTTTATATTTCTTCATGCTTTGGAAATGTACATTGCCAACAAACTCACACTCTACGATCGATTTGAGAATATGTTTGCGAATAGTGTTTTTATTTCGTTTATTTGGCCAAATTTTGTTCCGGCGCAATTAAGGAAAGTTGCAAGTTTACTTTATCAAATTACACGATGGAATGTGTGGTTGAATATTCAGGGCATGTTTGATGGAATGGATCGATTTGTAGAGAAGTATATCGCACCGATCACTAGAATTGTGCTTTTCATGTTAATGTCTTTTACGATTTTGAAAATTATACAGGTGCAATTTTTGAGTGTTCAAGAGAATGTGGAGAAAGAAGAAATTCTTGTAACTGTTGATGGATCATAGAATATGTGTGTTTTGGACTCGATTTATCCAATCGTGATGAAATTTGATGAAAATATATTAATAATAATTATTCATACTGCAACAATGAATATGTTTTAGAGATGATGTCTACAGGAGAATTACAAAGGCATGGTTTCGTTATTGGAACATCATAAATTTTTGATTTCTAATTTTTCAGGAATTTTTCCTTCGAACTTCATTATAAGATCAACTATCTCGTGTAATAAACACGATGAATTAAGACAGAATTCTCTTAATGTGGCATATGGAATATTTGTAGACGTTTCGTGCAATGTTTAATAATTCTTGTTATTAGCATTTCTCAATTCTTTAGCAATCATCTTCTTATAGGCCTGAATGCCATCTTTGTATTGTTTCACAGCTCCATCTTTCACTTCCCAAATTTCTTTAGCCACTTGATCAATCAATCTAAAATCGTGTGAAACTAACACAAGTCCTCCAGTAAATGCATTAATTGCTTCAGCCAATGAATCAATCGTTTCTATATCCAAGTGATTCGAAGGCTCGTCAAGGAAGAGAATATGTGGTTGCTTGAATGCAAGCCATGCAAAGATCAATCTTGACTTTAACCCATCAGAAAGGAATTTAATGGGACTTGTTTGTCGTCCTCCAGAAATTCCATATTGTCCAAGTTGAGATCTCATAATTTCAGTACCATTAGAATTGTTGTCAAATGTATCGGGAAATTCTTTGAACATCCATTCGAGTGGTGTTAAATTTTCATCCAATTGTTCAGTCAAGTGTTGGTGGAAATGACCAATTCGTAAATGAGAATGAACAGAAACGTCACCATAGACTGGTTTCAATTGTTTGACCATGAGTTTGAGTAGGGTCGATTTTCCAGCACCGTTTGGACCAACAAGAGCAATACGACTGTCCATATCCACACCCAAGTTCAATCCCTTGAATAAAATTTTAGGCTCAGGAACGAGTTCTGTTGCAGGATAATGGAATTTGACATCTTGGAATTGTAGGATTGGAGTTGGTAATTTGGTCACTTCTGGGAATTTGAATCTAAATATTTTGTCTTGAGAAACTTTCTCTGTGAGACCTTTCTCCATCATTTTGTCCAATAATTTCTCTCTTGATTTTGCTTGACGAGACAACTTGATCGAAGTTTGGCCAAATTTGTTGATAAAATCTTTCATTCTCTGAATATCGTCTTGTTCGGATTGATAACGTTTCATTTGATTGGTTTCCAATTCTTCACGAGTTTTCACATACGTATCATAATTTCCTCCATAATAAGTCAATCGTTGATCCTTCAAATGAATAATGGAAGTACAGACGTTATTAAGGAAATCCTGAGAATGTGAAATAATAATCAAAGATTTTTCATATTCTTTCAAATATTCTTCCAACCAAACCACTGTTTCCAAATCCAAGTGATTACTTGGTTCATCCAAAAGAAGCAAATCAGGTTCAATAAATAGTGCTTCTGCCAATGAAATTCTCATTCTCCAACCTCCTGAAAAATCTCTTGTTGGTTTCTTTTGCATTTCACTTGTAAATCCTAAACCATGTAATAATTTAGATGCTTTGGGTTTGGCCCATTCAGGATCTAATTCCTCTAAACGATCCATAATGGCCTCTTGTCTTTGATGAGAAGTTTTTGGATCGTTTAATTCTCGATTCAATCTTTCTCTTTCCTTGTCAACACTTGAAAGGACATAATCGAGAGCACTTTTTTCTGTTGGTTTTGCTTCTCCGTGTAACAAATGGACAGAAATTTGTTTTGGAATTGGAATCATTCTTCTACCTAATACTTTTAACAGAGTGGACTGAATTGTGTCATTTTGAGTATATTTGTGAATGGTCCCAACAAGTATGGATTGAGGAATATGTGTCGTATGGACATGAATAATATGGTCAATGAACAAAAGAAATGCAACAAGAAATTCAAAAACATACCTTTCCTGAACCATTCAAACCAATAAGACCATATCTCGTACCACGATTCAAACACAAATCAGTGTCATCAATCAAATCAATGGATTGAGATGAAAACGGAGAAGAAACACTCACAGAAAAGTGATCAAATTTAAGGTCCATGGAAAGAGGATGTGAAGACAAATTTCCTGTGGCTGCAATATGCAATGTAGAGGTGGAAGCGTCTTGTTGAATTTCACTTTGTTCGTCATCGCTGTCATAGGAAGGAGCAGTGGTTGGTGATGAAGAATCGGAATTGGTGGAGGATGAGGAAGATGACTTTTTCATGTTCTTTTTCTTTGCCATTTTGAGAGTGGGTGGGACGTGAGTGGGAGAGTGTGTGTTGATGAATGAGCTCTTCTTTGTCAAGGATGACGATAATTGGTGGTGAGAGTATTCTTGTGTGTGGAATTTTTTTTCAACAATTTTTATCTTCAAATAACAACTTGAAAGAGGTCATCTGTTGCTTGTCGACAGGAGTCTCGTGTCACCTAACGCTCATGATGACTTGAAGGAGTTTCCATTGAGTTTGAATGGGTCGGCAAATTCTGTACTTGTTGTTGGGATTGTTCTTGCTGCTGTTGTTGATTCAAAACGATCATCTCATAGCAATACTTTAGAGCCTGAAAGAGCACGTGTGCCTTCTCAGTCGACATGTTCACTGTTTCAAATTCTTCTTTGTTTAGTTGGATACGAGTGCCATTGGTCATGACACACACGACTGTGGAGCTTGCTTGTCCATTAATTCGTGTACCACCAATATCAACTTCAAAGGATTGAATCAAATCATATGGTACAATACAATGTTCAAATAAAAGATATCGTGAGAGAGGTGAAGAAGGCGAGCAATCATTAGGGTAAGATCTCTTCTCTAGCCTTAATTGTTGATTATTAAATACAAGGTAATTGGTATGATTTGGAGGAGGTTTGTCATTCATCTTTCCTTCCACTACCACAATGATACTCATTCCAAAGATATTTGAATTGGATTCTTGCAATTGAAAACAAAGATTATTCGTAGAATATTCGTGACAATGAGGCCACATTTTACCCACAGTGGGAACTCTGGAATTGACTCGAATGCCATTTCTTTCTTGTTGTTGGTAGGAATATTTAATTCCAAAGGGTGAAGAAGTGTTTCCATAACCAAAGGCAGGTCTTGCATGAGGTTGTGGAATGAATGGATTTTGAGAAGATGTTGTGGAGGATTGAGGAGTGAAAGTGAATGGTGGTTGAGAGTGCGTTTGAGGTTGTTGTGAAAAGCGTGGTTGATGATGAGATGGTTGAGAAGGAAGAGGATAATTATTCATTAATGCGTGGTTCTGGTGAGAAGGAGGAATAGTGGATAGTGACGGTTGTTGATCAATTAATTGATTTTGGAATCCACTATTCGAAATGGAGTGAGATGGTGGCAGTTGATAATTTTTCCCTTGACAATTCTGTTCTTTTTTAGAATATTCCTTCTCCTCTGAAGTTGAATGAACAGGTGTTGTTGTTGCGCTGATGGGATATTGTTGAGCTATTTCACTTGTGCCATCATTGTTCAATAACAATGGACAAGTCGTGGAAAGAGAAGAAGGAGGAGCAGAAGGCTCGTTCATCATCATGCCCTGGGCCAGTGGTTGAGGTTGTGATTTCGATGTTTCAAGGCTTACCTGATCATGGACGAGTTGATTCGGTGGTGGCTGATTCATCATCATCCCGTTATTAGTAGGAGGAACCTTTGGGTAATTATTGTTAACCATGATCATAGAACTCTGTATTTGTTGTTGTGGTTGTTGTGGTTGCAGCTGTGGGTGAGAGGAAGCATAATGATACTGATGAGGCTGCGTTTGCGATTGTGATTGTTGAGGAGATCTTTGAGAAGATACTGGACGTTGTTGTTGCTGTTCATAACCGAAATATTGAGAAGAGCCAGTAGCCTCGACCTGTCGGGAATAATTGGACCCGAACAAGGCTGCCATGAGCAGAGAGAACATGAATTTTTTTTTTCTCTTTTCCAAAAAATTATTTGAAAATCCAGAACGAAATGGAAAGAGAACCTTTCTGCTGTCAAATGAAAAAAAATAAAGACGGAAAGTTTCAAGAAAATCATGGGTGCCAACTCTGCTCGTGTTCTGCATCGCGTGTGTTCACATCATCATTTTGAAAAGCTCTCATCATCTTGTCCATGCGATGGGACATTACACTCTCTCATGTCCATCCCAGTCGTTTATTTCCTTTTCGGAATGGTTTGGAACGAATCTACCATTCATGTTTTATGATCCTTTGCAATATAATTATGACGTATTTATTGAAGGACTAAAACAATTGCAAATTGCTCATGTAAGAATTCCAATTCATTGGTCACTATTAGAACCTCAAAATGGAACTTTGGATTCGGTGTGTGTCACGACTCGATTTCACCATGGACAAATTATACAAGGCAAATATTTCGAGTTTGTTTTTTATTGCAGGATCTCCGAGATGGATCAGTTCAAATCCTTCCGCCACCAACTATGATCAATATCCTCCAACGAGTATAGAACCATTTATTTTTCGTGTGAAATGGTTGCTCGACAAATATTCCACGAAAGGTCTCGAAATGATTCAAATATGGAATGAAGTGAACCTTCCTGCCTTTTGGGCACCCATGGAAGATCCCCAAGCCTATACACATTTACTGAATGCCACCTATTCCGAGCTCAGTATGAAATCGAATGTGAAAATTGCAATGGCTGGAATGGCTTATTTTAGTGAAATGCCTTTTCATAACCAGAAAATCATGTTCTACAGCTTGGAGGCATTGGATGCCTTCAATTATTGTGATATTGTTGCGTATCATCCATATTACAATACGCCAGAAGGAAATATTCCACAAGTGAATGCTTATGATGTTGAAATGAAAGCACAAGTCGCGAATCAATACTTGTCTCAATTTGGAAAAAAGATTTATGCCACAGAATGGAGATGGTCGACCTACACGAGTGATTTTTCTGAACAGCCATTCATTACTCTTAGACAACAAGCGGATTACATTTTGAAACGATTGATCATGCTCATGTATTGTGTTTTGATCGTGTCTATCAGTTTTCATTGTTTGATTTTCCACCTTTGGGTAAGTGAATTTCTAAAGTTCCATGTTCTCTAATGTTTGAAAATTGTTGAAAAAATCACCCAACATAGGTTTCAACACTCGAGATACCTATTATGGATTGTTTAATGCCTCGACAACATCCACTCTTCTTGGAAAACCTTCTTTTTATGCGTTAAAGAATTTTCTCTCTTTCGTGATGGATGGAAATGAGAATTCGACCTTGAGTGATCGCTCGTTGATCTTGTTGAAAACTTCCTCACTACTCGTTCCAATGAATGATCCTGGAAATATGCATTCATTCACAGTACAAAATTCAAATGGAGATGTTTTATGGATGTATTGGATAACAAGTTCTGATGCAATGACCAATCCATCCGTCACTTTGGATGCCTCTTCTTTCATTAAGCAGAATGAATCCTCCTCCTCAATGAGGTTGTTAGTCTATGATCTGATTGAGAATGTGATGGAAGTGAATCGAACAATTTTAGATGTGAAACATGTGCAAGTGAATGTGAGGACAACATTTCGAGTTGCAAAGTTTTCAATGATCATGAACAATCATACAAATCCTATTCCACCACAGAAACACGAGTCATCTGTGAAACGTTTCGCATCATCAAGAGTGTCTTTGGCTGCAAGGCCATTCATTGCACTTTTGGTGACATTTATCTGTCACGTTTCGTTGGTCATGTTCTTATAATAATTACCTGAACTTGGTGATTTGGAACAACTTGAGAGGAATCTGTGGTCTGACCTAACATTTTAGTAACAACCTCAATTTCAAACTCAGCATTCTTTACAGCAAGTATTTATTGATATAAAGATAAGCAAATGCAGGATATGCAATGGACAGACTCAAGAAACTAATAATGGTATAAATTCTTACACCCAACGAGTGGACATAACTCTCGGAAACTGCCAAAATCAAAAACGCAAATGCATTGGCCCATGAGCCAAATACAAACATGTACAACACCCAATTTGGAATGAAGAGCTCACTGGTGACCATTGACACCACCATTTGTAAAATTCCCATTAGAATGAAATCAATATGAGCCTGAAGCACTCGACGAAAGTTAAGCATGGGTGAAGAGGCTGTTTTTGTGGAGCGATTAGCAATGATCATGGCCAAATACCATCCGAGGCAAATGGCAAAACAAATTTCACACAAGCCTGAGGCAACAAGGATATGTTTGTGAGAAGAAGAAGAAAAAGACGGAAGTGTCATGCGGAATTTTTTTCAAAGTGTGTATTCTCTAATATGATTGGTTTGTCCTTTTGATGAAAATGTCACGAACAAGATGATCATCCATCGTTTTTTAATACCGTGGTCCTCGGGCAAGCACAAAATGTTGGATACAAATTTTCAATTATATGGATCTACAACTTATCTCGAAGAGAAGGGAAGAGAAGGGAAGGGAAGGGTTCTTGCACCTTTTCAGTTTCCAACAACATTCTAATCCCTTCCTCCGTGTGGTAACCTGCAAATAGACCTCGAAATTCAATTTGAAGCTCTCATTTGGGATGTTCTCATGTGAATTATAGAAAGCAATTCTTTTAAAAAAATGGCTCAAAAAGACGTTTTAGTGGCATACATTTTGTGGTTCTTCCTTGGATTCCTTGGTGTGCATCGATTGTACTTGGATCAACCACTTTGGTTTGTGATTTATTTCCTTACTGGTGCATTGTGTGGAATTGGATGGTTGGTAGGTATCAATAATAATTGAATGTTGTTATTGTTTCATCATGTTGTCACTGATTACTTCTAGATTGATCTGTGTTTGATTCCGTCAATGGTGGACCGTTGCAATCAAGCAAATAACACTGTTTACAGTAAGTAGAGTGACTAGTGCAGTTTTTCAAATTGATCATCACTATTCCATCACAATGACTATTTTCCAAATTTGTATTAACTACAGCTACCACGACCACGACCACCTATACCACTCCTACTGCTCCACAACAAGGTGTCTATCAACAACCATACAATTAATTAAATATATTGTCGTGATGACATTTTATAAAATCTTAATTCATAATATATTATTTCTGTGATGATGAGGATGCTGGGGTTGTAACAACTGCTTCTGAGGAACTCTTCTTCAAGTAAATGTCATCAGCAATGAGATGATTAAATTCTCGATGTTTGACCTCATCCATACGCATTGCGATCAGTACGTCCCGTAATGTTGAATCCTCCGCTAAATGGTAATAGGAGATGGCAATTTCAGGCTGTGTGTTGGTTTTCAATGTCAAATGACAGTGATGTGAAAATCAAATTGTAAATCATGTATGTCAATTAAGTACCATGAATATGTCCACAATAGTTTAGAATGCGAGAGACTTACTGCTTTTAAATTTTCAATCTTCTTCTCATCTATTTGTTTCAACAAGTCACCATAACTCGTCACTGCACTCTCTGCCAAATAACCCACAAAACGATGTGAAAATCTTTGACCAAATATGGCATAAATATAAAAGTAATACTGTGAAAAGGTGATCTGTGCAAGAACCATGATGAATCGTTCAAATATGTTCTGATTGTACAATTCAAGTAACAACAGCAAGTGAATACGATGATTTTCAGCTGGAAAAATTTGCCTCAGTCATAACCCTTTGAAATCCATTCAACTAACTTACCTTCTTCTAGTAAGGCACCCACACGAAGATGTTCATGTTTCTTTCTTTGGCTTGGTTTTGTTCGCAGAGAGGCAAAGTGACGCAACATTCCACCAACCTTAAAAGTCATGCATGTATCGAGATCATTGAATAGAAATTAGAATATCCAATGACCAACACCATCAAAAACTCACCATTCCAGGAGTTGCTGCCATGGTTTCTAAGAACACAGCATATCTAATTGTATTCCTTCCAAATAAGAAATTCAGTATTCTGGCGACACATTTCTTAGCCCACCATTCAGCCCAACGATCGACGCGATCCCTCGGCTCAAATCTTCGATGATTTAAAAACTCATACATTTCTGATTTTGGATCCAACATGAATTCTTCAACTTGTTTAATATTTGTCAGTTTCTTTTGAGCTTGCATCTTATTGATGATTTCAGCCTCTGTCAAGTGCTCATAATTAAAGATATCAAACAGTGAAGAAGAGGCTTGCATACTCAACGGATTGTGAGATTGAGCATACCATTCAAACAGAAACCTTTGAAATCGTTTTAGAGAAGCCTCGGAAGAGCTACTTGAATGACCTCGTGCTTCTTCTTCGTGCTCTTTCCGATTAAAATTTTGTGAGCGACTTCCTTGGTCATGAAATTTACAGACACTATGAAATTTATGGTTGTTTGGATCATGATTCCATTGAATTTTTAGAATTCCAGGACTCTTGTGATGAGCATAATTCCTCCAGAAATAATCATGTAAATATTTCGAGAATGATTGTTGGTAGAGAGGGATCGGATTTCGTTGTTGCATTTTTTTATGTTGTTTTCGCTGAATCATTTCTTCTCAACATCAAGATGTCTCATTAAGATGTCCAACTCGCATATTTACTCTTAATCTCTGTCTTTTGTAAAAACATTGTAAATGTCACGGAAATGTTATTGCCAATGAAACTCGACAAGTGTGACAATGTTACAATACACAATTTCTGCGGCATCTCTCTTGACACAATTTTTCATCAAATTCAAGCGTATGAGCTTTTTAAATGTTTCTCCTTTCGAGAGGGTAATAGCTCCTTCGTTGCGTAATGAATTTTGTTCGAGATCTAAATCAGTCAAACTTGGGAAAATGGCTTCTGAAAAGGTCTTTGCTTGCTCCCTCGTAAGATGACATCGTTTTAAATACAATGTTTTGAGTTTGGTTAAATTATTGTGTGAGAAATATTTGAGGGCATCGTTCGAAAGATTATTTCCACTCAAATCAAGGAATGTTAAACTTGTTAAATTTCCTTGCAAAACGTGTTGGAGACTTCCTCCTCGAATACCATTATCAGGAACAGATAAACTTTGTAAATTGATCGAATATTCAGATTTTGCAAGTGCAATCAATCCTCCATCATAAATACAATTTCCTGAAAAATCAATTCTTTCAATTTGTCGCATGACATGACTTGTCGCAATCACAGGCGCTCCATTTGGTCCAATACTATATCCTAAATCTAATTCTTTGAGAGAAATTAAACATTTACAGTTCACAATCATGGGCAAATATTGAGCTAATAATTTTCCACCAAACAAAAAAGATTTGACATTTGAAAATCTTCCATATTGACATGCTGCAATAAAACTTTCTGAACTTTTTTGTGAATCGAATAAAAAACGAACAGTGGATCGTGTTGAATTTCTAACACTTTGCATCCAATTTTTACAAACTGAATATGCCACTCGGTGCAACCATGTAAATTCCATACATGGAAAAATATGAGTCACAATCACTTCTAAAGGAATTTCATGAAAGATTCCGAAAATAATTTCATCATCCTCGCGATACTGGTGATGATGATGGAATGGTGCGCTTGTTGAGTTTGGATCTGAATTTTCTTCTGACAAGTATTTCATTTCTTTATCGGGTACTTCTTGAATATAATGATTCTTTGTTCGATCCTGACTGTTGGAGCAAAGATGATCATCATCAACTTGTGACGGAATGGTGTTGTTGTTTCGAAATTCAAAGACATCATCATCTTTGTGGCTCATGGCATATGTCAGAGAGGTAAAGATTGAAAATTTCATTTTTTTGTCATTTTTTACCTGTGCGAAGATTGGAACCTCCCAACTTGAAAAAGGTTATCCATGCCAAAGCCATCTCTCTCTTCACTCACCTCTCTAAAACAAATTTCATTTCCAAGAAACATTTCGAGTCCATTAACTCAAGCATTCGGTCAGCAATTAAAAGACGAATGCTCATCGATGTGAGAACTCCTTCGGGTTTCTTTCATCTTCCAACAACACATTCTGGTTTGAACATTCCTTCAATTGTCGAATTAATTGAGCATATTCACCTTGATGCTCATGGCCAACCATCCTAACAATCTCATCAGAAAGGCCTACGTTTTCGGAATGTCACATCATAAGGACACCGAAAACAACATTTTTCATCACTGGAAGTCTAACCTTAAAGAATACAACATCTCTGTCAAACTCAACAATCAACAATTTTCACTTCCTCAACTCTCAGGAACTAACTTTGAAATTCACACTGATGGATCCCGACAGAATGGTAAATCTGGAATGGGAATCAACATTTACGACCACAGTCACGCGCCAAAACAATTATATTCACACTCACTCAGAATTCATGATGGATATTCACACAACATAGCTGAACTCGCATCCATCCTTACTTCTATTCATCTTCTACCAAACCACTCCAAAGCAACAATTCACACAGACAATCAAGTTGCAATCCAAGCTCTCAAAAAGAACTATCGAGGACGATTCCTCCTCTTCTATCGAGAATTTCAGAAAATAATTAGAGCTAGAAATCTTCAAATTTCTCTAAAGAAAGTAAAGGGACATAAGGACCCTGAAAATATCAAGGTCGACGCTCTAGCCAGACAAAGTCTCTCACAACCCACAATTTTCGACATCAGACAACTCTTTGGCAAACAACGACTCCTTACCAAGACAGGTATCATCATTTTCAATCAAAGAGAAATGACTCGGACTTTTCACTACAAGAAAATGACAACAAAATTAGATAACAATCCCAACCTCATTGATCATGTTCATCAAAAATCCCTCAATATTAGATTCTTGAAAGCGAAAATCTCACCCAATTACAAGTATGGAGAATTATTATCGACTCTCATATTAGACACTTCACAGGCTTCTATTGCCCTGACTGAGAAGTCGAGTCCAATCTCCACCACTACATACATGAATGTCCAAAGCTTGACCCTGTGAGATACTTCTGTGAAATGAAGATCTCCTCTTTAATCTCCCAACCATGTACAATCACTGATTCGAATTCGTGGTTTAATCCACATCGTCTCCGGTTTCCTACCCCCAGATAGTGATGCAATAAGGCAGGTCCCAGCTATTGAAAGGAATTGGCCTGAAATCCAAGTACTGTTAGCCCTTTTCGTTGGCAAATGCCACAGCTACTATTACCCTGACAAGATTGAAGACTAAGGACCTTGGGACCTTAGTTAGAATCGCAACTGGATTCGGTGTACAAACACCCCAATAAATTTTTTTGTCATTTTTCGAGCCTTGTGTTTAGTTAAAACCGTTGAAGGTGGACCAAATGATTTTGATTCACCGCCACAGATTTCAGAGCTGTTCTTTTGTGGTATCAAATATCATATTTTTCGTGAATATGAAGTTAAGGGGAGCACACAGTGACTCCCTGTGAAACCTCAAGCCGTTCCCCAACTTTCGGAACATCTTCATACCATTATGGAATCTTTGTTGGCTTGTAAAATTTTGTGAATTGCTTTTTTTCTTCGTTTCTTAACAAATAAGGCCATTCCGTTCTTCCTTAATTCGCCTTTTCAGATTTGTGCGCTCGTAAAACCGAACACCGTTTGTCATCACAACTGAACTATCCGTTCAGAACAGAAACTCAACCGAGATACTGATCCCCCTATTTGCAATCAAAAAATTTCTTGAAACAATCCCACTACTGATTTCTCTGCATTGTCATCCCATGGGATTCCTCCCAAATACTCCCAACAACAACAATAAAATCGTTCCTCAGACCACTTCTAGTCATCCACATGCTGAGAAAGAGGACGACTTTGAGTTGCATTCCACAACGACAGCTCCCGTTCAAGACCGTTTTCATAACAGACCATTCCTCCTCAATGCTCTCTTCTCCTTTAAGAATTTCATCTTTTTGTTTGTGGTCTGCGCGGTTGTGTTGTTCTGCCTGGCGTATTGGCTCACCACTCACTTAATGTCCACACATGTGGCCGCTGAACTCACTCGTGTGATTTTGAGTACCATTCTCCAAAAACTTCAAAATTTGCTGAATGACCGTTTGACCTTAGTGAAGGCTTTAACTGTGAGTTTGTTCAGAGATTGGAAAACTGGACATTTGAAATTTGTGAATGGTTTAGACGTTAATCAGTGGAGTGAACAGGACATTCTTTCAAACCTCTATTACTTGCAAACCAGAATTGTAGATTACAACTTTACAGGTATCCAATTTGTGTTTGGAGAGAATTCCTCATATCCACTCTTGAGGCATGGTGTCCTGACCTCCTATGATCGGAATTGGGAGATTGATAAGTTTAATTTCTTCTATCAGCAGTTGAATAGTACCTCTCTTACCATACAACCATGTAAATTGAAAAGTGGAATCATTGATGGTTCCATCGGTAATCAAAGAACTAGTACCCCCAATAAGGCCAACACTTTGGACATGTGTAACTATCTTTCATCTCCAGAAGCTCTCGGCAATAGCTCACAATTCTTGCTCTCACAGTTTGATTCATTATCAGCCAACATTTCCTATGCATTCATCAAGAATGATTTAATGACGAGAAAACCTCCAACTTTTGTTGCCAATGGTGTGTGGTATCAACCTTACACCACTTCCATCTATAATACTGGTTTGTTTTATGCCATGCCTCTCTATGACATGAATGGCATCTATCAGGGATATGTGTCCACAATATTCAATCTCTTCAAGCTAGCAGGTTGCTTTAAACGTTTCCGTTGCAAGACCAAAGGATTCGTCGTGTTGTCTGAATTCAAACACAATACAGTTTTAGCCTCGACAGCAGGAGGTAAAACTGCAGATGGTTTAGGTCGTTTACACATGTTTGAAATGACCACTAGCAACAGTGGAAAGGTGTTAAAAGCTGCTTTCGATGCTGGAATGGACTTTTATCCAGCAGAGTATTCTGATTTTCAAATTGAAGTCGACGGAGTGTTCTACTTTTTAGCTCATCAACGCTATAAATTAGATTCCATCGAATGGAGAATGACCATTGTTGTGAACGATGACAACTTACAGACTATTCACTACCAACAATTATATGTATCGGTGGGTGTGACAATTGCCTTCTTTGTGGTTGGTTTGTCTTTGTCCTTCATCATCACGTGGATAGTCATTAGACCTCTCATGTTGTTGCAGAAAGATTTCAAGAACATTGCTGTCATGAATTTGGAGAAGGTCGAAAAGCATGATTCCTTTTTCGCAGAATATCACTCCATCTATGGACACCAACATGACATGGTGAATTGGTTGAAGGATATTCGCTCTTTCCTTCCTCAAAGCGTCTTGTTGCAATTGGAACAATCTCAACAACAACCACAAGAAACCACAGAAGGTTCTTCACCAGGCGCATACAAGGTGGATACGTCCATTGCTGTCATCAAACAGAATGATGATAAAGATGTTTCAATGCCTAAACATCATGCTGTGAAAATGTCCTCCGATAGTTTAAATCTTCATCACTCTCAAGAACACATGTCCAACTCAAGTTTGGATACACTAACAAAGCACTCGCATCAACATCATTCTCCTCATCAAATATTTGGCACTGGATTACAGTACTTCAAAACTTGTATCGTCATTTCCATTCATTTTTCAAATCTTAATGACATGCATCCACAAGATATTACTAATGGGTTTGAAAAGTTCATTGGAACTCTCTCACAGATATGTTCAAGTTATAGAGCCAATTTGCAACTTGTAGATCCAAGTAAAATTAGAATACTTGTGGAAAATAGAGCAAGGGATGACATGTTTAAAAAGAAGGCCTTGACCATTGCCCTGAAAGTGGACGCCACCATTCGACAAGTGAATGCCCTTCTTGAGAAAGAGAAGAGAACTTGTTTGGAATTTTACATTTCGGTTTCGAGTGGAAGTTCGTTTTCTGGCAATTTAGGAACTCGTTATCAGAGAATATATGCTTGTATTAATCCAAGTATTGAAAGATCAGATGAAATGTTACTTTTAGCAAAGGAATGTGGTATGAATGTAGTGTGTGATGAAGCAACCATTTCAAACTTTGTGACGGATTATATTTGCCGACCGTTCGAGAAGATGAAATTTGCAACAAGTAATGCTGCCCTCAATCAAGAGAACACTCCTCAATTGATCTATCATGTGATTGGAGAGAGTCTTGTGAAACAAGATGAATGGATGTATGAATTGCAAGAAAAAGAAAACGCAAAACTATTCGAAAAGTTCAACGAGGGAGTCAAGATTTTGTTTTCACATGAAGTTGACTCTCATGCAGTGACATCATCCAAGACAGGAAATACAAACTTGAATACTTCGTGGAATGATCGACTCTTTCATTCTGCCATGATTTTAGAAAAATTCTGTGATGACTATTATTCAAAAACAAAAAAGAAGGATGTGGTGTGTGAAAGATTGGCCTCGAGAATGAGAGAAATGGCCGTTCAGCAGCAAACAATTCCTTATTGTACACAGTTGAAACATCATGTTGAACAAATAATGTAATGAAAATGAACATTATTATCAAACCCGATATAAGCAATTAATTTTATTTCATTCTCAAGCAAGTAATAAACTGCTTGGTGTTTCTTAATTTCGGAAATCACTTGTTTTGAAACATCAACCATCATTAGTTCTCTGAGTGTTCAGAAGAAGTCGGTTCTTCTTCTTCAGAGTCGTCTGTTTCTTCATGTTGTTGCGAATCATCTGACTCTTCTTCTTCTTTATTGGATGAATCTTCATCCTTTTCAAATTGTGCTTCCATGAGCATGTCTTGTTTCTTATCTTTCAACAAATCCTCAAGTTGATCCAATTCCATATCCATTTGAATTTGAAGAGCAATATTGGAATCTATCTTCTCTCCTCGATCAAGTAAAAGCTTGGCATGTTTAAGTCTCTTTTTTCTCCATAAATTGAGTTCAAATTGTTGCTTCATCATTTCTTTTGTCCTCTCTTTGGATAAATGATAAGTTCGTAAGGAAAAGTCTCCATAACATAGAATGGAGGAGATTAATTCACAGAATGTTTTTCTCTTGTATTCTCCAAATTCTCTTTTTTGAACTTCCAATCGCATGTTCATTCTTCGAATGCAACAACATGGACAACAAACGGACACAAAGAGATAGAGTAGAGACATCAATAAGCATGAAGAAATTCCAATGACTAGTTGAAGCCATACATCCAACGAAATGACCATATCCAAAATACCAGAAGATAAAATCTCTGAGCTTGGAGGAGAACTGAGAGACAAGGTGTCAATCATGCAAAATTGTGATTCTTGTTGGAGAGATGGTGAAAAAATTGGATTCCATGGCTTGTAGTCAAAAGCTGTAATTTGAGATTCAGACTTGCACATACATCTGGTCTTGTCTTGAGATGAATCACCCTTATTTCCACATGGTAAGGTTGACAAAATACTCACTTCATTCATTAAATCCAATTGTTGATCATTTGCTTGGGTTTGATTTTTGAAAGAATCTTTCAACTCACACGTGTTGGTGATGGCATTGTAATTTTCTTTCCATTCCAAACATGTCTTTACCACTTCACATAATTGAGTTTCTGGATTGAAATAGTTTCTAGTGGCATTGTACTTGAGTTTGCAATTGACAGGTTTGCACATCAATTTCACAGAGTCATACACTAAATCCTGCGATGGACATTCAGTAATACACAAAACCTTATTTCCAACTCCAAAGATTTTCTTACCATAGGGAGGAACACAATCATCGTGGACCGCTGGTATGTCCGTCTCGATTGAGTTGGATGAAATATTCAGAGTGGTAAAGTTCATCGAGTGAATCAAATCCACCTTTCCATATTGCATGACAGAAAAGGTGCAGTATCCAAATTTGTTTACCACTTGATCCAACAACATGGAAAAGATAAATCGATAGACCTTGTACGATTCTACAGTTTGAGAAATGCCATGTGAAAACATTACAGAATGACAATCCCATTTTGGTAAATTTGGAGTGGAAGTCACACTCGATACACAACATGCATTGGGAATTACGTCAAAATTTCCAGAGCTATCGGCATTGTTGAACACATCAAGAAACATTTCCAAATTCCTATCTCCATGTTTGATTTCATTCACTCCACTCTTTGTGATCACTGGATTTCCAAAGAGACGAATAATTTTCACTCCAGAGCCATCGGTTGGAATTCTCAAAACGATTTGTGAAGTCACAATTTTTTGACAAGTGTATGGATAGGAACGTCTCAAAGTACTACTTGGAAATGCAGTGTTCGAGCTGGTGGTAGAGCTGCTTGGAGAAAAAGTACAACCAATGGCAGTAGAGATGGTGTCTTTTCGAAATTTCTCAAATTGATCCATTGGAGAAGAGCCACTGACTGATGTTAATAACCCAATCTTGTCTGAACATTTGACATTTCGAATGTAGGTCGATGGTGAAATTCCAATTCGATTAATGGAATCTCCAAAATTATATCGTCCGCATAAAAAACCTTCTTGTGTTGGAGTATAATTGTCTGGAATTACAACAAAATCATTTGAGAAAAACATGTACCTGGTGACATCGATCAAATCAGCAACGATCCAAGCTGTCAGACCTGCTCCAGTTTGTTTTTTAACAGTATTTGCGAGGGTAAGAGTTTCTGTTTTGGAAGTCTGAACTGCCCTTATTTGAATCGAGTACTTTGTGTGTGATTTTAGTTTTAATCACACAAGTGAGAGGTGTTTCATTAATGGTTCCATAATAAATCACATTGGATTGAATTCATTCATCATGGGTCGATTGGAAATGAAAAAAAATTGTGAGAAACCAGAATTCACATCATTGATGGATTTGAAACTTACTTGTGGACTATTCATGGATGCATAATAGTAATTATATTTGGTCACATTTTGTTTCATTTCCCTCAAAAAGTACATATTGTTGTTGCCACTTGTGACTGGACAGCACTTTTGATTGGCCATGGCCATACAATTCGAGGATGGCGCATGGATTCGTTCATACGCATTATAGGCAAAACCTCCAAATGTTAAATCATAATTCACTGTTATGGGACTTCTCTCAATTTCCAACAAGACATTCTCTCCTACGGTCCATTGTCTTCCTTGTGAATCCGTAATGATCTTGTTTTTTGGAAGTTGAAAACCAATGAGAGGAGGTGAGGTATCATCCAGAGTGACCACAATTTGCATGGAAGGAACACATGAAGAAGAATCATTTGTTTGTTGAACATTCATCCAATTGGAGGAAGAGGAGGATGTGGTGGATGAATCACATAAATCAATGGAATAAGAAGTTGTTACTGAGGAGGCATGAACGAAGAGGAAGGAATTGTGTTGTGAGAAAGATGATGATTCGGCACTATTCTTGTTGTGGTTGTTGTGGTTGTGGTTGTGGTTCGAAAATAAATAAGGATTGAAAAGCAATAATGATCCCAGTAGGATGCAATAGAAAGAAAAGATGAACAATAATATTATTATTAAGGAAAGATAGGGTTGGATGAAGAGTAACAAGTTAACCACTCTGTGGAGTGTTTTTGAGAGGAATCGTAAAGAAGAGTGGTTGTTGTTTTGAATTCTTCGAAGAATCACTGTTTTGGCCATTTGTTTCGTTACTAAATAAGCAATTTCCTATTTCATCCAAATTCTCAACTTTTAAAGGACAAATTCTTCTGGAAAAACATGATGAATTCTTGCAGCGAATATAGTGTGAATTTTCAATACTCAGTAGAATTCTTCATCATTCCTGGAATAAATAAATAAATCCATCAACAACTGTAATATCAATCATGACCGCAACATTTCAAATTTGATTTTCCTAAACTAATTTGTGAAACAGATATTTATATCATCGTTCAGATATTTCTCAAATAAAAAGCATTAATGATTATTTTCATCGTTAGGTATCATCATGCTCGACAATAGCCACCACTCAATAACACCACCTTCGTAGATGAAAAGGTTCTCGGACTTGAATTGAAAAATAGCCAACAGAGCAAAAAGAATAGAACAACATCAGAATGTGCATCTTCCAGTGAAACAGAATTGAAAGAAATTTACAGCAAGGCTGTAAGTGATTTCATTCGATCATTAATCTTTTAGATTTTGCAATGTTCGTTTTTTTAAATATTTTACAACTAATTCTAAATGTGAATATTTACGTGTAAAGTCCATACTGTTGGAAAATGCATTAGAGGCAATACGAAACTGTTCCTGTCGATACGACATCCATCCATTGCATGTTCGTTCTTCATACTTCTTTCAAACCGATCAAGAGATTGGAAAATCCAATTTTCAGAGACGGGTCTCGAAGATATCTTTGTCGTTGATGTTATTGACAAGCTCAAGGGAGGATGGAAGCCTTCTGAAATTAACTTTCGTGCTGCAACAAGTGGCAGTCAAGATAACTCCCTCTAACCTTATGTAGATCTATTGAAAAGATGTACAACAAAGACGATTGTCAAATCCAAGAAATTCATTCAAGTACCAATCATTGTGAGGAGGAATGGCCTGCAAACAGTGTATGTGAATTTCATTCCAACCTGTGAAGAGATCCAAAGATCTGTCATTCATGTTTACACCTACATATGCTCTAAATTGGGCACTCAGGCTCATCTGGCCTCAAACAAATCCTTAATTCTAAAGGGAAGATTCACACTGAACATGATTCAACGTCTCATGCATAGATATATCAGTACATATGTGATGTGTCCAAATTGTCATCATTTAGATTCAAGATTAATGCGAGACTCTCAACATCGTCTCTATTTCATCCATTGCAATACTTGTTTTTCCCAAGTGCAGGTTCCTCCAATAACACAAGATCACCACCCACTTGCGAGAAATGTTGGATCCTTGAGGAGAGTGCAAGGTCCTGATGTTGAGTTTTAAAAAACAAGTATTAATAGTAGCTCCGCTCAACTTTGGGAACTCCCAAAGTAAATTTTACGGAGTTCAATTTTGAAAACTCCGACGAAAGAGGAAGAAAAATCTGTTTCCAAAAAAAATGAAAAATTTCATTGCTGTCGTTCTTGTTGCTCTAGCGCTCTGCTCTGCTTTGGTCCATGCCGCCATCATCACTGAGGAGGACCATCATACATTGGCCATTGATTTTGATATCATCCAACAAGTAAATTCCAATCCTGAATCAACATGGAAGGCTGGTGTTAATAGAAACTTTGCTGGAAAGAGCCTCGCTGAAGTCAAGCGCTTGTTGGGCTTCCCAAAGAAGGAAGGAAAAATCAGACACACCGAAGAAGAGATGATCACTATTAAACACTATCATCAAGCAAAGATGGACGCTGTTGCTAAAGTTGGTATCAAGGAAGCTGCCAAGGAATTCAAGAGCTTGGCTTTGCCAGATAATTTTGATGCTAGACAACAATGGGGTGAGTTGAACTTGTGTACATTTGATGATGATGTTGAACACAGAATTCACATATAACTTTGGCGATGATGATGATTGGTTTGTGTATGATCTGATCTCCATCCCACGTAGGCAAGTGGTAGGTGTTCGGTTCTTATTGAGAGCTAGGAAACAAGATCACTTTTCATCATCGTGTTTTTGACCATGATTCGAACAGTATTCATCCAATCAGGTATGTACTATCTTTCTGAAATTTATTCACCAACGTAATTTTGCACAATACATGATCATTATGAATGTTTGGAACTAATTCACGACTAATGAACCTTGTTGATTGACCAACAGAAATCAAGAACAATGTGGTTCTTGTTGGGCTTTCTCTGCCTCTGAAGTCTTGTCGGATCGTTTCTGTATTGCTTCCAAGGGAGCCGTTGATGTTGTCTTGTCTCCACAAGACATGGTTAGCTGCGACTACAACGACATGGGTTGTGATGGCGGTAACCTTGATAATGGTTCGTTTTGATAATGATTTACTTTGTGTTCTAAACCATTTAATATGTTTTATCACATGCCGTTTGGCTATTTCATGATTGTACAATTAAAAAAGCTTGGTGGTGGTTGAAGAATAAGGGTATCGTTCCTGATAGCTGCATGCCATATGTTTCAGGAAATGGTGTCACTACTCCTTGCCCAACTACTTGCAATGGTACAAATGTTCCTATTTCATCAAAGCTCTACTATGCGAAGTCTTATCAACACATTTCTCCTTGGATGTGGTGGAAGAAAGTTGAAGAAATCCAACAAGACATCTATGACAATGGTCCTGTTCAAACAGGTAAGTATGTCGAACTTGTAGAATGTATGACTAACATATTAATTCTGCTCAATGTACAATGTACAACTAATTGTAAATCATCATATTAATCAGGTTTTTCTGTATACCAGTAAGTTTGAAAGAATGCATGTTAAATATGTGTTGAATTATTATGCATATTTGAATTTACCTTGGACATGCTTCGCTACGTTTCATCTCGCTGTATCCACCTGAATATACGTTATATTGACATATTGTCCAATTTATTTCTTTCTAAATCAACAGAGACTTTATTAACTACAAGTCTGGAGTTTATACTCATCAAACTGGAAGCTTTTTGGGTGGACATGCTGTCAAAATTGTCGGTTGGGGAGTCACCAATGACGGTACGAACACTCCATACTGGATTGTTGCCAATTCATGGAGTGCTGATTGGGGCATGAATGGATTCTTCTGGATTAAGAGAGGAAATGACGAATGTGGCTTTGAAGACGATGTTTATAGGTAAGGAAAAATTTGGTTAATGTCAAAGTGAATCATAATATTCTTTTAATTGGATGATTTCTTTTCAATTATTTTGAATTGAATCATTTCTTTTCAATATTTTGAATTTTTACAAACAACAGCGGACCTGCTGACCTTTCCAGATTGCCAAAGCAATAAACAATTGATATTTTTGCTAGCTTAATTGATTCCAAAATGGTTTTCGATTCAGCATTTCTTTGCGAAATTAAAATGTACCATGGCCAACAAACTCTCAAGCAAAATTATGATCGAGTTGAACCGATGTGCGTATTCCAGAAAAGCTTTTCAAATACAAAATTTATTTGAAAATTTCCTGAATATTTGCACTGTTGCATTAAGAAAGTCATTGTTTACAAACCAAACGACGAAGGAAGTAATTCGTATTTACGGAGTAAAGTCGGTAGAATAACTCCCACACCCAGGCCAAATACGCCCATCATCAACGAAACACCACCAACTGCCTTATCCTTGGTGTTTTGTGGGGATGTAACAGTGATTTCTTCTTGGTCCTTTTTATCGGTTGACGCTTCGTCTTTTTCAACACCCTTATTGCTTCTAGATTCATCATTCAAATTGGAAGCACCAGTTGAGACTGTTCGAGTTGATTGATACTCTTCTAGGCGTTTTACAAGTTCTGCATTCTTGTCTTGCTCTTCTTTTAACCTCTTTTCTAATGTAATGATAAAATCTTTTTCTCCTAACAAAGATGCTTGCAACTTTTTGATTTCTCTCTTTGAAGAATGATCCAGGGCAACCAATTTCTCCCTCTCAGAAGAAAGTAACAATTCTAATTGTTCTTTTGTTGCTGACAATTCATTGATTTTGGATTCCAACATTCGTTTTTGTTTTTGGAAATCATCCTTGAGTGTTTTTTCTGACTGCATTCTCTGATCTTTCTCAGATTGAGCAGCTTCTTTGAGTTTGGAAATATCATTGTTCAAAGATAAGGAGTGTAACTCTAATTCTTGTATCCTCTTCTCTAACACTCCTCTGATTTCAACTTCTTTAGAGCTTGCAGATGATTTTTCTTGGTTTACTAATTCCTCCAAGTAGTGCATTTTCTTCTCATTCTCTGAAATGTGGTTGAGAAGTCTTTCATTCTCAATAATCATATCATCAACTTTCTTTATAGCATTCATCCTTTCCCGTTCCTCTGTAGACAACGCAACTTCTAGGTCTACAATTTTCTCTGAAAGAACTTTTTGAGCGGAAACCTCTGTTACCAAAGAATTTCGAAGGGATTCTACCGTTGAACGCTCTCTTGTGAGAGATTCATTAAGAGTTGCAATTTCTGTTTTCAACAGATCCTCGTTGTGGCTCTTCGATTCTAGCTCTCTTTTAAGCGTCTGCTCCAAGAAAAGTATCTTTTCTTCTGATTTTTCATTATTGTTTTTCAGCAGAGTTGTTCTTTCAATTTCCTGCAGCAGTTGTTGTTTCAAAACTTTGTTTTCTGACTGCGACTTAAGTACTTGAGCTTCTGACTCTGTTTTTGCTAGATTCAAATTTTCAATATCTTTTTGTAACTGAGCAATTTGATCTTCATACGAATCTATTAGGTACTGTTTCGAGTTAGTTTCCTGAGAGAGTTTCTCTTCCAAATCTGATATAATTCGTGTTGACTCTCGGGCACTTGCTTCTGTCATTTCTCTACTTTTTTGTTCTGTTGAGAGAGTAAATGCTAATTGTTCTTTCAAATTAACCTCAATTTTCAACGACCCTTCCATCTCTTTCAACGTTGCTTTCAGTTCTTCGATTGTTTTGTTCAGTCTTTGAACGGCTGATTTTTCCTCCTGGATCATCTCTTCTTTGAGTTCCAGCTGATTGATCAAATCGAGATTCTTTTCTTTGTACTCTTCTAACTGTTGTTTAAGAGTGTTGTTTTCTAAAGTAAGTCCTCTCACAGACGACAGTAAGGATGATATTTCATTTGACTTATCTTCTCCTTCCAAAGACATGGTTCTGAGAGAAATTAGCTCATTGTTTAAAGATTCAATTTGTTCTGACTTGATCCTGATTTCAGCTTTAAGCAAGTCTATCATGGAGGAGGATTCTTGTCTTGAGTTGAAAAGATCCTGCTCAAGGAGTGTATTCTTGTGCTTGACTTTTTCAATCTCATCAAGATTCAAGGTTATTTGATTGTTTGAAAAAACAAGTTCTTTTGTGAGCTCATCTCGTTCATTAGAAAGATTCTTAATTTCCTCTTTGAAGGTGCCTTGCAATTTTTCTATTTGAGCTTTTAGAGTTTTTTTCTCGTTTTCAAGAAGAGATATTGTATTCTCTAAGTCATTAATCTTTTCTTGATCTGTCTCAGCCGATAATTGGTTCAACAACTCGGTTTGAAGAGATCGTACTCTGTTTTCTAGTTGGATCTTTTCTGATTGCAACTGAGTTATTTGTTGATGTGTACTTTTTAGGTCGTTAGTCAAAACCTCAATCTGAGACACGTTTCTTTCTCGCATGGATGTAAGTTCGTTCCTAAGCGTGTCATTTTCAACTTGGGCCGTTTGTAAGGTAGCCAAAGTTCTGTTCAACTCCGATTTAAGCTTGTCAATGTTTTTTTCTAATTCAATCTTTTCTCTTGTGAGCTTTTCCACTGTTTTTTCGTGGTCTGATTTCGTTTTTTCTAACTTTAACAGCTCTGATCTAATATCTTCGGCAGTGTCTTGATGTCCGGAAATATATGACCTCATTTCCAGCTCCTTCTCTGCAATAAGGCGATCCATATTTTGTTTCTCCAGCTCCAATCTGGTCTGGAGATCTTTCAGTTGTTTTTCTAGGGTTTCTTTTTCATCATTTCTCTTGGAAGCCATCGTATTTAAGGACGCATTAGAGGTAGAGGATGTAGAGCTCTTCAGAGACGAATTGGAATCGCTCCTAACAAGTGGAGGAGGTGAGGCGATGGGAACACTTGATAGGGTGTTGCCTCCCCCACTTGCACCTGAAACCTTTGTCTCTTGTTTGGATGGTGTTCTTTTCAAATTTACCTGTCCTCCATTGGCGTTGGCCGTAGTGGAGATGTTTGATGCACTGCTGCTTGCTGATCCCGTCGTTGTTGTAGAAGATCCATTGCTGCTAAGTGGGGTCTTTGGAGAGGACACAGCGGAAGTTTTTGCCTTGGAAGCAATAGAGGAGATAGTTGCCGTGGAGCTTGAGTTTGATTGAGAGGAGGGTGGTCTAGAAGTGGCAGATGGTTGAATTCTATTGAGAGCAACACTCGGGGTGAGCACAGAGGCTGAATTATTCATCGACGAAGGAGATGCTCTGGAGAGGCTGGACTTGTTAGGAGTTGATGACGTTGTGTTTGATCTTGAGGAAGTCATCTTACTCTGTAGTTGTTGGTGTTCTTGATCTTCAAGAGGGTATATTATTAACTGAAAACCGTTGTTGGAGATTAAAATCCAATGAATGGTACGTCAATTAAAATGTTAAGGCTGTTGCGAAACTATTTTTTTTTAAAAAAGCCATCAATTTTCTAAATTGGGAAATCATAAAAACCTAAAACGCGAAGGCGATAAACACCACGGTTTAAAAAATTAAATAATACTAAAAAGTAATATATGGATGAAACTTTCACAAGCGGCAAGAACATATTAGCTGGGCAATTTAATATCATGTGTTTTTGATGATTCCTTTTTTTCCGATATGGTGTTTGTGAACCTTCAAACGAATTACATCGGAGCAAATCAGAGGGCAACGCGTATAGAGTTCTCGAGAAAAAAATTGAATCGACGACGTTTTCACAGACATCCTCTCCAAAGTGTTTCATCGTTGCCTTCAACTAGAGAATGAGAAAATCACTCGACAGGAAATCACCAACTCCAACCGAAGGTCTTTCTAATACCTCTGACAACGAGAGAAGATTTTCTCTTGGTAAAGAAGAAGAGGAATCATTTGTTGAGACTACCAGCAACAATGTGGATAACAACAACCGCACTCCTTCTGAAACACAACAACAGAATGAGCGGTCGCAAACATCAACTACAGCAGCTCCAATCAACAACACTAGTGTTATTCCGAGTAGTGTGGGAAAGACAATTCCTCCAGTCTATGATGACGTGAATGCTACTCCTGCTGAATTACAAAATCTCGTAGGCTACAAATCAAATGGTGTGGATGACTCGTTGCTGAGAAAGTATATTTTAAATCCGTACATTTATGAAACAAGTATCAAATTATTCCCAAATTGGATTGCTCCAAATATGATCACTTTAACTGGATTTTGCTTTGTTTGCATCAGCTTTTTCTTTTCGTACATTTATACTTGGGGAGGATTCCACATGTACTATTGTCAACACGTTCATTTTCTTGGTGAAGTTGGAGGAATGAAATCCATCATCCCAAATACCACTTATCACCAAATTGCTACTTCATGTGTTTCGGAACAAGTCGATTTCTTTTCAGAGAGAAACTTAACATCTCCTTTTAATGCCTCTCTTTCAACACTGGAAAATTTCAACAAAAACTTTGTCACAAATACGTTCTTAATGGGTTATCTGCCACGTTGGGTGTTTTTCATTAATGCACTCTGCATTTTCCTTTATCAAACGTTCGACAACCTGGATGGAAAACAAGCAAGAAACATGAAACAAAGCTCACCTCTTGGCGAGATGTTTGATCATGGCGTTGACGCTTTGACATGCACGTTGGGAGGAATGGCCTTTTTAGCAACCGCAGCAGCCGGAAATTATGGTGTTTGGACATTATCAGGTGAGTTGTTACATGTAATGCATGATACCTGGTTGACAATTATTTCTTTTAAATTATTGTTTTCAAATTCAATTCAAATTTCAATTTTTATAAGACACTTTCAGTATTGATGTGAAATGGTTTTATTTATTACTACTCCTATTCTCGGGAGATTTACCATTTATTACAGCAACATGGGAGGAATCACATATTGGATATTTATACTTGGGTTATGTCAATGGTCCTATCGAGGGCGTTTTGTCAATTGTTTTTTCTCAATTAATTGGGTTATTTGCTGGTGCCTGGATTTTCCAATGGCAACCTCTAGGGTTTGTTTGGGAGTACTGCCCACCAGTTCATTTGATTTGCATTCTTGGATCATTCTCTCTTGCAATTGTTTCTGCCATCATGAATATGAAAAAAGTGTGTTTCAAAGAGAGATCTCTCAAACCAATTATTGAACTTTTCCCATTTTTTTGCTTTATTACATTCATTATTCTAGCATTCTTAATTAATACCCAAGCACTAAACACTATTCCGCTTGTTGCTCTATTGGGCTTTTGCTTCCAATTTGGGTATCTCTCAAGTAACATTACTTTATCTCATTTATTGAAAAGAAAGCTTCCAAATGTCCTCGACATTAGATATGTCATTATTTTTGCGCTTCAATTATGCAGCGTATTTGCTGGAGTATGGGGACTTGCGTTTTACACAGTAGTTACTGCTTTAATTTACTTCAATTTTGTGCTAAGTGTTTGTCACACTGTGGCTGGATTTTTAAGAATTAATGTGTTGACTATTACTCCTCCAAAAACAATTGTAGAGGCCCCAGTTACCTCTTCGACGAATACCTTGGCAAACCATTAAGATCCTATTGTTTTTTGAGAAGATGACAATAATATTATTATACTCATATTATTAGTAATATTAGAAAAACTGTTTGAGTCATAAAGCCAGAACATGGAGCATTCAGATTCATTCTAAATTGTTTATTAATGTCAAATTCACGACTCAGTTGTGGATTCTCTTCCTTGTGAATTGGCTTGATCAAGCGAAGGTGCAAGGAAAATGTTTTGTAAACTTCTGTGCTATTGCTGGATTTTTTTTCTCCGAGAATGCTTTTGATTGGTCGGAGAGCCAAACAGGTAATTTGTAGTGAAAAAATGCCTTCTTTCAACAACGAGGAAAGGACAATCCCAACTCAAGGCACACTCAAACCCTCTCAATCGTCCACTACCACAAGACTTGATGTCAACACGCGTGATTCCAATCATCACATACGTTCGGAAACGACATCTTCCTACACAGTTTCAAATGTTTCCAACAAACTGCCAACAAAAAGTGACTTTGAAAGGTCTTTGAAGCCAACAACAGTAACATCCCGTACCTCCGACCATCAGCAGCAACCTCTGATGGACAAGTGGAAAGTGCACTTTAATTCTCAGCACTCTCTGCAACCACAACAATTTTCAAATTTAGATCCACTCACTTACCGTTTCTTTAATAACGGCTCCACCATTCCCATCAGTAATATTCTGCAAAATCAAGCCTCCAACATTGATGGACAATATCCTTCCACATTGCCATTTCAACAATGCGCGGTGAGAGAGTCCAATAGCACTATACAGCAAAATGTTCAAATTCATGAATTAGTACAAATCAGACCAAATGAAACGCGACTTGAGCCAATACTGCACCAGCAGGAGCCAAATGAAGAAATTTTACCCAGGTTCGCCGACGAAGATATGACGAAAAACATGTCTTCCTTACAAGCAAATTCAGAGGTATGCAAGACATATGCATCTTCAAGCTTGGCTGGGAGTAATACACCAATAGGTGAGGAAATTTTGCGACATCCAATTTCATGTGAAAGGTGTCGTAAAAGACATACAAAATGTGACAAAATTCTTCCTATGTGCATTTATTGCAAGTCAAATGGTTTGGAATGCATTTATATGACGCCTAAGAAATTGAGGAAAAATTATATTTCAGAAAGTGTAGATTTGAATAAGATGGATGATAGTGGTGTCATACAAAGTGGTATTGGTGCCAACCATAAGTCTTCATCAACAACCAATGTTCATCCTCCATCAAAGTTTAAAGTCTATAAATTTAGTTTAAACGGTAAAAAATCAAGAAAGAAAAAACAAAATGAAAATGTCTCATCAATATCCGAAAGTAATACAACTATGGCTGCACCTATCAGTAGTATTAATACGAGTAACAGTAGTGAAAGTGTTAGCAATCAACCCCTAACCAATTTGGAAAAAGTTGATGGGTCTTCTTCAAAATCATTATTAATGCAATATTCTGATTCTGATATTCACATGCTTTTGAAGAGCTTGAGGACAGGAATTTATGAATATTATTCATGCTATATTGCGTATGTTTCAATTATTTAATTCTGAGAGTTCAATTGAATCCAATTTTATTTTTACAGATTTGGAACTACATTTGTATCACTCAAAACGATTGAGAATGTTTTTTCTCAAACCAGTAATGATGACATACCATATAGAATGGTATTATACCCCGATGATGTTATGGCATTATTGTATGCCATACATGCATTGAACGCTTTTTCATTCCAAAAACACGATATTTCAACCAAAAGCTTTCAAAGATGTCTTGAACTATTGCAGTATGACTCTTCTTCAGTTGAGAATATTTTATATTCCACTGGATTATTTACACAGATGGAATCTAGTGCCAATTTGTTGTGTCTTTCGAATTCTCCCGAGCAATCACTATCCATGTACTTTACTAACACTAATAGAGATGAATCATCATTATTTCTTATTGGAACAAGACTTGTTCTTGTGCAATATAGTCTGTGCTTGGGGAAGATAGAGGCGGCATCTTTTTTTATGAGTGAAGCAGATTTAATGTTAGGACGAAGATTCAAAGTGTTCAAAGACAAATCGTTTTTGCCAATATTTATTAATGAGAATGGTGATGTTCGTATTAACTCTCTGTTTGATGGTTGTACATTTGATGAGGCTTCTGTGTTGAGGTATAGACTAATTTGTGGCGTAAAACTTGATGACGTAAGATTTTTAATAGAAAAAGGAATGGAATATATTGATTTTGAGGGAGTGGTATCAGAGTTCAAATCGTATTCAAGAACTAGCTCTGTATTAGGAGATGATATCCGATTTTTATTTAATTCATTTGTAAATAGATACATACTTAGCACGTACCTTTTTATAACAGGATCAGTGACATCAGAAATTCTAGATCTGCTATCTGCTCCAATTGTGCTCTCAGAGACATCTCCTTTTTCCATAATGAAGATTTTAGATTTTGCAAATACCCAATTAGAACAAGGAACTTTAGCCTTTTTTTCACCTAACACTCCTGCAAGTTTTCAAGTATTAGAGCAGAGCGGAGAAAGCTCACTATCTATAACTGAAGTACATGATTACTACAAGCTTCTAGGCATATTTCGAACCATATTTATTGCAAGTTATAGCATGCTTGTTTTACATGAGACAGTATTGAATTTTACAAATCCTTTAATTTTACATCCAACTAATATTACTCGTCACTTGAAAATTACTATTGAACAAATTGAAAGGTTGGAAAAATATCGAAATGGATTTGCAGATCGATTAAGTGATCTGTTTGCTTCTCTTCCTGATTATACCATACAATATATCAGCTTGCTAGTGATGGCAGTATTTACTTCATGTAAGATTCATATAGACATGCTGAAACAAGTCGACACCAACCAAGAGACACGCCATGTTGATCCAATTCTCATAAGGCGAGCAAAGAGTGACCTTCGCGTGCTCAATATTTTAAACACCAAATTTCCTGAACTATTTCGAACGAAGGCAATTAAGGATTTTCTGACCGAATCAGAGAAGATTTTTCAATCTCAATAAATTCTGCTGACATGCTTGTCCTTACACCATGGATTCAGCAATGTTCGCTTGTAAAAATCCTCAAATTTCAGAATTCCCAACACAAAAGGAATACAAGTTTGGAGAGTGTTCTTTGCATTTTTTGTTTGTTTGGAGAAGGTGAAGTTTCCATCACAACAAAAAAAATGCAAAATCCCATTAACTTTAGATCTGCTGGCACAATGAACCAGGCCCAATCATCATCAGCTGGATCATCGTCGGGTAGTGGTGGAAATGGAGCCAACAACAACAACACTACTACTACTACTACATCAGCAGGTACTCAAAAAAAGCAACATAAATATCCAAAGAGGCTGAGCCAAAATATGGAGAAAAGGGCCGAAGGATCTGCTGGTGCATCATCATCCAGGCCAACAACATCAAGTTTATCTAAAACTAGAGTCGAAGAAATGTATAATAGCAGAACCAATCAAGATAGAGATACTAGGAATGCTTCTCCGATTATTCCGTTGAGAAACTTTAATAACTGGGTAAAGGGAGTGTTGATTTATAAATATGTACCGATGCAGTCAGTGGTATTAGATATCAGTTGTGGAAAAGGAGGTGATCTTTTCAAGTATCATTTTCGTAACATCAAATATTATGTCGGAGTTGATATTGCTCACGCTTCTCTTGTGGACTGCACTTCAAGATATAATGAAAATTCAGCACAGTTTAAATTCCCAATCACACTTATACATGCTGATGTTGGAAAGGTAAGTCATGGTACAAAATGAACGATTTTCACGTTTCATTGTCTTTATTGATTAATAGACGAGTATTGATCCTGTGTTGCCAAGAGGATTGCTTTTTGATGCTGTCAGTTGTCAGTTTGCTGCTCACTACATGTTTGATACAGAAGAGCATGCAAGAATGCTCCTTAGGAATGTTACAGATCGCTTGAAAAATGGAGGCAAATTTATTCTCACCACATCTGATGCCTATGTGCTTGTTAAAATGCTCAGAAATGTTCAAGGATATACCCTCAAGAATGATGTTTTTGAAGCTACATTCCATTGTGCTCCTGACAAATCTTTTCCTAACGTTTTTGGTAATCGTTATGATTTTCAATTGATCGATGCTGTGGATTTGTGTCCAGAATATCTTGTTCCTCCAAAACACTTCATCGACTTGGCCAGAGAATTTAACTTACATATTGTAGAGCATTTGAACTTCCATGATTTCTATGAAAAGTATGGAAGCAATCAAGAAACTAAGGTCAATGTCAAACCAGAACTGAAGTTGGAGGGCATGACAGAAGACCTTTGGACTGCCATCTATTTGTACAGAGCTTTTGTTTTTGAAAAGAGAGGTGGCCCAGTTCCCCAAGATCAGTTTCAACTTCCAACTGGATACAAAAAGCTTGCTGCTTCTGACATTATTTCATTGAAGTAACTTAAATAAATTGTTTAATTGACATTCATAACAGCTTTTATGAATTTGTAACACTACAACATAAGAACCCCAGTAACGTATACAGGGGTGGGAGTGACAGGTAACGAGATCTCTCGAGCCAGGAGAAAAAAATTGGCTGGACGGGAAATTTAATTTTTTTTTCTCAATACCACCTGTATACGTTTATGTTGTAGTGGTTGCACGTTTGCCTAAAATCTCTTCGTAAAGTGTTGACTCAATTAATGTAATAATGGTTTACTTTTTCGGAATCTCAAGATTTGGCATGATTACCTTTGTGGTACAGGCCAATAAATCTGGATCTGTCACTAAACAATTATAAAATTCCACACCATCCGATTTGTCAAAACATTTTTGAATTTGTTCAGCACACATGACAGATGCAGCACAAGTACTAAAGCACATTTCATTGACAGCTCCATCTCCTGCATTCCATTGGTCTAATTGATATTCTGGTAAACATTCCTTTCTAATAAGAGTGTTTAACTTTTGTGCCAAGTCTTTTTCCAGAATAATTGGCTTTGAATCTTTGACATTAAAGTTAATTTTTGAACCAAATTGTTGTCGACTGAACTGTGAAAGTTGATACCACTTTTCAAGCGAAACTTTTGGATCAAGGTGCAACAATTGTTGCATTCGTTGGCCCATCAATGAAATTGCTTGATGATTTCTTGCTAAAAAGAGTCCCACAGCTCGAGAAGGTTTTTCTTTCAAACTCTCCTCCAAATTATTGGGATTAGCCCCTCCGAATAATTCGTTCATTTTGTTCTTTGTTTCCGATTCCTCTTTTGTTTTCAAAATTTCATCAGTGATAAGATCGAGTTGTTGTGTGTCCAAGTCAAAACTTTGATTAGTTTGTGGAGAGTCTTTGTAAAATTTCGGAATGGCTTTTGATGTTTTAAGAGGACCATAGAATTCTCTGTTCACCAAATTTCCCATGCAAGTATTATATAATGAAGTGAGAATGTTATGTTTGAGCTTGTTGGAAGGATCTTGAGCAGCTGCCTTTTCAGCTGCTAAAATTTGTTTGTTACAATCAAACGAATCAAAAAGAGAAGCAAAGAGAGTTTTGAAGAGTATTCTGGCAAGGTAACTATCTTCTTCATGGAATGAAGACCCTTCCGATGAGGTAGATGATGACGATTGTTTGTTGGACATTTTTTCTCTCTGGAATGAAAAGTATAGTTCATGTGAAATTCAAGAGAGTGTAGCAATTACACGATGGTCCATCATTGAAAGCATGCATTAATAAGGTCAGTTGTAAATTATCTGCAGATATCTATTCTTCTTCAAGAATTGGAAATTGATGATTCATTTATTGATTCAATGCCTTTTTCCCATTTGATACATTAATACCAGCAAATATTGCCACGCAGTCTAATTGAGAAGGAATTCTCTTTCTTCGTTTGGTGTTCTTAGGTTTTCTTGGTGAGGTTCGTTTTGGTGGAAGTACTGTGATCAAATCGTCTGGAGTAACAATATTGGGTTCTTCTTTGTCACTTCTAGGAGTGTAGTGATCTTGGTTGTTTGAGATTGTTGTTGAGAACTTAGGGGCTTTGCGTTTTTTGGTGGATGTTTTCTTAGGTTTTGGAGATGGTTCATCAGAGTGATTTTCCACGTGTGGACTTTCTTCGGTGGTCTCTTTTGAAAATCCAGGAGGAGGTGTATAATAATATTTGTGAACAATGGGAATGTCTTGAGGAGCATTTTGACTCTTTTTGTTGGGAGGAGTGTGGTGTGGTGTAGGATTTTTTCTCCAGCCCATTAATTTCCCTTCAAGTTCAACATCTAGTGTGGGAATGTCTTCTTCTTCTTCACTGGAGTCATCCTGTTTAGATTTCTTTGATTTGCTGTAGGAAGTGATAGAGGTTTGAGAAAGTTTTTTGGATTTTGTTGAAGGGGTGATTGTCTCATTCTTCTTCTTCGTTCGTCTTGGCTTTTCTTCCTCCTCTTCAGGTATATAGTTTGCCTCATCACTTTCTTCATCAGTACTAATGTCATATTTCTTTCTCTTCTTTGGAGTTTTCTTGGTTGAGCTGTTTTTTCTTTTTGGAGCTTTCTTTTTTGGTGTATCACTTGGAATATCCTCTTCTTCAATTGGCTGTTGTTCATCTTCATCTGAGCGATAATTATGATTCTTGGCAGAATTTTTGCTGGTGATTCGTTTCTTAGAAGAGGGCGATGGTTCATCGTCATGGTGATGTTTGTCATCTTCATCTTGAGGTGGTTGAAAGAGATCGTCATTGTCAAATCCTCCTCCTCCTACATCCATAAAATCATCATTTTGAGGAGGAATAGGGGAAAAATGTTTTTGCTTATCGGGTGATTTCTTTTCAAAGCTTTTGTTAACATTGTCACGAACTGTAGAGGTTTGATTCTTAGACTTGGGGCTTGTTAAGGATTTTTCCAACCTTAAAAACTCTTTTTTTAACAAGTCATCCCAATTCTTGGGAAATGGCCCATCTGCACTATTACAAAATTTGTCTAAAAACTCTTTTCCTACTACATTCAAGTTTTCAGAATTTCTCTCATGATTCATCTCAGAAGCTAGAACATAGGTTGTTTCATTTTCTGACCGTACGGTCTTTGGATTGATACGATGCACAATAAATGATGATTTGTAGGTTCTATCTGAGTCTGGACTAGTTTTGCCCATCAAATAAACATAGAGTTTGTCATTGGGAACATGCTCAAAAACAAAACTCCAAGAATATAGATCAACCTTCGATAAATGTTTCTCACTTTCTAGAGTGCTTTGAATTTGAACAGGAGAACGAGGTACAATCTCAGAAGTGTTCGTTTCTGTCTGTATTTCTTGATTTTTCTGCATGTCTCCATGATCAGAAATTAAATGATCCGAAGGTTCTGCATCATCTTCTTCCGCTTGTTTAAGTGGTTCAGAGTGATTTTCATGTTTATCATCTGCTTTCATTTCATTGTCTTCGTGTTCTTCATCTTCATTATCGTCCTCTACAACATAGACAATATCTCCATTAGAGTTTGTGGTACTATGAGCATCACTTCGTTTTGACTTTATCAGCTCAAAAGATGCCTCATCCAATTTTAAGATGGAAGGATGGACAGACTCTTCAACAACTTGGTTGCTCATGAAAGTATCATCATCGATTGTGACTGGAGAGTTAATGTTGTTTCCAGCATTAGGATCTTTCAAGTCTAATTCTTGCGTTTTTCTGAAGGGTGTGTGAATTTGTGGTAAAATAGACTCGTCTTGCAGTTCTTGTAGTTGTTGAGCGATTTTTGGATCTTTCTTGGCCAATGCATCAATAACATGATTTGGTAATTTTCTTAGTAAAACTTTAGGCAATGGTTGATTTTCAAATGCTGCATGAACTTGTTGACGAATATTCAAAGATTGATTTGATGATGAATTTTGGTTTGGCCCCATGGAAGGTTGTTGAAGAATATTGTGAGGGCTTGAATTTGTGACAACAGGTTGATGATGAACAGGATGAAGAGAATGAAATTGTTGATTATGGTGATAAGGATCTTGCTGTTGATGAATGATGTGGCTTGGTACAGGTGGCATCGAATGATGATTTACAAACGCTCCTTCCATCGATTGAGGCGTATTTTGTACATTGTTGGACGGTGGAGGGCGGTTCATTGGAATAGATTCGTTCTGAATTGCAATTTGATTTGTGTGCATAAACTGCTCCGAATATGTTGGTTGCTGTTGGTTAAACATTATGACATTGTTTGGGATGATGTCATGCATCGCTTGATGAGTTGCAATTATGGGGGATGGTGTGGCAGCTCGTACAATCGGCTTTAACTTTCGGAACACTTGATTTTTAGGAATTTCATCCATATCTTCTCTTCGTATTCGCTTATTGATCACTGTTGAAGATTGTCCAGATATGAATGGAGCATTATGCGACGTGGTTGGTTGGTTGGTGTTTGAATAATTTAAATTGCTAGGGGGTATGGGATATAGTGGAGCCTGTTGTAAAGGTTGTTGTTGTGATAATACTTCTCTCATGGTCATACCTTGTGGTTGAGTGATCGTACCTAAATGTTGTTGTTCGTGATGATGATGATCGGTTGGGAAGTTGTGTGATGCGGTGTTCGGAATTACAGAATAAATAGGTTGTTGTGGTGGTTGCTGTAGAATGGTCGAAGTTGGTGGTACTGAAGTGTATTGGAGAGGTTGTTGATTCAGGTGATGATTCGATCCAAGCATGATCATTCCATTGTGTTGTTGTTGCTGATGGTGGAGCAGCGGCGGTTGAAACGAATTGCTGCTTGTGAAATGCTGCATTTTTATTTTAAACTTTTAAAAAAAAAGGCGGTTCAACGAAATCGAGGTTTGTTTTTAACTGTGATGAATGAACAATAATCCTTCGTAAGAATCAGAAACACAATCCTTGTCTTTATACAATTTGTGTGTTATTTATCACGCTCAAATATTTACATCAACATTCTTAAGCTCTGGTTTCAATAGAACCTTAATACATTCGTCCTTGTAATTGGCAAACATGTCATAGGCCTCAGCTGCCTGAGAGAGTGGAACTTGATGTGTAATCACAAATGTAGGGTCAATGTTCAATTCACCACTCTCGAAAATCTTCAACAAGTGCTTCCAATACTTTTGAACAAAGACTTGTCCTCCTCTCCATTTCAAAGACTTTTCCATCAAGGCACCAACAGCGAAATGGTTACAATAGCCCATGTAGTCTCCAACCACAGAGAGACGACCAGCCTTCTTGCAAGAAATGATCATGTCATTGAGAACCTGAGGTGAATCTGTTTCGAGTCCAATCTTTCTTTCGAGGGTGTGAAGAAATCCTCGTTCGAATCGGAAACCAACACAATCAATACAAACATCTGGGCCTCCTGGAATTAGCTCCTGAATGGCCTTAACAACACCTCCATCGACATTGGACCAGTTATGGAAATTGATGGTGTTCAATTTCACATTACTTGTGGAGCTTGAATATTCTTCTTCGGTGAATGATGGTCCGCCAAAAGTCTTTCTAAAGAATTTGGGAATGTGCTCCTCAGAGGATGAAGAGACGCCACCAGTGGTTCCAAAACCAAAGGCATTCTTCAAACCTTCCTTCACAGACTCGCTCTTATTTCTAATTCCTCCTAGTTCGTTCAAATTGCCAAAGACTTGTCTTGCCTTCTCCAATCGATACTCTTCCCCATCAATGAGAACCACCTGAGAGGCACCACGATAGAAACACCACATGGTGGCCATCAAACCCACAGGACCCGCGCCCCAGATGCAAACCTTATCGTTGAAGGTGACTTTACCAAGTTCGGTTGCGTGGAACCCTGTACAAGCAATGTCAGCAAGCAAGATTAGAGTTTCATCCTTAATGTTTGGATTGGAAACCACAAGAAGATTTTGATCACCGTAGGGAACCCTTAAAAACTCAGCCTGATACGATTGGATATTGTAAAGAATCTTTCAATTAGCATTCACACTTACCTGTCCACCAGCGTAGGCACCTGTCAAATGTGAGTAGCCGAATAATGCAGCAGTACGATGTCCATACATCATTTCCATTGCTCTGCTTGGATTGGTTCTGTCGCAACAACTAAATTGTTGCTTTTGACAATATTCACACTGACCACAGCTAATGACAGCTGAAACAACAACCTTGTCGCCTTTCTTTACATTCTTCACTCTGTTCATTGAATTTCATGAGTGTCAATTAAATGGTATTACCAATACAAAAGTAATACATACCCTGGACCAACTTCTTCGACAACTCCTACAGCTTCATGACCAAGAATGTCGCCCTTCTCCATTCCTTCAAACTCTCCAAAGTATAAATGAAGATCGCTTCCACAAATGGTGGATGTGGTCACTCTCACAATGACGTCTGTGGGATCAGTGATCACTGGGCGAGGGACCACATTGACCTTCACCTTGCTCTTTCCCATCCATTGCAGAGCGTGCATGGTCTCTGATGGATGTTTCTTGTACTCAGTGGAAGGAAAATGGATTTCCTGAGTCGCTTGTGTTGAATAATCTGGCATTTTGATGATGTTAAATGATTTTTTCGTTAGAAAACTTCAAGAGGTATCCTCAAACAATGGTTTCAGGAGTGTAATAATGGTGTGATACAAAATTGGGCATGCTAGTTTTAGATAATCAACAACTATGGTATATTCTTGTTGTTCATAAAAATTCTTTGTGCTTGTTATAGTCAATTTACATTTGGAACACAAATCTGACATTTACACGGTATGTCGTTTATCATTGAATACCACAGAATTCATAGTCTTTCTTCTTGAAACTGATAGGTATATCAAGAATACTAAGCAAACAATCATAAAGAATATTGGAAGAATCACTCTGAGATGAAGATTAGCAATAAATGGGCTTGTGTCTTGATCTTCGTCAATAATCATTTGACTCTCTTCATCATAGTTGGAATTCCTAACTCTTCTACCAATGTATGTATTGCTTCCATTGATTGGTCTAGCCTCAATATATTGTTCAATTGGCACCTTTGAGTACAAGTGTAATTCATTTCCTGACATTCTCTCAGGAAGTGCACTACTCTGTGATACGAAGAGATGTGACAAGGTTTTCAAGTTTGCATCCTTTTTAAACTCTTCGCTCATCTTGTTATGCGAAGTATATTGCAGCATTTGGTCAAGAAGCCAGAAACAATTATAATGAGGGTTTCCTGCAGAATCGAGACAATTAGAATCACCGAATACTGCAAGCCTGCCTTTACCAGACTGGGTAAAACCTAAAATTGGTACCTTATGAATAGAACTACTTCCTCTTAAATCACTCAGCAAATTCTTCCTTCCATTTTGCTTACTTCCACTAAGAATGTCAATTCCTTGGTCCTTGAGTTGGAATGACGCTAGCATGCCCTCCTCTGGGAATTTAATAATGCTAGTACCAGAGGCATAAGTGGCTTTTTCTTGTCCAACAGTAATTTCACCCTCATAAACTCTTGTTCCAAAGACGATATTGAAAGGATCTAATAATGCATTAAGTGCTGGCAAGTTTGATCCACCTGTAATCGGAGTCCAAACAGTGTTGGTATTGTCATCAAAGAATTTGATGTGCTTCATAATAGGAACGCTGTACCAATCCGCAAAAACAACCACAGACAAGCCGTGTATTTGAACATCGTTCTTAAGCTTTTCTCTCTCAGCTTCAGTAAATTCTTCCTCTGGATCTACAATCATCAATGTACCATACTTGGTTGCATCAAACTCTGTAAGATCATTTGTCAAGATTTCAACATAATAACCCTTATTTCTCAAATATATGTACATATCTCTAAAGTTTGTATGGATGTGATCTCCATTCCAATCTAAAATTTCATCCTTATTTGCAAGGTTATCCCTTGGAACATAACCTGGTGGATATTGCAAATTATGATATTGATCCCAAAGTATTCTCTGTTGTCGTAAAGGTGGTTGGATTACTTTAACTTTAACCTTTAACTCCATTTCGCTGATTTGCATTTTATCTCCGTCTTTCCCAATACCGAGAGGAGGAGACATGATCTTCATTTTGATAATACCTTCACAATAGCCATTGAAAAATCTAGCTGAACTTCTAACCCCAATATGAACACCAAGCCAACCAGAATAAGGCCACATAACCTTGGGATATGTAAAAGTTACGTCAAGAAACTCACCATATCTACCTGGCACGAAAATAGGCTCACCCACAACTCTTCCTGAGGCACTCATTGCATTCAAAACAGTTACGTTAAATACCAAAGGCATTGCTGTATAGTAGAGAGGCTGAGAGCAAAAAGGCCACATATAAGGGCATGCAGTAAGATCGAGCTCACTTGGGTAAAAGGTTGCTTTCGGTTTTCCCTTTTGTAAGTAGTCTTGTAAGAGCTCATATGCTTTTTCTAAATTCAATTTACCAGCTCCTTGTTCAAAAATGTTGGCATGATGAATAGGTTGAGCTGATTCTAGAAGAATCTGTTTGATACTTGCTGGATTAATCAAGGGCAATAAGGAATTTTTTGGAAGAGAGAATTTGTCAAGGTTTGCTCGAATGGTTAAGTCATTATTCTCCGTGTTGGGCGGCACCTCTTGTTTGTTGTCAGCCAAGGCACTACTGGCCAGTAACGTCACAGCTCCAGCAACAACAGGACTGGCTACACTGGTTCCTGATAGGATTGAATGGCATGGTCCAACTGTTCCAACCTGATTTAGGCCAAGGCCTCTTAGCTTGAAAGACATTGTGACTATATCAGGTTTAACTCTTCCATAGCCATTTTTAAATCGCAACTCGTATGTAGTCACTCCCCGGCTGCTGAACCGTGCAATATTATCATTATCATCGATTCCTCCAACACCAATCACATTGACCAAATCGGCAGGGTTGTTTAAAGTGCCATACAATGGGCCATCATTGCCGATTGCAGATATTATTATGATACCATTTGCTGTAAGTTCTCTCACTTTGTCAATGAAAGGAATGTCCAAGTAGTCTGGACCACCGATACTTAGATTTAAAATTTGAATTCCTGATTTCATTGCATAATTGAAGGCATCCAAGAACCATGATGTGTATGACACTTGTTTGCTAGTAAATACCTTAAAAATGAATAATGATGCTTCAGGAGCTAAGCCTTGACATCCTGTTTGTGAGGGTTTTTTCTTGTAGTCATTAGAGGTTGCATCTTGATGGTTTGTAACGTTATGTGAAACTGCTTTGTAACTTTGTGCATGTTTGGCACCAATTATGCCACTAATGAATGTACCATGGCCAAGCTCATCATTCACAGAATCCTCTGTTGTATAATTAATCATGTCTTCAATGTGAGAAAATGACTCAGATCTCTTAGAGCTTAATCCAGTATCAAACACAGCCACACGTACATTTTGGCCTAAAATTCCTTTTTCCCACAATACGTGGGCGTTCAATTTATCTGTCACATCAGTGTAGTGTCGATTGGGATGATTGCAAAGTTTTCTTTTGTGATGATGTTCTGCATATGCATCCTCCGTTGTCCAGTGAGTAAAGAGTTTTCCAATGGTATTTAGAAGAGAGTCAGATTCTTCTTCCTCTTGAATATTTTCTATTTCATCATGATCGGTCGACAGTAATTTTCGTTCGTTGTTGATCATGTTGTGATATTCGTGTTGTTTCACAATGTACTTTACAAATTTGGTTTTGTTTTCGAGCTTTTCTTTCAGTGTCATATTTTCAAACTCTACAAGAGCAAAATCTGTTTCAAAAAACCTGGTAGCTGCATTATCTCTATGGATGACTTTGTACCCAGAACGAATGCCATCCAGTAAGACGCTTATATATTGTTCATGCTTTGTGGCATTCATGTATTCATGGAACATTACAATGTATTTGGGGTTTCCCTCCGATTGATTTTCACTTTGTTGCTCTGTATTTCTTTTGTACACTTTGCACAATAGATTCGTTGCTGCACGTTTTGATCGAGAAGAATTGAAAAATCGTTTGTAAAATTTTCGCACAGAGCACTGAGAAGCTTGAGTTTTTCCCAACACAAAGCTGTGATGAAATTCTTGTTGTGTTGATGGCAATGAAAATAAAGAAAGAGAGTTGAAAATGACATAAATCAGCAACCCCAAAAATACCAAACAGAAACATGTAACAAGTTTTGTTGTTTGGTTTGAACGGTGAATACACCTTTGGGACGTCGTTCGGTGATCTGAAAAGCTATGGAGACATTGGAAAAATTCTCTCGGTTGTGATTGGATAGAGGAAATGTGGCAGGAGCAAGTAACGAGTGAGGAGAATGGGTTGGAGTCATCAAGTTGTGAGGAGTGTATGATAGTGTGTGCGGATGATTGTGAGGGTTTTGGGGGTTGGGTCATTGGTGACAGTTGATGATGATGAAAGGGAAGATTGGGTGCAGATAGAGAAGAATAAATTACGTCTTGAAACGAAGAGGTTTTAGCAGTAGGCTTGCAATTTTGCAGAGAACCCATTGGTGTTGTTGTTATATGGTTGATGAAAATTGTGTCAGTGATGTTCGAGATTCAATAATCACTCCGAAAGGCAAAAATTGTATGATGATTGGCTATAATTACAAAATTCAATACGTATATATTAATTTGAAAATACGATATTCATCAATTAAATTGTCGAATTGAGAATGACTGATATTAGACTTCAAAACACAACTGTAAGTAAAATAAAGTTGCAGTTAAAATCCGAGCCACCTTCGGCTGGGTGCCAGATAAAAATGTTGTTGGACGAAAGAAAGAGATTTGAATTTTTTTGAACTGAATTTGCACATCTTTCTTCTCTTGAATTTCAATCCTTCAATTCATTGCTGATGATGATTACTTCCTTCTTCTTAGACGGTTTCATCCATTTCAACATGAATGGATTCCTTTCGATGATCTCAAAATACCTTTCGTTTTAAGAAAACAGAAAAATCTTTTCAAAAAAAATGCTTGCTCCTTCATCAGTCAAGGTGGATGCCAACGGAAAGTGTAGTCTAGCTTTCAAACAGTTGAGGGATGTCCCCTCGCAGATGGTCTTTCAGGCACTTGCTCCCAAAATAATAGAGTTGGATCTCTCTCATAACAATCTGACGGATTTATCGGAAAATGTTAATTGTTTGGAGAATTTAACGAGCTTGGTGCTAGATCACAATAGAATACATTCCGGATCGAGTTTTAACGGAGGGAAACCAATGCCTAAAATTACATTATTGTAAGTTTTATCATCTACGGTGATGATAATTTTTGAAAAATTAATTTTTTGAACAACCTTACGGACTTGTTTCGCCGTTGTGCACCCTACTCAAAAATCGGATCTCAATTTTATGTCATACATTCATTGATATCATGAAATCATCAATTTATTTCAATCAATCTAAACAATCTGAATTTTCTCATTTTCGATAAAAATTCCTGCCGAACAAGATGGGTCAATTCAAACAAAATTAAGGACCTCAAACAGTTTTTAGAAAAGGTAGCATTTCACTTTCCCAACTTGAAAATATTTTCCATGTTGAAAAACGAGGCTTGCCCAAACTTTTTTACAGGCGGATCAGCAGAACAATACGAGCAGTACAGATTGTTTGTTGTGAGTAGACTACCGAATTTGCAAGTACTGGATTCATCCACTGTGACAAAATCTGAGCGTGAAATCGCAAAGAAAATGTATGGAAATTTGGATTCAGTTCCGAGCTTTATTTTAATGCAACAACAGGAACAGCAACAAAATTCTGAAACCTCAAAACAGCCCTCTAAAAGCACTACTAACAACACAAGTACTTCGTCATCAAACGTATCGAACTTACCAAACTTTGGAGCATTAACCGCTAGTTCGAATCAAAGCACATATTCTGTCACACCATCACAACCATCTTACAACCTTCCAAACATTTCTACTCTTCAATCCAACACTTCACTTCCACCCGTTAACTCTTTTAATTACAACAACTCGAATCCGTACCAAAATACTCAGCCTATTTATTTCAACAACAATACTCCAAATTATTCAACATCTTATGTACAACAATATAACTATAATGATATACTTGGATCGACGGTACATTATAATAATTTGATGTATCCATTGCCACAACCAAACATATCTCTTCCCAACCCAAGCGTTCCTTCCCAACCAGGCTTGCAACTACCACCATTAGATTCACTAGCTCAGAAAAATCAGACCACTTACAGAGGTCCGTACTTGTGAGGGTGTAAACGCTCCATCTCTCGGTTTAAGCTACCCTATAAGAATCATTTGGACACATATGTTCCTATAAAAGAAGAGTATTAAGAAGAAAATAAAGAAACATGCACAATTTTTCATTTCTTGAATTGGACATCCAATGTTAGATCATTGGACATGTTTGGAGTGCTGTCCTACTTGCAAAATTTCCAAGCAAATATAAATTGGAAGACCTTTTAAGGACAACAATTGAGGTTGAACTCGCTTACTTGAGTAACTCAATAATTCTTCTCATTACAGATCAGAAAACACTCGAACCAAAAAGTCATAATACAGCCTGGGGTGAAAATTTTTGGCCACATTCACTCGAATTTCACTCGAACTGTCCTGCAAAACTCTACCAGCAAAATCATTCACGTTATTGCTGCTGCTTGAGAGAACAACCTTCACATTGACCTTCTCAAACTCAAACAGCTCTGGCATGATCAAATATGAAGCAGTAATTGGATCGTAGGTACAAGAAGCAGGATTAATATCTAATAACCGATAAAACAACTCAGATAATTCCTTGTTGGGTTTCACTTGTTGTATTTTCTCTCGTAAAATGTTTTTCAAGTGTTCCACTTGTTGAGCAGTAACAGCTCTATCATTGGCAACATCGAGACCAATCATGAACAACTTGTCTCCAAAGAATTCCATCACTTGTTGTACACTCAAAGCATCACAATGAAAATTCCATTCCACATCCAAGTCATTGCTATTGAAAATTGCATTTCCACCCATCACAACCACTTTCTTCACCTTTCGTTGCAACAATAGTTGATTATCTTTCTTACTTTGAATCCATCTCGCAAGATTTGTCAATGGTCCCAATGCAAGAATTGTGAGAGAATTGTCAGGTAAATCTTCGAGCTTGGAAGATTTGGAATGAATATCCATGAATCGAGGTTCAAATTGAACCATATACTCATTTCCATCCAAAGAGCGTTGTTGAGGATCTATACTCGTCCTCCACTTCATGACATTCAAAAATTCCAATTGTTTTCTCTCCACCGAGTCATAAAAATCAGAATCTTCAAAACGAAATCGTTGAATATTGGAAGGAAGACCAAAATCAGAACCAACCATCACATAACTTGATATCTCATTCCAAAAAGTTGAAACCAAATGTCGAACAATTTCAGTACCCAACGTCGAATTTGAAGTCATACCAAACACTGAAGATAATAGAGAGAGTTGAAAGAACGTTGCATTCTTGTTCTTTCTCTTACGGTGGTTGTTGTTTTCCAATAACAGTAATTGAATGGCAAATAAATCATCCATTCCTACATCGGTATCTACCCATAGATATTGTTGTGTTTGAAAAGTCATTGATGGTTGTTTTTGTTGTGGATGGACCCAATACGATTTCCAAGTGGTGGCCAATGGTTGAAGAAGGAGTGGCAATAGATACATGACTCCCACGACCAAGGCCACAATGACGAATAGAATACAGAGAGCCTTTTTGAGGTGATGGAGCTCCTCCTCTTTCGGTATTGAGGAATAGGGAATGAGCAAAGAATTGGCGGAGAGTTTGTGGAGATCAAGTGTTTCATGATGATGATGAATTTCAATGGTACAGTTGGAGGTACTATCGGGATGGAAGGGAATGTTGTTGTTGTTATGAAAGGAGGTTGTTGTTGGATGATGAGGAGGAGGAGGAATCGGAGAGAAGAATGGAGTGCTATCAAAAGGCATGGTCGTGTGCTGCGAGTTCGGTATGAAAAGAAGAGGAAGGAGCTCTACAATCCAACACTCAGGCAGCAAAGGAGGTTAGGTGTCTCTTTGTTTCCTACTTGCTTGTTGATGTGTGTGTTTTGGGTGAATTTGATCATTTTCTCATCTCTCCAACAACACGAGCGTACTTGAATTCTCACGAGTGAGAAATGCCATCGGAAAGTGGAAAATTCAATGATGCGCTGAAAATGCATAAATCCCGCCATTAATTGAACCAACTTTTCCTTCGAAGTGGGTGTGACTGAGAAACTCACCTAGGTTCTGTTGATTTGTAATAGAGGGAAGATACTGGATGGTTGTGTTATATTTCGCTCTGTGCACATTCACACGTGCAGAACCATGGCACGCAAGACCTTAAATGCACTAAAAACAAATAATTGCTAAAAAAGGTTTTTTTTTGAGAACAAGCTTCATTCAAAAACAAAAAAAATAGCAATCATCAACACTCCATGACTCTCCTTCGACGATTTCTTAAAGCCCTCCTAAGCGGAAGCTCTATTAATCTTCCTCCCTATTATTCTCAATTAATGCAATCGCCGCATTTTGAAAATTTAATAACAAGAGGTGATTTAAGATATACCCATCCCGCAGTTCGGGAAGTGTTGCAAGATGATGCCATGAAGTTTGCACAAAAATTACCAAAAACGTTGTTTGTATTCGAGCCACCAATTGATTTGATCGAAGAAAAACAAAATTTCACAATTCATGCTGACATTCCAGGATTCCACAAAAACAACATTTCGATAACAGTGACCGATGAGGAAAAAGGAGAACTTGTAATTAAAGGTGATTTGGTGGATTTAGAGGAAAAGCAAAAACGCGAAGAGGAAGAAGTTTTCGGAACCTATTTAATACAAGAGCGAGCGTTAATGCCTGAGTTTGAAAGAAAGATTATTCTACAAAATCCTGCTGATATTGATTGGGAGAAAATTAAAGCAAATATTAAGCATGGAAAATTAACAGTGACAATTCCAAAGCGGGAGCAACCGGAGAAACCTCCCAAAGAATCAAAAGTAATTCCAATTCATGAGGAGCAATAAGTATAATTTCCTAACATTTATATTCGATTGTGTATTGTTCGAAAACATCTCTCAATTAATTAATGACTTCACAAATGGTGTTTAAAATGTACTGATAAATAGGATCTGAACTAGCCCATGACAATTGGATTGTTTTCATTTCATTCCTGGATGAATTAAATTTCCTATTAATTTTCTGTAGAATATCTTTCAACTTTTGTAATTGGAAACATTTGCATTTGATCGAGTTAAAGATCCATTCATGGATGAGAGCAGCATTAAAGTCAAAGATGGTGCAATAAAAGACATACATCTCCAGACATTCCAAGTTATTGTCACCAATTAGCCAAAATGCTCGAGTCATGGAAATGACTTTTTGAACTGTTTTCCAAGAGAGCAGTTGAATTGCAATAGAAAACTTGCTGAAAATGGTAGTGGCCATTTCGACCTTGTTTGAAAGATATTCCGTCACTCCAATGATTCTCTCCATGAGATATGTTTTTTGGCCAATAAATCCATACTTGTCATACAGTAAATAAATGTCCATGAGAAGGTCAAGTTTCCAATGATTCAATATCTCCATGTCGTAAATAGATTGCATCATAATCTTAAACAATGCAATGTCATCCTCCTGAGCATCTACAATGAATTCGTGAGAACATGCCTCCATCATGGAAATATGCTCTGAAAACATGGCCTTAAAAAAGTCACTCTGTGAACAAATGACTAACTTGTTGAGATACAAGACTTCCACCTCTTCATTCCCGTTCATTAATTTGCAAGTCACATCTGAAAACTCTTTCTTGTTGAAGAAGCGCTTGATCGACAAGATCGGAGGGGAAGTTACAACAATAGTTGAAGTAGAAATAACATTGTCTTGAAATTGTTTAACATCATTGAATGTACTTTGATTCAAACCTGGTTCACCACTCTGGGATGGAGTCAATGATGAGGGTGATTTAAGCTAATCGTACGATAAGGGCGAAATTGCTGATAAAACTCAAATCTCCATTCTTCAAAAGATAGATGTTGTTCCTGTACGGTGAACGAATAAAAGTAGTAATAATTGTCCTTTCCACTCTGCCCGAATGGTGTAAAGGTTGGAAAGGAAACTTTTTGAGAGAAGTATTCCATCTCTTCCCACTAGTTCAAATTAGGGAACCTTTGAATTTTTTGTTGTTGGGAGCAAAATTTCCATTCACGGATGAGACTACAAGTTCTTTCCAGCAAGTTTAATTCTCGTCATGGGAATTCTTTATTCCAATTAGAGAGAGTGGTAATTCATTGGGTGGTGTGAGTTGGAGGTGAACAAAGGATCCAACGAACCACAACATTTGGAAAGTGGCTGTTGACGACGAATTAAAAAATTTGGCAAAGTTGTGGTTGTTTTTGGGACGACTCTGCAACACACTTTTCTTAGCTTCTCATTGTTGTTGATTGACCGTTATCATACGACCTCCTCTGATCAAACAAACGGATCAGTGATTTTTTCAGAATATAATATTTCTAATTTATTACTATTATTATAATTATTATTATTATTCATATACAATCACAACAATCATCATCATGGGAATTTGTTGTGGAAGCAAGGAGCCAAGTTACAGAAAGAGAATTAATGATATCTACTTGGATGCCATTCAAAGAGGAGAGACTAATAAGACTCTTTTAACGAGTTTAACTCTCCGAGCGGTAACCTATCCAGATCAACTACCGAGTATTGGCAGCACATTGGAAGCAAGAATTAAGAGTGATTATACCAAAGGAAACCAGTTGTACGTTTATTATTATTTTTATTATTATTATTATATTGTTGACACTCGTGATGATGACACCTAAATTGGACAAATTATGTATTATTAATTATTGTCATCTCACAAATTATTCATTCGCTACATTCCAACAATTACAAATGAATACATCATTTTCAGTAACGTTCGAGTTGGATGTGATATTTTCGATGACCTCATTCATACCCGATCAGATTTGAGTTACTTTGTTGTGAATGTAGATAACGTGATTGCTTTGCTCATAGATGGAAGAAACACTGAACTGAAGAAGAGAGCTATTAGCTTGTTGACAAGCTCTGTCGATAATGCTTCCGGCCCAGCAATCAGAACATTTAACAAATATGAATCTAAATTGGTGGAATTTTCGAAAGGAGAAGATATAGAGTAAGTTTTATTGACAGAAAACTTATGGATGTGAATTTTATGCTTCAACAGGCTCAAAGTGAATAGCATTAACGCCATCACCAAAATGATTCCTAAATTGGAATCATTAAGTGTCACTCCGATCATTCCAGGATTACTTGCAACTATTTATCAATATTTGGAGAAATTGAATACCGCTTATGATGATACATTGATTTTTAGAATTCCAAATGTGGATTTCACAAAACTCAGCTCTGAAAGTGCAGCTAAAATTTCTGTGGAATGTTTAAGCGCCATCGCTCGACAAGCAAATGACGGAACGATAAGACATATCATGAAACCAATTTGGGACTTTCTAGATGACCAAAACAAATGGTATTCCAAGCAAGAGTTTGTTAGATCCATTATGAGAATCATTGTCGCATCCTCTATTGAATGGTCGAGCAAAGGTTATGCCATTGTTTCTACAAATATGCAACATTTTGATGAAATTCTCGACAGAAACCAAAAGGCAGGAATGATTCGTGCCAACATTTTTATTATTTCAATTCAATCTAAGAAGGGAGCGACTAGCGGTGCCCGTGCCTTTGAAGCAGTGGCTCAACTGGTTAATACTCTCAAAGGAAATTTTCCATTCACTTCCAATCATATGATCACACCTCTCCAATATGAAGATGTTCTTAGAAGCGATGTGCTGATATCATCTGTCTTGGAGTGTCTTTCTGTCATTGCTCAACGTGGAAAATTTACTCAACAAAACATTTCCTTAATGGAATCGATTCAACAACTCATCAAACAACAGGAAACAAAACTTACTTCATTCGAACAAACTCGAAATACTCAAGGACAAATTGAATTTGAGCAGTTATCTCAACAAGCCGTTCAACATTTATTACTTGTAGAATGCCTTAATTGTGTTGCAAAAGTTGGTGCTTACGTATTGTCTAATCAACCACCTCAGAGCTCATCAACTAATAATGGTGGTTCTGGTGGTTCAAATCCTAACACATCATCTGTAAACAATGATTCAACAATTGGTAGCTCCGTAAATGGAACTACAGGACAAAATAATAGCTCTGGCGCCAGTACAAGTGAATCTTTCTATCCTTCACATTTAATTAATGCATTGTTAGAGTCTAGTGTTCGACCAAGTAACTCTGTTTATGTTAGATACAAGTATTTGACCGTTTTCCTTTCACTGCTTTCCACCAAAGAAACCTCTACGAAAACAAATGTTGAAGATCAATCAAATATTTCTCCCAACATTATTGAAACAAGCAATAAGAAGCCTACTGCCTCTCCTGCAATCATGGAAGAAGTTGACACGAATAGCACAGCCATCAAGACTCGTGTTACCATTTCAAAGAGTCAACGATCAAAAATTTATTTTTATCTTTATAAGGGAGTATTTTTGAATGATAATTTACCTGAGAGCTATGCCTGTATTGCAAGAATTATGAGAAACATGCTCAAACAACATAGAAATAAGGAAATTGAAAATGCCTTACCAATGCTTTTCAAACTGCAAGAAGTTGCAACTGCTACACCTACTGAGGTACAATCGATGCCATCTACCTCAGTTTCTGATTCTACAGATGAAGACCATAATGAGGTTCCTGAAAGACAACAACCAACAATGTCCATCAGAAGCAAATTAATGATTCATACTCTCATTGTTATTTATTTATTATGCTTGGGTGAACTCTATAATTCAAAGGAACTCGAACAATACATCAAATCTATCATGGAATCGAGAATTAAGCAAGGTTTACTCACAAAGCATGTAATGACTACTTTTGAGAAACGACACAATAGTGGAAATTCTCTCGAAACAATGAAAGGTGTTATTAGTGAAGATGAAAAACTTAAAGAATATACAGCATCCTTCGCGTCTCTTAATTCTCTTGTGGAGGGAGCTGCAAATATTGACAAGATTGAGCTAGTGTCCCAAGATAAAATTTGTGAGCTATTGTGCAAGATTGAAACCTTGAAGGAAACATATGGTGATGTTGCTGGAGTGACCAAGATTGTGAAAAAGACCTTCACTGGAGATTCAATCACAAAAACGACAACTGTTGTTGCTGATGACGATTCAGTTTCAAAACCACCTGTGGATGATCCATGGTATGCCCAAACAACAGAGGACAAGTCTGGATATGACGTACAAGTTATTGAAGGATTGGAGGTTGATCAAATTGGAACTAAGGGAAGAAATGTTTCTAGAGATTCTTTAACTGTAAGCCAGATTCAACTTGATTTGACATCCAATGTTGCAAATGGCTTTCTTACAAAGAAACGAGAGGAAAAGAACAAAATGTTGGACTCCATCCTCAATGCCGTTCCTTCGTCTCAAGAAGATGATGCACAAAGCGAGGATGAAGAGTTGGAAGACGAGCTGCAACAGCCAAAACTTTTCCTTTTCGACTCTGAGCAATTTATTTCCATGTAATAGAAATAGTTGTTTTCTTAGAATAAATTTCATAAAGAACTGATTAAACGAATGAAGGAATGTTGTTTATTTACATGAATGCCACAAAATAAATGAAAATAAATGGAGGGACAGCGTTGTCCTAGTTCTTTTTGTATTGCGTTGTTCGCTTCTTGTAAGGCAACTCCTTTGTTTTCTTTTTCTTTTCAAGCAGTACATCGTTTGGAGTAGTGACAATGATTGGAGCATGTCGTCCTTCCTCATTGATCTTAACGTTCTTGAATTCGCTCATAACAACATTCTCATTGTTGTAAATCTTTTTCATTGTGTAATCGAATAAACAATTTTGAGTAATTCTCTTAAAGTTCCATGTGATCAAATATGGTCCTGTTGATGTAACAATCCACAATTCTCCATCACAACCAGTATTGAATTTAGCTGGTTTGAATGCGACTTTGCCGCCAACAGTTTTAACATCTTCAGGGAGAAGTTGAATAATTCTTGGGATTGGTTTCTTTTTACCCATTCTCTCTGTAAAACCAGTAGTGTCACTATCAGGCATGGTTGTCTTAATGACCATGAGATAACTTTTACAAGTTGCAACAACCCACTCTCCATTGGCTGTAACATCAATACCAATAATTGGATCTCCAAAACCAGGAAGTAATGTTTTAGCTGTCTTTGGATGAGTGCCCTTCTTTCCAGTCTTTTCAAGATTTGGAATTCCACTGTATAACCGAATTTCTCCCTTACTGCTACCCACAACAAGACGACCATCTCTGGTAGTTGCAAAACATGAAAATTGAGGGTTAGACTTTGAAGTAATGGCATTAATATTTCCAACAACCTTATCAGATCCAAAGATACGAGGGTCCATGGCAAACATGGTATTCTGATTCATTGCACCAAATACTGCAGTTGGTAATTGATCTCCAAACTTTTCTGTTGGTCTAATTTCTTCAATTGGCACCAAATCTTGATAGCTGTTCCAAGTTTCAACAACCTCACCACGTGTAAGATCCATTCTATATACTTTACCACAATGCTCTTCTTGATCTTTGTGAAGGAATAAAAGATCACGATCTTGATTGTGAAGCATGGCCTTGTAGGGGACGAAGAGCTCTCCCTCTGGAGTACTGACATTTTTGATTTGAGTGTCAAATATTGGTTGATCCGTATCGTCATCTCTCTTAAAAACGCCAATGTCTGTTCCTCTAACGACAAAAGTCCTTTCTCGTTGAGGATTGTCAATCATCAAAGAATTGGAATATTTTGGTGTGGGGCCTTTCTTGACTTGTGCTGGGATGTCATCCTCGTCACTATCTTCTTCCTCATATTGTTCACTTTCTCCTTCAGAGTCGCTAATAAAGTCTACATAATCTTCATCTTCATAATCGAGATCTTTGAGATATTTCGATTGTTCGTCAATGGCCTGATCAATGACAGAGGCCTTAACCAGCATTTCTTGATCGTCAATAGCAAGTTTGTCGAATTGACTGCAAGTATTCGATTCATAAATACATCTATTCATACATGTCTTAAATTCAGCCTCTTCGTCCTTGTCATAAAAAATCAAACTCCAAGATGAAAAAGGTTCCAAGAAATTCCAAGTGATGGAATGGAACTCATTGTAGCATTGAAGGTTCATTTCACTTGCAATGTTTTGCCTAATTAATTGCTCGTCTCCGTGAGAAATATCCAAAATATATTCAAAGTTAGAGTTGCCTTCTTCATCTTCTACCATATAAATAGTAGCAATAACGGCTAATTTCCTGCATTCATATATATGAGTCGACTCGTTCAATAAATAAAGATCACACTTGGCAGAACACAATTCAGAAAGTGTGCAGTTATTCTTTTCTTCATATTCTTTTTTTCTTGACTGGGTATCTCCCTTTTTGAATGATGGATAAATTTTAGTGTTTTGTACAGATGTTGAAGCAGAGGATGCAGTTGACTTCTGAGGAGAGCTTCCTCCACTACTGGAGACTCTTCCAGTACTTGGGCGAGAGGAAGCAGCAGGTTTGATCATTTCAAGAGTTTCAACTTTAAATGGTAAGGTAGTCTCTCCGGTGAGTGCCTTTAGCTCTTCTTCATCATCTTCAGTTCCTTCAAAATCTCTTTCATACGAATTTTCAAACACACATTCATAAACAAGTCTTGACAAACATTTTGATAATGTTTGAGCCTCCTTGTCTTCAGAAAATCTGAAAACCCAAATCTTATTCTTATCTGTAACATCGGTCCAAGAATAAGCAATTACAGGTTCTTCATCATCATGATCTTCCACAACAAGAGAAAACATCATAGCCTCCTCCAGCAAGAACGATTTAACGTCTTTTTCCAACTCTTCATTCTTAACCACCATCATGGTATCATAACCCTTCCGATCATTCTTATCAATAGAAAGCACCGCATGCATCATGACCACTTTTGGCTTTTGTTGGCTTCCCGATGATGGTTTTTTGTGATATTCAATCAACGATCCATGAACACGTATCGAGTCGTTATAACCCGATGATGAAGAATTCTTTCCACCACCGCCAAACCAACTTGCAACGTAAGAGAACATTTTTTTTTGAAATTTTTTTTGATCGACGTGATGGCGGCTTTCCTATTTTATCTTGTTGTTGTTCAACGTGAACATGTATGATGGTGGAGAATTCCATGGCAGGGAATTGTCAATGATTTTCCTTGATCAAACACACGGATCACCAAATGGAATCTTGTTGAAATAATAGTGTAATCAATTATTGTTGCAACGATATTGAATGCTTTGATATCAACTTTTTTCATGACGTCCAATAAAGGAGTGTGTTGAGTTTAGGCTAGAGGGTCATTAGAACCAGATTTTTGAGGATTCGATAAAACCTAAAGGAATTGAAAAGGTGACCGTCGGAATGGAGGTCTTGTGCCTCAATTTTTGATTGGAGGATTTCCGGAAACGACTTTTTTCATGTTAAAACTGGATTTTCCAAGAAGGTATAAAAGGTATTACACTTCAAATTTTCCAAAAAAAACAAAAATGACATCCTCCAGTTGTCCACACCAAACTCCTCCCAACCATTGCTTCAACACACACCTCACACGCTTGTCTTTGGCAACACTTGTTGTTGTTTTAATTGCTTTCCTCATGCATTCCACTTGCCATTGTCAACAATTCGGACAAGTCATTCCAGTTGAAGAAAGGAAGAGATTTTATTTTGATGTCTTTCAAGACATGGATTTGTTGTTTTCATTCAATGAATCGAATATTGAATTTGTTCCATTCAAATTTTCTGCTTTTCAATTGGAGGTTGAAAAATTCGATGCATTTCCAGCACCTGTCAATGCAAACTACCCCTCTCAACAATTAATTGCCATGTTTCAAGTGTTCATTCATAATTTTGAAAGTAATGAAGCCATGAAGAAGCCAATGATAGATCATGTCCTTCCATTCACATCCAATCCTGCCATTGATTTGCGCTGTTACTACAGAATCCAAGATGGTCTCATCAATATCTTTAGAGATTCCATTCAAATGTATCTTTTCAATGGAACACAATTTGTAGATACCTTCAATCGTGACAACACTTTTCTCCAATTCACCAATTTACAATTCGGAAGTATTGTGACCTTTGGATTATTCGCCACTCCTTTTCAACCTCAATTAGGTGAAAACATTCTCGCTCAATACTCTAGCAAATTTCAATTTTCTGTTCCACCTCAAGAGCTCTCTCAATCATGGCAAATCTCATTTCCCAATAACAATCAAAATCCTTCCTATTTTGCCTTACAAAGACAAGTTCCAAGTCAAGATCAAGTTCCACAGGGTTATGTGGTAGTGAGTGCTGTGAAATACATTCCTTCACAACCCTCTCCAAATATTGAAATGTGGGATTGGAGATTTCAATTCAACTCTCTATTGGGTTTTCAAGATGTTTCTTCAAACAAAATGACTGCCATTGATCCATTCACTTTGCAATGTGCATGTGGAGAAGAAGAAGGAAAAGCTCTTCACATCACCACTACAGACAATACGCTCAGTAATTCCACTGTGTATTGTTTGATGGGAAATTTATGTCGAGTCATGGCCATTGTTGCAAAACCTTCCAAGTTGAATGAGCTCAAGGTGGCGACTCACTCTTCATCACTTAAGATGCAAGAGGGTTCACTTCGACCTCTCAGAGGAATGAATTACTATCAATTAACGGTTGAGAATTCAAAGGTTGCCATTGTGGTGCAAGTCAAAACTTTCTCTTCGGAAGGAAAGTTGTACGTACGAAAGGGAGCCATTCCATCTCCTTACTTTTCTGATGATTTCCTGTCGTTCCGAAATGCCAATGTTCCAAAGACATTGGTCCTTATCAATGATGATGAAGATGACGAACATGTGGAACTACATGCTCCAGTAGTTTATTATTTGGTCATTGAACATGTATTTGCATCAACATCTGAGGAGTCGACTTTCGACTACTCGATTGGAGCGTTTCTCATTCAGAATGGAACCTTCAATCCTTCCAATCGTGAACAGTTAACAGAAGCTCAACGTGTGGGTATTGCCTTTGGAATGACTGTCCTTTTCATGTTGGTCCTTTGTGCTGCTGCAGTGATTGTTGTTCTTGTGTATTGTTTGAGAAGAGTTGGATCCAAGAAAAGTATTTACCTGAATATGTGAAGAAAATAAAGAGTTCAATTGTTGTTTTGAAAACTTGTTGAATGATGTCTTCACCTTTGAATGGTTGGTATTCAACGTCCAACAAGAAGAAGAAAACATTGGTGTGGTTGTAACAGCCAATAAGAACACACGTTCTTCAAATCCTCGGAGAAAAATGGCTGAAGTTCCAGAACTCGTTCATCATCATCTTCACTACTTTTTCATTGCCTCTTGCGAAGATTATTTAGAAACAACTCTCCAAAGACATGAACCTCTTTCTGAATGGACGACCATTCAATTAAATAACAAACAAGAGGATGAACATTCCGAAGAAGAAGTAGGGATGATGAGAGTAGAACGACAATTTATTGTGTTTGATTGGTTGGAAAGTTTCAAGGAAACGAAGAAGGCTTCTTCTTCTTCTTCGGAACATGTCTCCGTTGATGGATTGTACGAGTACTTGATGAAAAGAATTCTTGCAAGTACAACTCTTGATGATAAGTCGAAGGAAAATGAAGACTCTTTGGAGAATAGAAAGATTGATATTAATATTGTTATTCGTACGACATGGAATTATGTGGATTACTATGATGAGTTTATTGAATGGTTACATATTTTGGAACAGTTGCAGGCCAAGTATCAAGATGTTAATCATCATGTGATGATTCGAGTATTTAATGATCCCTCTCTCATGATTTGGAATTCGAGTAAGAGATATTTGTTTGAAATTCAAGAAGAGTGGAATGGGTACAATATTGTTCCGTCACAAATTGTGGATTTTGATAGTGTGAAAAATTTGAATGATGATGAAGTGGTGAACAAGTATTGCTTAATGTTTAATAATTGTGAGAAATTGGTTTTCAAGCCATTAATATCGGCTGGGTCTTTCAATACTTTTGTTATTGGAAAATCAAGAGAGACGAACGACAAAGCATCAGTCGACTATTTAACAAATAGAGAGGAAAATTTGAAAATTATTCGAAAGGATCTTTCTGAATCATGTCAGTCTAAACACAGGGATAGAAAGTTATATATTGTTCAACCATTTTTGGATTGCATAGTCAATGACGGTGAATATAGTTTTATTTATGTGAATGAAAAACTGTCACACACGCTCCAAAAGAGACCTAAAGATGGAGACTTTAGGTGAGTGCTCTCAGGTGTGTTTAATTTTAATTACACTTTTATTACATTTTATTAACAGGGTGCAAGGAGAATTTGGAGGATCCAATACATATGCAGACTTGAGCCGATTTAATGAAACAATCCTAGCAAATGGACAGCACTTATTTGAAAAGATTAAAAAAGAGAAATCTCCAAATTCTTTCATATTGTACTGCAGATTGGATGTTGTCATTGATTGGAACTCAAATAACATCAGCATTTGTGAATTAGAGTTATTGGAGCCTCACTTGTACTTTGAGACCATCAATCCAAATGATCCTTCAGTTGCCATCCAAAAGGAGAATGAACTCTATGACTCAGTTGTGAAACATAATATTGCTTAACGTATTTAATTATTCTTTTTGGAGGGGATGGAGACTATAGTTACAAAACATTTCAAGAGGAAGACCAAAGTGTCAGATGATTCTAAATGACATTGAAAAATCTACACGTAAAAATCAAAAGACACAAAAGAATAATAATTTCTCTCCATAACTTTTTGAAAAGGGATTTCATAGACATCATGTTGCTTTTCTTATCATGTTCATTCGATTCAAACTCATCACGAGCATCCAATAAGAAAGGGTCAACTTCTTGAATGTTAAAAATATCCTCTTCACTCTCGAACACATCTTCATCTCCTTGCAAGAATTCATCCCTTTCTTCAAAGACATCCTTCTCGCCCATAAGGAATTGATCATGTTCTTCGAAAGGATCTTCTAGATCTGGAGTTAGCTCATCCAACTCTGTAACATCATTCTCCAATTTGGCATCTGCAACATCAAAGACATCTTCGTCCCCAATTACAAAAGGATCAACTTCCTCGACCTCAAAAGGATCTTGAGAATAAAGAGGTAAATCTTCGTTGTTGGGCAAAAACGGATCCTTCTCTACGCTCTCTATTACATCTGTTTCTTCTTCAGAGTCCACAAATGTGTTATTATCATTGGAACCATCCTTCGCATGATCGTTTTGCAAGTCATATCGAGAATGTCCTGTTGAGTCAGGTGTGGCTTTATCAATAAGATAAATATCGGAGTTCAAATAATTGGCTGCTGATGTGATAATCAAACCCGAAGGTCGCAAGAGCGTAGCCGTTGTTGTCATTCTGATTTTTTTTTTTGAAATTTATTTCCAGAGCGCGCTGGAAGAGAAATATTGCTTTTTATTCAAGACAAGCCTTGAACGCCTTGCTCCACTCTTTCACCAAATCATAATTGTCAAACTTGTAACTCACATGGAATTCGACCTCATGCTCATCAATTTCGAGGGCATTCGCATCAGAGTCTTTGGTAATTGCGATATTGTACTCTCCCGTAATATCATCTGTAACTTTGAAAGGAATAAACCATTGTTTGGACGGAGTAATTACCAAGAGGCAATCAGAAAAAAGATAAACTGAGTGCATGTCTGTCCCCGTTGATAGAATGCCCTCCTTGAGTAGACTTCTCTTTTTGGTTAGCAAATCTGAAATTTTGTGTTTTCTGGAAAGTTCCAGCACTTTGAAAGTGGAATAATTGCTATCCATAACCTCGTGTCCAATGCTTTGTAATTCACCAATACAATTCAACATGGATTTAACAGAAGGATCATGAGGAACATAGTGCTCCAAATCTTGTACAGGTTCAGTAATTTGGCTTAACATTTCTAATGGTAGAAGCAAATAGAAAAACTACAAACATGAATTCATCTCCATTTAAGCAATGGTCTGTATCAACAATACTTACTAAATCATTCGATTTGGATGTTACCAGCGCATGGAATTTTGGATTTTGTTGAAGAGTTGTTAAACATGTTTCCACAGCTAAAGGAAGAGACCTAACATATTTAACAAACACATCCTTCATTGCCTCAATATTCGACGCATCCCAAATTTCGTTGTGACTGTCAGAAGAGTCACTAGCTGCTTTCAAGTCAGCAAGCATGTTGGCATTTGAGCTTCTCACTGATCCCAAACAGGAGAACACTGAGCTAAACTCATCACTGCTCAGCAAGCCTTTATCAAATATATCATTGGCATATGATGCAAAACATTCCTGGATGTGTCCTTGGATTGTTTCGTACCGATTAATGATCTCTGAAATAATCTTTTTCGCTATCAATTCATTTTCATCCAATTCAAGATCG